TTCTACACTTTTCGGTGTATTTTGTGCAAGAATATGCAATAAAATCTTCAGCCTAAGAAAAATTGAATTATTTTCGAAAGATTTTTATGCTTTTGGATGCGTTTTTGGTCATAAAAAGGGTCTTCCTCTACTCGGATCTGGGTGTCAATTTTTTTCTACACTTTTCGGTGTATTTTGTGCAAGAATATGCAATAAAATCTTCAGCCTAAGAAAAATTGAATTTTTTTCGAAAGATTTTTATGCTTTTGGATGCGTTTTTGGTCATAAAAAGGGTCTTCCTCTACTCGGATCTGGGTGTCAATTTTTTTCTACACTTTTCGGTGTATTTTGTGCAAGAATATGCAATAAAATCTTCTGCCTAAGAAAAATTGAATTTTTTTCGAAAGATTTTTATGCTTTTGGATGCGTTTTTGGTCATAAAAAGGGTCTTCCTCTACTCGGATCTGGGTGTCAATTTTTTTCTACACTTTTCGGTGTATTTTGTGCAAGAATATGCAATAAAATCTTCTGCCTAAGAAAAATTGAATTTTTTTGGTTACATTTTTATGCTTTTGGATGCGTTTTTGGTCATAAAAAGGGTCTTCCTCTACTCGGATCTGGGTGTCAATTTTTTCCTACACTTTTCGCTGTATTTTGTGCAAGAATATGCAATAAAATCTTCTGCCTAAGAAAAATTGAATTTTTTTGGTTACATTTTTATGCTTTTGGATGCGTTTTTGGTCATAAAAAGGGTCTTCCTCTACTCGGATCTGGGTGTCAATTTTTTTCTACACTTTTCGGTGTATTTTGTGCAAGAATATGCAATAAAATCTTCAGCCTAAGAAAAATTGAATTATTTTCGAAAGATTTTTATGCTTTTGGATGCGTTTTTGGTCATAAAAAGGGTCTTCCTCTACTCGGATCTGGGTGTCAATTTTTTTCTACACTTTTCGGTGTATTTTGTGCAAGAATATGCAATAAAATCTTCAGCCTAAGAAAAATTGAATTATTTTCGAAAGATTTTTATGCTTTTGGATGCGTTTTTGGTCATAAAAAGGGTCTTCCTCTACTCGGATCTGGGTGTCAATTTTTTTCTACACTTTTTGGTGTATTTTGTGCAAGAATATGCAATAAAATCTTCTGCCTAAGAAAAATTGAATTTTTTTCGAAAGATTTTTATGCTTTTGGATGCGTTTTTGGTCATAAAAAGGGTCTTCCTCTACTCGGATCTGGGTGTCAATTTTTTCTACACTTTCGGTGTATTTTGTGCAAGAATATGCAATAAAATGTCTGCCTAAGTTTTGGTGTATTTTGTGCAAGAATATGCAATAAAATCTTCTGCCTAAGAAAAATTGAATTTTTTTCGAAAGATTTTTATGCTTTTGGATGCGTTTTTGGTCATAAAAAGGGTCTTCCTCTACTCGGATCTGGGTGTCAATTTTTTTCTACACTTTTCGGTGTATTTTGTGCAAGAATATGCAATAAAATTGTCTGCCTAAGAAAAAATGAATTTTTTTGAAAATTTTTTTTTGACGGAAATCGCTTCAATGGTCATAAAAATGGTGTTCCTCTACTCGGATCTGGGTGTCAATTTTTTTCTACACTTTTCGGTGTATTTTGTGCAAGAATATGCAATAAAATCTTCTGCCTAAGAAAAATTGAATTATTTTCGAAAGATTTTTATGCTTTTGGATGCGTTTTTGGTCATAAAAAGGGTCTTCCTCTACTCGGATCTGGGTGTCAATTTTTTTCTACACTTTTCGGTGTATTTTGTGCAAGAATATGCAATAAAATAGTCTGCCTAAGACAAATTGAATATTTTTGAAAATTTTTTTTTTACGAAAATCGCTTAAATGGTCATAAAAAGGGTCTTCCTCTACTCGGATCTGGGTGTCAATTTTTTCTACACTTTTCGGTGTATTTTGTGCAAGAATATGCAATAAAATCTTCTGCCTAAGAAAAATTGAATTTTTTTCGAAAGATTTTTATGCTTTTGGAAGCGTTTTTGGTCATAAAAAGGGTCTTCCTCTACTCGGATCTGGGTGTCAATTTTTTTCTACACTTTTCGGTGTATTTTGTGCAAGAATATGCAATAAAATCTTCTGCCTAAGAAAAATTGAATTTTTTTGGTTACATTTTTATGCTTTTGGATGCGTTTTTGGTCATAAAAAGGGTCTTCCTCTACTCGGATCTGGGTGTCAATTTTTTTCTACACTTTTCGGTGTATTTTGTGCAAGAATATGCAATAAAATCTTCTGCCTAAGAAAAATTGAATTTTTTTCGAAAGATTTTTATGCTTTTGGATGCGTTTTTGGTCATAAAAAGGGTCTTCCTCTACTCGGATCTGGGTGTCAATTTTTTTCTACACTTTTCGGTGTATTTTGTGCAAGAATATGCAATAAAATCTTCTGCCTAAGAAAAATTGAATTTTTTTGGTTACATTTTTATGCTTTTGGATGCGTTTTTGGTCATAAAAAGGGTCTTCCTCTACTCGGATCTGGGTGTCAATTTTTTTCTACACTTTTCGGTGTATTTTGTGCAAGAATATGCAATAAAATCTTCTGCCTAAGAAAAATTGAATTTTTTTCGAAAGATTTTTATGCTTTTGGATGCGTTTTTGGTCATAAAAAGGGTCTTCCTCTACTCGGATCTGGGTGTCAATTTTTTTCTACACTTTTCGGTGTATTTTGTGCAAGAATATGCAATAAAATCTTCTGCCTAAGAAAAATTGAATTTTTTTCGAAAGATTTTTATGCTTTTGGATGCGTTTTTGGTCATAAAAAGGGTCTTCCTCTACTCGGATCTGGGTGTCAATTTTTTTCTACACTTTTCGGTGTATTTTGTGCAAGAATATGCAATAAAATTGTCTGCCTAAGAAAAAATGAATTTTTTTGAAAATTTTTTTTTGACGGAAATCGCTTCAATGGTCATAAAAATGGTGTTCCTCTACTCGGATCTGGGTGTCAATTTTTTTCTACACTTTTCGGTGTATTTTGTGCAAGAATATGCAATAAAATCTTCTGCCTAAGAAAAATTGAATTATTTTCGAAAGATTTTTATGCTTTTGGATGCGTTTTTGGTCATAAAAAGGGTCTTCCTCTACTCGGATCTGGGTGTCAATTTTTTCTACACTTTTCGGTGTATTTTGTGCAAGAATATGCAATAAAATCTTCTGCCTAAGAAAAATTGAATTTTTTTGGTTACATTTTTATGCTTTTGGATGCGTTTTTGGTCATAAAAAGGGTCTTCCTCTACTCGGATCTGGGTGTCAATTTTTTTCTACACTTTTCGGTGTATTTTGTGCAAGAATATGCAATAAAATCTTTTGCCTAAGAAAAATTAAATTTTTTTCGAAAGATTTTTATGCTTTTGGATGCGTTTTTGGTCATAAAAAGGGTCTTCCTCTACTCGGATCTGGGTGTCAATTTTTTTCTACACTTTTCGGTGTATTTTGTGCAAGAATATGCAATAAAATCTTCTGCCTAAGAAAAATTGAATTTTTTTGGTTACATTTTTATGCTTTTGGATGCGTTTTTGGTCATAAAAAGGGTCTTCCTCTACTCGGATCTGGGTGTCAATTTTTTTCTACACTTTTCGGTGTATTTTGTGCAAGAATATGCAATAAAATCTTCTGCCTAAGAAAAATTGAATTTTTTTCGAAAGATTTTTATGCTTTTGGATGCGTTTTTGGTCATAAAAAGGGTCTTCCTCTACTCGGATCTGGGTGTCAATTTTTTTCTACACTTTTCGGTGTATTTTGTGCAAGAATATGCAATAAAATCTTCTGCCTAAGAAAAATTGAATTTTTTTGGTTACATTTTTATGCTTTTGGATGCGTTTTTGGTCATAAAAAGGGTCTTCCTCTACTCGGATCTGGGTGTCAATTTTTTTCTACACTTTTCGGTGTATTTTGTGCAAGAATATGCAATAAAATCTTCTGCCTAAGAAAAATTGAATTTTTTTCGAAAGATTTTTATGCTTTTGGATGCGTTTTTGGTCATAAAAAGGGTCTTCCTCTACTCGGATCTGGGTGTCAATTTTTTTCTACACTTTTCGGTGTATTTTGTGCAAGAATATGCAATAAAATCTTCTGCCTAAGAAAAATTGAATTTTTTTCGAAAGATTTTTATGCTTTTGGATGCGTTTTTGGTCATAAAAAGGGTCTTCCTCTACTCGGATCTGGGTGTCAATTTTTTTCTACACTTTTCGGTGTATTTTGTGCAAGAATATGCAATAAAATCTTCTGCCTAAGAAAAATTGAATTTTTTTCGAACGATTTTTATGCTTTTGGATGCGTTTTTGGTCATAAAAAGGGTCTTCCTCTATTCGGATCTGGATAACTTTAACAGGTTTTAATGGATTTAGATAAAATTTAGTAGGCTCATTTATCATATTACTATCTCAAATCTGACCAAAGGATTTTGAAAAATACTCCAAAAAAAAATTTTATGGTCTTTTTTCCAAAAATTTTTTTTTAATCGAAAAAATTTTTAAATAGAAAAATTTAAGGTTATATATGTGACGCCGCTCGTGATAAGGTACCTATCCCCGAAATAACATTAGGCTTAGTTTTCTGTGTATAGTGCACGGAAAACTGAGCCTAATGTTATTTCAGGGATAGGTACCTTTTCTCGTTCGGCGTCACATATAATAAAATCGTATTCTTTACGTCAAGACGAATCGATCGATATATATAAAGTATTCATTTGAGGTGAATTTAAAGAATTAATGAAAGTTAAAAATCAAAAATTCACATTTTGTCAATAAAATTTTGCTTTCTCCACGAGGAAGCAAATTTTTTTGCTGTTAGTAAAGAGGAAGCAAAATGTTCATGTAATGAACATCTGACTTCACAACTGGTTTTGAATGTAAAGAAATAGTCGTAAAAGTCGCAAATCTGAAATTTTACTTATTTAGAGAATATAATTTAATTTTTGCCTTTTATTTTTTGAAAAATGCAAAAATATTAAAGAAATTCAAATTTAGAATTATTCGAAATAATTAGAAAAGAAAAAAAATACCTGAATATTTTGTAATGCCAAATTCTCCCTTGGCGAACCACCTTTAACTTTAAATCGTGGCGTGAGTTTTGTAACCTGTTGAAATATTCCCAATATCGCTGTTATTGCAACATCAATAACAATTGAATGATGATAGGAACCAATTTCACTGGCAAGTTCAGCGGCTTTATTTTTTGTTTCCGCTGATGAATTTTCAGTGCCCATATAACAAGTGACTAGAAGTGTGTTGCAAAGTTGTTTTGCGTCCTGTGGCACATATTCAAAATCGCCAACAATTTTTCTTATATCCGACAAAACTTGTGAATCTTTAACAAAAAATGTTTGCCAAATAAAATACGATTTAATAACAAAAGAATGGAAAATTAAAAACTTTTTTTAAATACCTCCTTTTTTGACTGCATTCACAATCAAATCACACATTGAATAAACTATACAAGCAGTTGACGAGGAATCGACGCCACCGCTAAGTGGAAGGAAAAATCCTCCTTGACAGGATCGTCTGGAAAATTAATTTTTTGTCAAAAAAAAATAATAATTTCGAATTTAACAAAATTAAATTCTCAAACCTAAGATAATCCCACATCCAACATGCCGGAGCAAGGGAAATTTCTTCCTCAGGTGTATGATATTTAATTTTATCAAAACGATCCTCGTCTTCCTCGGCTAAATAATTAGCGTCCAACGGTTGATCCGGTGGATCAGAAATAAGACTCTCGGACGTCAAGGCAAAATCAATTTTCACACGTGGATAAGGATTCGCTCTCGCTGCACAATGTGATCTCGATCGAATATTATTTCTATAGCTCCTATTTTTTTTTTTTTTTTTGAGAAAAAATAATTGAATTTTAAAATTAAAAAAAAATTAAACGATTTTTTGTATTTTAAAATTAGAAAAATGAAAAGAATTACCTTTTCTAAGGTAAAATAATTTTTTTCAATTTTCGCAGATAGAAGAAATAAATAAATTCCCAAATAAAGGAAGAAAAAAAGGAATTTTATAGACTGAGACCAAAAAGTACCGTATATCTTCCAAGTCAATGGTCGCGACAATAACTTCGACTTCCTCCAATGTAAATTGTTTTCCACGATTGAGAATTTTTCCATTTAATGTTATACTTGAACCACCGCTAAAATAAATTCGACCACCATCACAACCACGTAAATTACTAAACATATAGCAACCACCTGATTTAAATGTCGCCGATTTTACTAAATCAACAGTGACATATGCTTTACGCAATTCAAAATAAGATCCGCTTCCTAAAACAAAATTTAATTTTTAATTAGAATTTCTATTTTTATTGCAAAAACTAAATTTATAATTTTCCAAAAATTTTTATTTACTAAAATGAATTTTTAATTTTCTATATTTGATTTTTCGTTATTTTTTAGTTTTTTAATTTAAACTAAATTTTTTTTTTATTAAAATTGTAGAAAAATTAATTCTGAAAAAGAAAATCGTTTATTCTCCTATACCGTTTGCTATTATTTCAACTCCGTCCAAGGACATTGGAATATGATTACTCGATGGATTCCAAAGTTCCTCGCAAATTTCAAATCCAACACACGTGTCTCTTGTCGAAATCACTGCATCGCCAAATGGTACAACACTTTGTCCAGTAATTTGTGAAATCATTCTTGGTAGAAAATAATCCTCAACTGTTCGCTCCTAAAAAAAAAAGTAGAAAAAAATTATTATTCTGCATTATTATTTAAATTCAAACTTATATTATCTATTGAATTTATTTATACAATTAAAAAATGTTGAATTTTTCAATTTGAATTTCAAAATACAAAATATAAGGAATAATATTTTTTTTTTAAAATATCACCTTTGTCCATGGTGAGAACCATCTGGTCTCACGATAATTTCCATCTTCGCAAAGAAGCATTTTTGGCCTAATTAATAATATTCGTTTATTTAAAAACGCCACACGACAATTGTAAGTGACATTTTTATGCATAACGGGCATTCCAACATCGACTAAAATATCTGTACAAATTGGAGAATTTAGAAAAGTCGCCACAACCTCCCAACTATGGAGCAATGTGTCCGATTCATAAAAATGATCCTCGCAACTGTATCCACTGAAAAAAAAAAAAAAAAATTGTGACTACAAAAAATTCCATCACAAAACGAATAATTATTTCCAATAAAGAAAATTTAATTTAATTTAATTTATTTTAATTTATATTATTTATATTATTTATAATTTAATTTAATTTAATTTTGAAAATATTTTTGGAAAAAATAAATTTTACAAAATTAGAATAAAATAATTTTTTTTAATTAAAATAAATTTTTTCTTATTAAATTCTTAATGAGGAATTTCTCTTACCAAACCTCAAGTTCTGGACCACTTCTGTATGTGGCACCAGCTTCCTTTGCACTTTGGATACTTTGAAGAATTCTTCGTGAATTCCCATCAAAATCCATGGCCCATTGATTTAGAGTACAAACAGCAATCGTTGCAGTTCTACCCATTTTTATTGGTTCCTTATTTGCTTTCTATTTTTCTTAATTCTCTTTGGTTTAAAATTTTATTTTACTATTTTTTACTTTTTCCAAGGTAATTTCTGAAATAGAAAAAAAAATATCACTTATGTTATCCGTAATTTTTAAAAATAGACAATTTCTCAAAAGTATAAAATTCATATTCTACGAAATTTTGTTGATTGATCAATATTTCTCCAAGCGGCCAAGGCAACAATATAAGTAAACTCAAACATATAATTTGACTTCCAGAGGAAAATAGTTGAATGTAGAGAAATGTTATTTCAAAAATTCATCAAAATTAAATTTCTCATCAATTTTCAAATTAAAAAAAAAAAAAAAAATATTGATAAGTAAAAATAATAAAAAAAAAAAATACCATCCAAATTAAAATAATTATAAAAAATTACTTTTAATCTTCAGGAGAAAAAAAAATTAATTTTCAAAAATCATGAAAATAATTTTTTCGAAATAGAAACAAAACTCTTTATAATAATACGAGGGAAATTAAAAAAAAAAAAAAACGATTCAAAACTAAAAGAACAATTTTCCATAATTTTCCTTTTTAATAATTTTAAAAATTTTAATAAAATATTTATGTATATTCATAAATAGATATTGTGAATTTGAAATATCGATAAATAATGAGCAACCAAAAGTCTCCGCCCCCATCTTTCGTTGTCAGGCAAACGCCAGGCACCACGGTTTAACGAACGAATGTAGCCGCGATGAGTCAAGAAAAATTCTACAAAATCCCTCTCAGTGTTTCGTATTTAACTAAAAAAAAAATTTAATTTCGCCACCCTCAATTAGACATCACTAAGCGTTAGAAAAAGTAAAAAATCAAATATACAAATCGCGAGAAAACAAGAAATTTTTTTTTTAAAAATTCAGAAAAAAATTGAAAATAAATTTTTACAACTAAAAAATAATTGAAATTTAATTAAAAAATAAAGGCAAAGTTAAAAAAAAAATTACATAAATAATGTTAAAAATTTTCCGTGAATTACAAAAAAAAAATAATTGAATTGAAATAAAATGAAAAAAATAAAATAAAATAGAAATTATTAAATTAAATTAACAGAAATTACAAAATAAAAAAAATAAATAAATGTTAATAATAATCAAAACAATAATAATATTTAATAAATAATAATAAACAATATGTAACAAAATAAAAATTAAATTAATAAATAAAATAAAATTTTCAACAATTTTCAAAAAGTGAGAAAGTGACAAAAAAGAAAAAAATTAAAAAAATTAAAAACTAATGAAAAAATATTCAAATATTCAAATTCGATACTTTTTGGAAAAAATATGTTTTTAATAATAATTATCCAAGTAAGTTATGTGGTTTATTTTTTTCTAATAATAAAAATCGACCGTTTTTGAGAAAATTTTGAAAAACAAATTGTCAATATTTTTAGATGGAAATTGATTTAAACAAAAATATAGGAAGTCAAAAAACAATATAAAAACCCTAAAAAAAAGGTACCAGTTGGAGAAAGTACGATGCAGACAAGGTTGTTCCAATTGTTTGACATTCTAGCGACGAAAAATGGATTTTGTCACGACCAGCCGAGTCCGAGAATTGCAAGCTGCCCTATTTCCTATTCAACCAATTTCCGGTAAGAAACAAAATACATAGAAAAAATATTCTCAAAATTCAACGAATTTTATAAATTTTTCTTTTTTTCTACCCCAAAATTTTAGTTCCGAAAATAATTTGAAAAAATTAAAAAAAACAAAGACAAATATTTGTTAAACAATTTTTTTTTCGTTTCGAGAAAAAAATCGTTAAATTGATCTAATTTTTACTTTAAAAAAAACTACGATTTATTAAATTAAAAAAACTTTTTAGTTAGAAATTAAAAAAATTAATTGAAAAAATGAATTAAAAAATTAAATTTTTAAAATATTGAGACAAATTAACTTTTCGATTATTTTTTTGTAAATTTCTGAAAATTGAAACAACTTTCAAGTAAGAAAAAAAATTAATAAAAAAATTTTCAATTTAAAAATTATAATAAAAAAATTCTTTTTGACTTAATTAATTTAATAAACTTGACAAATTACCTCGGGCATTGTACTCAGCGACCTGAAGCTATATTATCGATTAATCGTCACGTGTCTTTTTCATTCTTTCAAAAAACTTTATAGTTTTAAAACATTTTCCCCCGCAAAAGTTTCAAATAACTTCATCATCACGACTTTAATGAGTAATTAGAATTTTTTTTCATTTCTTTATTTTTATTGTACATGCAAAAATTTATCACGATTTTTCACTGTCGACGCTTTTAGTTTCATTTTTCAACTATTGAGATATTCCACTTTTGAAAAATCCTTTTTTTCCAAAATATATTATGAAATTTTTATTTTTTCAATAAAAGTAACAATTGAAATTTTTATATATAGCAAAAAATTATTTTTTAAATTAAATTAATTAATTATTTAAATATTAATTTTTATTTTCGATACTAAATAAATTATCCCCAATATGCTAAAAGTTATTTAATCTTGAATTCACAAAAAACAAAATTTTAACTATGCTTTAAAAAAACGAAAATATTAAATTAAATTTTTTTTTTTTTTGCAAAATCTTGTAAAATTAAATCACAAACATTGTAGAAATGCTGAGAATATTTTTCAGAATTGTCTAACAATGAAACGAGGAATCTCAAGATAAAAACTCCAGAGTTTTGCCAGGATGAAACTGAACAATCTCCGAGACTTGGTGAATATTACAAAAAGAAAAAAAAAATGCCACTAATTTGTTCTTCCCAAATGAATAGCTTCGTAATTTAATTTTAAAAATAATTTTCATTTGAAAAATTTCCACGAAATTGTTATATAAAAAAAGAAAATAAATTTTCCCCACTTTTTGCGAAGCTAATCAAAGTGGAAGATCTCGAGGAAACTTGTGAAATTTGAAATAGAAAATTAAATTTTTCATTAAATTTATTTGATAATAAATTTTTAAAATCTAAATTTATTTTTAATTTAATTCGATCGAAATTTTTTTTTTTTGCCAAAAAATTTAATAAAATCTTTAAATATAAATAAAAAAAAAACTAAATTTAGTATGATTCTTTTGGAATGAATGAAATTTTTTTCTGAATTAACAAAACAATTTAAATAAATTTAAAAAAAAGAAAATGAAAGTTAAATTAAATATAAACCTTTTTGAACGAATGACACAATTACTATTAAAAGTGTTCCATTTATTCTTTCGTTTTTTAATCAATGAAAGCTTTCAACTTTCACGAGACCTGAATGAAAATTCACCTTGAGCCACAATCGATTAGTGCACAATCGCCAAGCTCATTGTTTTCATATATAGTCTAGAGAATTATTTTTATCAGTATTGTATTGTCATCGGTATTCGAATTTATATGTCTCATTGCGGAGACGAGAATAAAATTTTCAAATTAATTTCTCAAAAATTTGTAATTTAATTAATTATTTCAAAAAAACAATCAAATTTGAAAGTTTTCCTCTCATCACAAAACAAAATTTTCTCATTTTCATATCTGCTTTGTATCTACAAGAAAAATTATCTCCTAATTCCCTTACCATCAAAAAGATAAAAAAAAAAATGGGACAATCGAGTAACAAAATAAATATTTTTAATTCATAATCTTTTCATTCACCCGCACTCGTCATTCATATTATATAGAAATTTTTTAATTGACAAAAATTAATCACCACTGTTGGATAATTATTTAACATCCATTAGTGATGACAATATTATTAATTAGTAATTAGTTACTAATTCATTAATAATTTAATTACAAATTAATAGACTAACTAGAACTCACAGCAAAGAAATAGGATTCACTATTAATATGCAAATAGCAGTAAAATTGATTTAAATCATTAATTAAACTATAGTAATCAAAGAATTTCGTTTCTGATTTCAGGCAGTATTTTGACGAATCAATGTTTGCAAAATCAATTTGGAAATTATCGAAGGGACATCGAGTCGGTGCTCTCATTAACACCAGGAATCGTGAGATTTCGCGAGACAAAAGAAACGTTTCAATCAATTATCGACACAAGTCTCATCAATGTCGATGGAATAAGTCAGGAAGCACGATGGCCCACCGAGTGTCAGGTAAATTGAAATTGATTATGAAAATGAAATTTAATATAACCAACTTTGAAATTAATTAAATTAAATTATTACTGTACTCCGATTCATTTAAGTTATTTTATTGAAACCTAAAACTTGTTTAAAAATCCAAAAATTATTTTCCCTAAAGGTAATTTCAGAACGTGTACGTCACATAGAATATACACCGGCAACACCGGAACCTTATTATGTACCTTCAGGCAAAGAACCAAAACCAAAATTGATAGGAGAAGAAAGTGGAACAGTTGTTTTTCGATATTCTCCCACAAGTGCCACAAATTACGTGAGTTTAGAATTAATTAAACAAAAAGAAATTGTCAATTAATAATTAATAATGAACATTAGTTTAGCAGATCATGTTTCGGAGGTAGTGCAGTTTTGTCACATTCTATGGACTCAATTTTAAATCCTTCCGATGAAGAACCAATAACTACAGATTTGAATTTTGAATCGAGATTCGAGTCGGGTAATTTGGCAAAAGTAATCAAAATCACTGACACCTATTATCAATTGCATTTAAGAAGAGATCTTTATACACAACGACATATGCAATGGTTTTATTTTCGTATTTCAAACACTAAAAGTGGAACAATGTACAGGTATAGAAGAGAAAATATTTTTTTTTTTTCGATAAAATATATAATTTAAAAATGCCATTTCCAAAAATATTTCTATAAAACGATTTAAGGAAAAAAAATAGAATTTACAAAAAAAATTCTTTTCAACAGATTGTCAATTGTAAATTTCTGTAAAGAAGCCAGTCTCTATAATGAAGGTCTTAAGCCTTTGATATATTCAACCAAAGATGCAAATTTACATTCCATTGGATGGAGAAGATGTGGGGATAATATAACATATTACAAAAATGATTCATCGTACGTATAATATATCTAATTTGACAAAAAATAATTACCATTGTTAAAATTTTAAAATTTAAATTTTCAGTGATGAGGAAAAAGATCGACATACACTAACTTTCAATATTTATTTTCCCCACGATAAAGATACTGTTTATTTAGCTCATTGTTATCCGTACACTTATTCCGATTTACAGGTATATTAATTAAAAAAAATTATATAAATTAATTTTGACTTTTATTTACTATTATTGTTTATAAATTTTTAAAAGAAAAAAATTAATTTAAAAAATTGATAACATTAATTTTAAATTTTGCCATTAAAATTTTTTTTTTAGGAGTATTTATCTGGAATAGCTTCGAATCCTGCAAAAACGAGATACACTAAATTACGTCTCTTATGCCGAACACTGGCAGGAAATGGAGTTTATTATTTGACGATCACCGCTCCTGCATTTAATGAGGAATCAAAAAAGAAAAAAGGAGTCGTTATTACCGCACGTGTTCATCCCGGAGAAACCCCCTCAAGCTGGATGATGAAAGGAATCATTGACTTTTTAACCGGCGACTCGAATCAAGCTAAGGTTTTTATTCTTAATTTGAAAAATTAACCCTTTTTTATTTATAAATTAATAATAATAATTCAATGTCTAATTGTGATATCCAAAATATCGTATTTTCATAGTATTTCTGTAGCACAGTGAAAATTTAAAATTGTTCGTTTTATTTGACAATTTTTTTGTTTAATTTGTCAAAAAAAAAAAAAATATTTATGTCTTTTCTAGTTTTCCAAAATTCCTTTTTCGCTGAAATAAAAAAAAACAATAAATTACAGGAATTACGGGAGAGATTTATTTTTAAATTGGTACCAATGCTAAATCCTGATGGAGTAATTGTTGGCAACAATAGATGTTCATTATCGGGAAAGGATTTAAATCGTCAATATCGAACAGTAATGCGCGAAAGTTATCCATCAGTTTGGCATACAAAATTAATGATTCGTCGATTAATGGAGGAATGTGGAATTGCAATGTATTGTGATCTTCATTCACATTCGCGAAAACATAATATTTTCATTTATGGCTGCGAAAGTAAACGTGCCGGTTGTTATGGAAAATTGACTGAACAAGTATTTCCCTTGATGCTTCATAAAAATGCTGCAGACAAGGTGCGATGAAAAAGGAAAATTAAAATAAAATTTCAGAAAAATATGTAATTTTGAATAATTTTTCTAGTTCTCTTTTGAAAATTGCAAATTCCACATTGAGAAAGGAAAAGAGGGAACGGGAAGAGTTGTCGTTTGGTTAATGGGAGTTCCAAATAGTTATACAATGGAAGCATCAATGGGAGGTTCGGAAATTGGTTCACGAACTGGTACACATTTTTCATCTCAAGACTATGAACAAATTGGAAAAGCATTTTGTGAGACGCTTCTCGATTTTTCCGATGAAGATCCAAGCAAGGTAGAGATTCTGAAAAATATTTCTAAAACATATTTTTAGTATTAATTAATGAAATCAATTTTTAAAAACTAATAATTATTTTAACCTTTCTTTACTGCATTCCCGTTTGCTTGGGTGAGATTTACAAGATATTTGAAATTAACTGATAGAATTTTTGGCAAAAAAATTTTTAATTTTCGTTTTTTACTTTCAGAAATCTAGGAAAAACTTCGTAATAAAATTATTGCTAGACTTCTTAAAGAGGGTTCCAGTGCTGATGAGCCGACTAATATTAATCTTACTGATTATTCAAGGTGTGCTTTTAATTAACAAAATAATTTAAAAATATTTAACAAAATATATCCACTGAAAATTCATCGGGAAAATAGAAAAAATCCTGAAGTAATTATTTTTTATCCAATAGCGCCGAGGGTGACACATCGGAAAGTTCGTCAGAGGAAATAATGGAGAAAATGGATTTAACTCAAATAGAAAGTGACGACAATTGCCAATTTTTATCAGTACCACCTCCATCTCCACATGACGATAGACTGAGATTTACCCGCAGATTGCGAAAATCACGAAAAAATAATCAAAGAAACTCTTGTATGCGGGAAAAGAAAGCGGTACTAACAAAAACTAAAAAGTTTAAAAAAAAAAATACAAAAAATAATTGTTTTTATAATTACCAATTTTCCTTAAATTTTCAGGTAAACAAAACTGCCATGGATTTGCCAACCACCGATCCCGGAAGTGATCTTTGTGATCTCACGGATTCTGCGGATGAAAATTATCTTCACTCATTGACAATGAAAACTGAAAAAGAAAAAGGCAATTTATTATTTTTATATCAAACCCATTAATTCTAATTTAATTTCTTGATTATCTTTTTGTCAATTACAGAATTTTCTAAAAGCCTCAAGTGTCTGAAGAAAAAAAGTAAATTTCTCGAACGAGAATCAAATGAATTATTATCTCTGCCAACAATAATTCGACAACGTAGTTTATCATTAGGTGAAGAACTCATGAATGCTTCATATATTCACGAGAGACGATTTCTTGCACGTCAGGCTATTTCTCGGTAATTTTATTTTTTTTGGTCAAATTTTCTAAAAAAAACAAAAATTAATCCACATTTCATTTTATTCAGAAATTTGAAAAATTTATCTCCAATCTTACCAAGACGTCCTGATATGTCATTTAAATTGACAACACTGAGGCAACAAATTTGGACTGGTGTTAATTTTGAAAATACAAATAAAGGCAACAATGGAATATCATTTCCAAGAAGTCCCCTAAGTTGGGGAATATCAAATATGGCTCGAGGATATCAAACCGATAGTGAAGCATTGCTCAAGTAATTAAAAAAATTTTTTTTAATTTATTTTTTTTTTCTAATCAGTATAATCATTTGATTAATATTCGAACAGATCCTGCTCAAAAAAATTGGAAGCCCTAAATTATATTCCAAAAACATCGACGAAAAAATTTAAAAAAAAGGCTGCCAAAAAATCAACACAAATCATAAATATTCGTGTTGAAGAACCACAGGAAGATGAGACATCATTAAAACCATCGAAGAAAAGACGATCACGTTACAAACAAAATACTGTTAATTCAACATCGCGCACAGAAATGACATCAAATAACACGAGATTTAGAGACGATTCATTAAAATTATTTACAATGACAAAAAATCAGAAATCGCAACAACCGTCAAAACAAAAAATAGAATCAAGAAAAAAGTCACGAAAAAATGGAAATACAACAACAATAAATACAGTAATGTCAAAGAGAAAAACTAAACCAATTGTCGATTCTTATGGAGATTCTTCATCGTCAAGCTCAGAGGATATACCAATTGTGCGAACGAAAATTTTAAAGAAAAAGAAAACAAATAGTACAGTAAAAAAACGTATCTCAAGTTCTTTTGCTACCGATACAAAGAGAAATTGAAAAATCATTATTTTAAAATCCTGCCCTGCTATATTGACTGCCTGTGAATATACATATAGGATTTTACTGTACATAAATTATATTAAAATTGTATTATACATATAAATATTATATATAATTATATTTTCAAATATATAGCTTCAATTAAATTAGAAAATACAGTGAACTATTTTTTTTTTTTTTCATTTAACAATTTTCCCAATTATTTATTGAATACGGAGAAAAATGGAAAAACGAATAAAGTAATTTTTACTATACTTTAAAAGTAAAACCGGAACTGTCCGCAGTTTCTGCGCATTTCTGGTAATTTTTACTTCAGAAATAGTAAAATTTACTCCAAAAATAGTAAAATTTACTCCTGAAATAGTGAAAAATTATTCCGGAAATAGTAAATTTTACTATTTCTGGAGTAAAAATCACCAGAAATGCGCAGAAACTACGGACAGTTCCGGTTTTATTTTATAAAGTAGTAAAACTTACTTTATTCGATTTCCCATTCTTCTCTGTTCTTTAATTTAAAAAGTTAATTTTAATTGAAAAATTATATTATAAATATTTATATTTAATTTCTTATTTCGCATTGAAAAAAGAACGACAGGAAATAAAAAAAAAATAAAAATTTTCACATAAAATTAAACGCACTACCTTAATGGGAAAGCGTGCCTGTATTTATTTATTATTATTATTATTTAGGTATTTAAATATTATTTAATTTTTATTATTGTAAAAAAATATTTTAATAAATTAAATAATAGTAAATTTAGTAAAAAAAATATTAATAAATAAATAAAGTTGAAAAATTATATTAAAAGTCATCGCTGACTTGCACCAACCTGTCCCGAACTTTATAAGCAAGAATTATCATATTTCAGAATTTCATTTTTTATAATTTATTTTTTTCGAATGTTGTTAGAAGATTATTGTATTTTATAATAATTTTAATTTGTTTTAATTATGAATTGAAAAAAAATATATATTAAAGAGAAGTATATTTTTTACTAGATAAATAGTAATAATTTTTACTTTCCTGAATGTTAAAACTGTAGAAGTTTATTTATTTACATACTTCTTTATTTATTAGCATTTTAATATATTATTTAAATTATTAACATTTTTATTTTTCAATATCTTTCTATAATTTTTTTTTTTATGAATTTATATTGAATTTACAATTAATATTTTGAAATTTTTGTTCTATTTATTTGTCGATAATTAAATTTTTATAATATTTGTTATTATATGCAAATTTTTTTACTTTTAATTTTTATTTAAATCTAAATTAATTTTATGATTATTTTTTGTTGTATTTGATTATTATAATATTTAATATTAATAATTTAAAATTAAATTAATTTTTATTAAGAGGAAATATTCGGCCTAATAACATAAAAAAATTTATAAATAAATTTTTTATTAATAAATTTTTAAATTATTATTAATAATAATTATTATTAAATAATAGAATAAATAATAGAATAAAAGAAAAATTATCCAAAAAATAAAATATTTTTATGTTATTTGTTAATTATATTTTAATTAATTAATTATAATAATTTATAATAATAATAATAATAATAAATATAATAATTTATTATAATTATTTTAATTTTATTAATTAATTATAAGAAAAAATTAATTAATAACCATAAATATAATTATATAAAATTTTTTTGCCTTTTTTAATTTTCAAAATGTTTTTTTAAAAATATTTTTTGTTAATTTTCTTATATTTTTTGGCAAAAAAATACCATAAAATTAATTTCAATTAAATTTTAATTTAAAATTTTATATAAATTAAATAAAAATTTAATTAATTATTATTATTATTTTTACATTATTAAATATTATAATCACAAATATTCATATATCCAAAAATAAAATTTACATGCTGACACAACAAAAGTAAACAAGCTCGGAAAATTTTCCTTACAAAACATAACCTCAAAATTGAAAATAATGTGACAATCACTTTATAATAAAAAATACTAATAATTATAATTTTAAAAAACCATAAACATGATTAAAATATGATAAATTAAAGAAATAATTTCTTCGATATATTAAATTTATCTATATAAGTAATGAAAATAAAAATACCTGTCACTTCTCGTTGCACGTTTATAATTCGTGAAACAAAACAATGACGTCAATTTTGTTAAAAGTCAATTTTCTTCATATTATAAATCAATTTTGAATTTGACATTTAAAAAATAACTTTTTTTTTTTTATAAACAAAAAAATGATAAAACGAAAAGAAAGAAATGAATATGACCTTCTCACTTGATTGAAGAACACAGACTACTGCACTGCATAATCTGACTGGCGGCGGACAGCCATATTGAATTCCCAGCCGGCCGCCGGCACTATTTTGTCACTTCCGGTATTTAAATTTGAAAAAAAATTGCATATATATCCACACACCGTGTGACCGGATGTTGTACATATATATATATACAACACTGAAGAAAATAAACTTGACCTTGTAAATAATACTATGGCTTATCTCCCTTCAAGATCTATAGTATATAATTAATTATTCAAAAAAAAAAAAAAAATGAATTATTTTTATAATCAAGATATGAAAAATTGCAAATATTATTTTTTAAACAAATTTTTCAATTTTAATTTCTTTATTATTGCGTACATTTTTTTTTTTTACATTTATGAAGAAAAATTATTATATTTTTTAACATTTGTTACTATGAAAAATGAAATATCGACTAAATTATAAATAAAATACACTATAACAAAATATAATAAAATAATTTTCAATAAGTTGAAAATATCCCTCAGGTCGTTGATGACATCAACAAAGTAAAATATGAGAAACATGCATTAAGAATCTTATCGAAAAAAAAATTAATTAAAATTAATATAAACACCAAAACATAAAAAAAAAATTAATTACAGAGCTTTGTAAATTTTTTTGTACATATAATAATTAATTTTTAAATGTATAGTAGAAATAAAAAAAAAATAAAATATAAACAAAATATTGAATATAAAAAAATACAGAGCTTTATAATTTTTTTTTAAATTAATTTTTAAATGAAATAAAAATAAAAATTTAATTTTTTTTACACTCTTACAGAACAAGTGGTTGATAATGAAATATCCAACATTTTGACAGCAGTTAATTTACAAGGTTCTCGGCTTCTCATCATAATAGGTAATAAAATTTTTCTTATTTTTATTGGCATTTGATACCAAGAACCGTCGTATCTGTAAATTAAAAAAAAAATTAGGGAATATTAATTATTAATTAATTATAAAAAAAAATTAATAATTAATAACCATAAATATAATTATATAAAATTTTTTTGACTTTTTTAATTTTCTAAATGTTTTTTTAAAAATATTTTTTGTTAATTTTCTTATATTTTTTGGAAAAAAAATACCATAAAATTTTATTGAAAACTTTATTATAATAAAAAAAAAATTTGAAATAAAGAATTATAAAAATTTTTTTTGGTTTGAAAAAAAAATTACATAACATCTGTGAGACCAGTACTGTAATTAATTATTCTTTGTGAGAAAATACTGTTAAATAATAATTCAAACAAACATGTTCCAGTAAAGAAACCATATTTTAACACAAGTTTCAAATCATCTAGATTTAAAGCAACCTGAAATAATTATAAAAATTTAATTAATGTCACAAAAAACTTTTTTTTTATTTTTTCTTTACTTCATTTTTTTTTTAAGTAATTAAAATAAATTTAATTTAATTTTTACCTGAGTTAAACAAACGGAAATTATCACTGAATTCAATGCCACTGCAAATAAAAAGCAGGGTCCATAGAAAGATTCAATATTGTTACAAAATCTAATTAGAAAAATTATTTTAAATTCATAGCAAATTATTGAAAAAAAAAATTAATTAATTAATAAAAAACATATAATAATATTTTTAAATATATATATACAAACTCAATTGCCCGATTATGTTGTTCTATACAAAAAAAGACTTTCTTTAAATTTTTTTCTTCGTTGTTATTGCTATTAATATTTTGTAATCTAAGACTAAAAGAAAGTTTCATTTTATTTATTTATTTTTCATAAAAAAAATGATTATTTTGGTTATAATAAATAAATAATTTATGTTTCAAATAAATAAATTTTTTTTTATTTACTTTTCATAAAAAAATTATTCTCTATAGGGCTATAAGCCCGTTGGCTCATTAAATAAATAAATAAATTATTTTGTTTATATTAAATAAATAATTTATGTTTCAAGTAAATAAATAAATAAATTTTTTTTATTTATTCAGAAAAATAAAAAATTTATCCAAAAGTGTTATTAAGATTTTTTTTTTTAGAAATTATTTAAAATACTGTAATGAAAAAAATATTTAGAAAAATAGTAAAATTATTATTAAAAAATCGAAAAAAATTTTTAAAAACAATTTTTTTTTCTCTTTTTTTATATATATTTATTAATTTAAAAACAAAATAATTACCCAGTTATTTTAAAAATGCAACATGCATGCTCGGCAAGAAATGCCAAACCAGATTCAAAACAAATAATACTAAAAGCTTGTAAAACACCATTTAACGCCATATGTAACATAATCCAATAATAATAATAATCTTCTGAATAATTGATAAAATAATATATTTCAACTGGCAATACTTTTGGTCGCGATTCATTTAAAGGTACAATAATGTCAAGAATTTGGGACGAAAATGCCATTAATAAATAAATCACTACTACCCCTATTGTGCCACCTATATAATTTTTTTTTTTTAAATAACTGTTTTAAGAAATTAGCAAAAAAAAAAATTTTATTATTAAACACTAGTAATAATAATAATAATAATAATCATAATAATTTTTTTTTTTAACAATAATGAAAAAAAAAAAAATTTTACGAAAATAAAAACTAATTAAAAACTAAAACATTTTTTTAAAAATAATTATAAAAAACTAAATTCTCACATGTACAGAAAACATTAAACAATTTTCCATGACTGGCGTATTCAGAAATAATTGAAAATTCTTGTTTGGATGACGACCAAAATTCCCAATCAAATTTAATTTCACGATAAAATTGACAAAACTGTCAAAATAAAGAAAAAATAATTGTAAAGTTTTTAATTTAAAAAAAAAAAATTAGAAAATTAACATTAAAAAAAATGTAAAAGTTAAAAATTTAAAAAAAAAAAAGAAAAATTCACCTCATTTTGTTTAAAAAAAATAATAAAGATAAAAATAAGTGAACCGGCTGTTGTAAAAATAACTGGAATACACTCTATCATTTTATTAGTATTGCCCCATGATTTAACAAATCCAGCTACCTAATAATAATAATAATAATAATTACATTTTATTTAAAATACTAAATTAAGATATTTATTTTATAATAATTTTTAATTTAGAATTTTATATAAATATATATATATATTTTTTTTTTTTATTTTGTGTAATTTTATTTTCTTCTTCACTTTGTTTAAATTTCACCAAAATTTAAATAAAAATTTTCAAAATTATTAAAAATAAAAAAATCAAGTGAAGAGAAAAATATTTCAAAAAAAAAAAAATTCGGTGGTTATTGTATCCCAAAAAAAAAAATAATCTAATAAATAAACGAAAAAAAAAAATTACCAGAAAAACGAGAAAAAGAGAAAGATTAGAAATTACAAAACACTGAATAAAAAAATTTCGTGTTCTACTATGAAATGGCCATAATCCAATGCAAGACAAGAGAAATTTATTAAGATAAAAATAATGATTGTCAAAAATATCGTCAGTCATTATTATTATTATTATTTATTTTTTTTACTCTCTTCTATAAGAGAAATACAATTTAAGACTGACCGCATTTTTCTCTCACATCGTTTTTTGTATACCTTGAAAAAAAAAGTTTTCCCTCACAATATACGTAAATGTCAATTTTACAATAATTATTTATTTATAATAATCATTGAAAAATGAGAATATGCGTTATATGCTCTCATATAAGAAAAAGTTTGTATATATAAATATTGCAAAAAAAAAAAATTGTAACTGCGTTTTTTTTTTTGCAAAAGAAACTTTTTGTAACTTTGTATATAACAAAGTTAACAGAGCTTTCGATCATTTTATCTTCATTATTAATATTTCTCGTCATAAGATTCACGCCTCTAGTTTATTCTTAAAACAGTCGCTAAATATATACTGAGAAAAAAATAATAATAATAATAAAAAATATAAATAATAATCCCTCTTATTTTATATGAAAATATTTCGAATACATGATCGTTGGTTTTGAGGTTATACTGTCTTAAATGGTTTTTTAATTTGCGCATGCGCTTTACTTACAACAAATGAAAGTAAGGTTAGGTACTTATTGTAAATTGAAACATTGAAATATTTCATGAAGCATTGAAAGTTTCATGAAACTTTACAACTTTACTTTACTCTACAAAGATCAAGAGACGAACATAACCTCAAAATTCAAGGTCATATAGGTCTACGATAAAAAATTAATGGCTTTTTCTTATAGATTATTTGCTTTTTTATTTTTGGTAGTTGACTTTCGGTGTTTATTGGTAGTCAAAAATTATAATTGATAAGATTTTTTTTTTATATAAATGATAAACGAAATTATTTTGAACAAATTTATCGATTTTATAATTTATTTATTAATTTAAATATGTATTTTAAATACATTCTCATTTATGTCTACTTAGAAAAAAAAAGTTTCACAAAATTTTATTTATATTTTATTATTTAAATATAAAGAAGCATATATATACTATAAATAATTAAAATTAATAATTTTTTTTTAATAACTCACTTTATTATTATTTTTCAAAAATAGTTTCTTTTTATAATTTAATGAAATATTAGAGAACAGAACATAGAAATATTAATCTGCCAATTTTATAATTAAAAAGAAAAAATCAATTCTTCATGATGTCACTGACATTAGTAGAGTGAATGATGAAAAAGAAGTTTGAAGTAACTTAAAACAAACATTAAAATTAATTAAATATACAATTAAAAAAAAAAAAATTTTTTTTTAAGAAAAAAAAACATTTCTTACCGAAGAAACATTTATCAAAGTTAAATCTCTCATTTTGCCGCAAGTTACTTTACAAGGGATTCTACTCCTCATCATAATGAGTAATAGAATTTTTCTTATTTTCAGTGACATTTCATACCAATTACCCTGGTATCTATAAATTTTTAAAGAAAAACAAAACAATAGTTAAATATTATATATTAAAAATAATTTTTATTAATTTAATTTTATTAATTAATTTAATTTGCAATTAATTTTTTTTTTAATATTACATAGTATCTGAAAGAGCAGTGCTGTAATCCATAAATCTTTGAACCATGAAACTATTTAAAAAAATATAAATCAATCCCGTTGAAAGAGTGGCCACAGATCTCAAAAAAGTTTCAATATTATTAAGATTTAAAACAATCTACAATAAATAAATTTAATTTCATATATTTCAAAAATATTATAAAAAATTCTTTTAAAATGTAAAAAAAAAACTTATCACTTTTTACCTCAATTAAACAAACAGCAATAAAAGCAGAATATGCAACCAACATGAGCAAAAAATAGGGACTGTAAAGAGATTCAATGCCATTGCAAAATCTAAATAAAAATTATTTCACTTAAATTGTATATAGTGTAGAATCTTAAATTTTTAATTTTGATTAAAATTAAAGAGAGAAAAAAAGATAAATTCTATATTACACTCAATTGTATAAATATACTGTTCTTTTCCAGTTTAACGGCATTTTAAAAAGTTGTGAAAATGTTTTTATATTGCTTTCTAAATATTTTCTTATTTTAAACATTTCATATTTAGCGCGCTTTTTCTTGCCAATAAGGGAATTATTGTGGCGCAAGCGCAGTTGCGTTTATAAATATCTGTCCTTTTCTAACACATGCTTCAAGTTCGTGAAACTATTGTGCGTTGGACTTTACACCATACGCCATGAACTAATAAAATCATTATAAAAATGTCACGACTTTTTAAAATGCCATCAAACCGAAAGGTTTTTTTTTTAATACAAACTCAATTGCCCGCTTATGATGTTCTATACATAAAACCAATACTTTCAAATTTTCAGTTTCACTTTCAGTGGGATCAATTTTTTGTAATTGTAAACTGAAAAAAATAAAGAATATTTTCCTCAAAAAAAAAAGTAAAATTTAATATTTTAGCTATATCTATATATTATTTGTAATTATAATTTATAAGTTATTTAAAAAAAAAATTACCTGACAATTTTAAATAATGCACATGCATGCTCGGTGAGAACAGAAAATACCGATTCAGCGCCAATAATAATAAATACTATTATAATGCCAATAGATATTAAGTGAACAGTAATAAAATAAAAATAATCCTCGGGACAATCAACGTTATAATAAACTTGAAATGGAAATTTCTTTGGTCTTGATTCATTAAGTGGTAAAACAATGTTAAGTATTTGTGGAGTTAATGATGTGCTGATAAAAAGAATTGTTGTGATAATAAGGATTCCTAAAAGAAAAAAAAATTTTATTAAAAAAAATTTCTTGTTCTTTTATTTCAAATATTAACAAATTGAACATATATTATATATTATATATATAATATATATTATAAAGTTTATAAGAATTATTTTTAAATATATTTTTATATACTTTAAAAATATATTATATATTATAATATAATAAAATTTTAATTGTAGTTTAATTTTAAAAAAAAGTAAAAAAAAAATATATATATATATTGTAATTATATATAGCAAATAAATTTTGTTGACCCGTGCAATAAATAGTTAATATTCTTCCATTATTGACGTGATGTAAAATAATTAATTGCTCCTTTTCAGATGACCAAAATTCCAAATTACATTTGATATCATTAAAAAGTCGAAACAACTGCAAATAAAATAAATAAAAAAATATTTTATTTGTTTCAGATAAATATTTATTTGTTTCAACTAAACATTAACTTGTTTTAAATAAATTTTTATTTGATTTAAAGAAAAATTTTATTTATGATAAATAAATCTTTTATTTACGCCAAATAAATGGAATAGTAGTCTCTGAGACAAATATACGTTTATTTAACTCAAATATATTATTTTTGGTTCAAATAAAACATTTCATTAAGAAAAAATAATAAATGCATAAAAAATTTGATTTTTCAAAAACACAGAATTATAAAAAATTAAAAAAATTTTTTTTTTTTCATTTAAAAAAATTCACAGAAACATAAAACTAACCATATTTCGTTTAAATGAACAAACTATAAAATAAACAAAAGAATTAAATGCTGTAAAAATTAATGGAAAGCCCTCCATCATTTTACTGGTATTGTGCCGTACTTGAATAACGCCACCTATCTAAGAATAAAATATTATAGATCAACTGAGATGTGAATAACAAATTTTTAATATAAAAAAAAAACAAAAAAAAATTTTAATTTAACAATAATAATTAAATATTAATAATAAATTATTATTATTATTTAATTTAATTTTTTAGTTTAGGTTAATAAAAGAAATTACGAGAACAATAAAAAAAGATGAAATACTAAAAACTATAAAACACTGAATGACAAAATTTCGTCTTGCACTGTGAAATGGCCATTGGCCGATGAAAGACATAAGAAATTTATTAATATAAAAGTAACGATTATCAAAGATGTCTTTCATTTTTTTCTCATTAAGCACTCTAAGACTAGTTACTTCTTACTGTATATGATGAAAGTTGAAAATTTACCGAGTGGCAATATATCAATATTTATAATTATTAATTCACAACAATTCTTTGAATTATATTAAGGACATAAAATCTCTATTTGAATTTCGAGGAAAATAATTATTATACATTTTTTAATCAATATTCAATGGAAAAGTGATAGTTGTTGAACATAAATTGTTCGCAAGAAACTTACATGGAAATTTTATACAATTTCCAATCATTGTCTTCATTAATATTTCTTATATTAAGATGCGCGCCTCTATACACAAGCTTTTCTTTGTGCTATAGTTTCAATAATAGAATTTTCATTCAGTCGTTTTTCAATCTCCAAATAGAGAAGAACAATACATAGAATTTAAACTTCTTTGACAATAAAAATTTTACAAATAAAAAATTATTTTTTCACTTTTTTCAAAAATTGATTTATAAATAAAAAAAAATTTAATTATTTATAAATTTTATTTCTACAGAATTATTTAATTTGAAAATTAATTTAATAATTATTTCATTAATTAATTAATAATTTAATTTACTTTTCAGAATCAAAAAAAAACGATAGTTACTTTATTTTTATAAAACATTCAAATAATCGGTTACTTGAGTATTATTAAATAAATATTTACTTGAACAAAAATAAATTTTTATTTAAATTAATTAAATTGTATTAGAACCAATAATTATTGTATTTGGATCAATAATTATTTTGAAACAAATACACATATAATTGTTTAATATAAAATAATTCTTTATTTAATAATTGTCTATTAATCGATTATTTGAGTCAAATAAATTTTGTTTTTTAATGTATCAAACTATCAAATGACATAAAGTGAAGAAAGGTTGGTTTTCATTGTCCCCACTCGCCATTTGTCATAATTTTCGTCAACTACCGCACCCTGCCCTAGTAAAAATTTAGTAACTTTATAGTTACTTTTAATTTTTAAAATAAAGTTAAAAATTTAGTAACTTTATAGTAACTTTTAATTTTAACAACAAAGTTACTAAATTTTTACTAGAGCAGGGTGCGGTAGTTGACGAGAATCATGACAAATGACGAGTGGGGAGAATGGAAATCAGTCTTTGTGACTTAAGAGAAATTTACAAATTTGATAACTTAGCCATTGCTCTTTATATTAAAAATAAAAATAAAAATTTGCTAAAAAGTTACCCCCCTCATTAAAAATTTAGAGATTAATTAATATTTATAAATACCACCATTTTTAGATGTTTCCCTATTCCCTCATGTTTTTTCCCCAATTATTCATGATTTAGTATGAAACACTTGCTTTTTAGCCACTGAATCCAATACGACACTAATTTCACTCATTAAATTTCTTCTTCATTAGTTTTTTTCGCTATCCATTGTATTTTTGAGGTTATGTTTATGCTCCACGGTGAAACGGCCAACGGGCCTCAGCAGCTGCGAATTTCACCCGCCAGGATCGCTAAAGGCAGCTTTCGTAAAACGCCTAATTTGATTAATAACTTGGTGTATTTCATTTTTTTCATATTTAAATAGCATTAATTAATTATTATTGACTATTATTATTTATAATTGTTACAATAAATAGAAATTTCAATTATTTTCCATTTATTTGAAAATTAATTTCATTATCAAAGAATTATCAAGATTAATGTTTTTTTCTTTTCATTACTAAATAAACGAATTGAAAGAAGGAATTCGCTGGCAAACCTGGTTGTTGTAAGAATTTTTTTTTGTTCTGAAAAAATAATTGACCTCAAGTTGTTGTTGACAACAGCAGAGTAATATATGAGAATGAATCCTGAAGAATCTTGTCAAAAATAAAAAATTTGTAAAAAATTTTTAATATATTGAAAAAAATAAAAATACTTACCGCACAAGCACTTGATAATGACATATCCATCATTTTACCAGCAGTTATTTTACATGGTACTTGACTTCTCATCATAATAAGTAACAAAAGTTTCTTTATTTTCACTGGCATTTGATACCACGAACCATCATATCTGTAAATTAATTAAAAAAATATATTAATATAGTAAATTTTGTTCAATATTAATTACTATCAAACATAATTTTAAAAAAACTGTTTTTTTCGTTACAGAGAAAATTTTTTTTTTTTAATTTAAAAAAAAAACTTACATAAAATATTGTATTATTTATTAAATATTTATTTTATGTATAAAAAAAAATTACATAATATCCGTAAGAGCAGTGCTGTGATTCATTAATTTTTGTGAGAAGAAACTGTTTAAAAATATATGAATTAGAGAACTTCCACTAAAAAAGCCAAATTTCATAGCAATTTCAAAATTATCAAGATGCACAACAAGCTGAAATTAAGTAAATATTAGTTTATTTTTATTTATTTTCAATATATAATTTAATAAACTACACGGAAAAAATTATTCTTGGTATATGAAGATTCGAACCCGGGTTCCTCGCACAAAAATCGTTAATGCTAACCAACCTACTACGACAAACCACAAGGTGTCTAAAAATTTTTCATGTAATATTGAGAATAACTAAACAAAAAAACTACACAAAATAAATTAAAAAAAAATTTTTTACCTGAATCAAAGAAACAGAAATTAACAAGGCATTTAATGTCACTACAAATAAAAAACAGGGTCCATAAATAGATTCAATATTGCTGCAAAATCTGATTATATAAAAATGATTACAAAAAATCTATAAATAATATTTATAAAATTATAATAAAGAATTAATTTTAAATATTATACAAACTCAATAGCTCGATTGTGTTGTTTTATGCAAAAAATTACTTCTTTTAAAATTCTTCTTTCATTGTTACTGCTATTAATATTTTGTAACTGAAGACTAAAAAAAAAAAAATTATTAAGTTATAAAAAAATATATTTTAATTTTTATTTCTTTTTTTTTTTTTAATTTTTATTACGCGAAACAATTACCCAATTATTTGAAATAAACTACATGCATGCTCGGTGAAAAATGCCAAAACAGATTCAAAACTAATGAGAATAAAACTTTCTAAAATACCATTTAACGTAATGTGAAATATAATCCAATAAAAATAATTCTCAGAATAATTGACAAAATAATATATTTTAAATAGCATTTCTTTTGATCGCGATTCATTTTGAGACGATAAAATATCAAAAAATTGTGGTCTTGATGACATTATTAAATAAGTAATTAATGTTCCCGTTAGACATCCTAGAAAATAATTTCTTATAATTATTTAAATCTTTAATTAATTTTTTTTTCGATATTTAATTATTTTTTTTTTTAATTAATTTTAAAAAATTAATTATTTTTACCAGTGCAGAAAAAAGTAAACAATTTTCCATGATTGGCGTGATTTAAAATAATTAATTGTTCTTGTTCTGAGGACCAAAATTCCCAATCAAATTTGATTTCATGATAAAGTTCACCAATCTGTAAAATAAAATGAAATATATATTAATTTTAAACCAAAAATTTTTTTGAATTAGTTTTTTTTAAAATAACAAAAAAAATTTATATAAAATTATTTTTTTTTTAACTTTAAAAACAAAAATAATATAAATTAAAAAAAAAGAAATAAAAAATTAAATTATACATAATAATTTTTATAGTAACAATTATTAAAAAATTCACCTTTTTCTGGTTAGAAAAAAAAGTGAAGCTATAAATAAGAGAACTTGTTCCTGTAAAAATTGTTGAACTGCATTCTATTATTTTATCAGCATCGCCCCAAATACTAAATAAACCAGCAACCTAATAATAATTACATATAAAAAATCAAATATTAAAAATTAAAATAAAAAAAAAAAAATTAAAAATTAATTTAAAATTAAATAAAAATTATTTTTGTACAAAATAAAAACTATTTTTAAAATAAAAGAAAAAAAAAAAAAAGTAAACTAAAAATTACCGTGTGAATAAAAAAAAGTAAATGATTGAAAATCACAAAACATTGAATAGAAAGATTTCGTTTTTTACTATGAAATGGCCATTGGCCAATGCAAGATAAGAAAAATTTATTAATGTAAAAATAACGATTGTCAAAGAAATCAGCCATATTTCACTCTCATATAATGAAGATGCACAAATCAAGACTGATGATTACACTTCTTGTATATACACTGAAAGAAAGTTTTTCTAAAGAAAAAGTAAAAAAAACTAAATTTTATACTAATAATTTATTTACAATAACTCTTTGAAAAGTAATTACATCTTCAAAGACCAAGTCTTCTGTAACGAATTTACATTTAAAATGAATATTCAATGGAAAAATGTCTAGAAAAATTGATCGCAAACAAACTCACAAGAAACTTTACAATTATTCTATAATGACTGTCTTCATAAATATTTCACATAAATATAATGTGGAGCGCATGAATATCCCATAAAAAATCATTAGCTAAAATATTTCATTCGTATAAAATATGAATTTCATTTGACAGAATTTTTAGACGAATTTTCATTTTTTGAATTAGCATAATTTTCAGTTACTTTCTTAAGTAAACGAAATTTTATTCAACATAATTTTTACCAAATTTTTATTCAACATAATTTTTACCAAATTTTTATGTAACACAATTTTTACCAAATTTTTATGTAACACAATTTTTATTTTTAACAAATTCTCATTCAACAGAATTTTAGTAATTCAAATTGTTTAATGTCAAAATTTTTAATTTATTGAATCTTCATTATTGTTCGAATTTTTATTTAAACTAATTTATTATTTCATAGAATAAAAAAAGGTCAAAAATATATCGACGTAGTTTTTAAAATAGAACCAATTAGAAATTATTAAGAAAATTGTGATTGGTCTTTTTTTAAAATTAGCGCCAAAAATTTCTGATAAATAAAGATTCGATAGTTTAAAAACTATGACATTAAACATTTTGAATCACTAAAATTCAGTTGAATGAAAATTTTGATAAATTAAAATTGTTTTAAATTATATAATTCCTTAAAATAAAAAAGTTGGATAACAAAAATTTGTTAAAATAAAACTTATGTTAAAATAAAAATTTGATACCTAAAAATTATTTTAAATAAAATTTCGTTTAGAAAGAAAGTAATTCAAATATATGCTAATTCGAAAAATGAAAATTCGTCTAAAAAGAAATTTATACAAATGAAAATTCTAGCTAATGTTTTTTATGGGATATTCGCTACTGAATTACAAAAAAATTTTAGTACAGCAACTGCCTCAAATTGAATATAGAAATTCTTCGTTTTGAGTTGCACCAAAAATTTTCCCACTGAGCTTTTTTTGAAAAAAAAAAACAGAATTTTTTCCATCCCTTATAGTATATATTTATAAAAACTTATTTTTTAAATAAAATGTTTCAAAATAAAAATTATTTAATACAAAATAAATTAGTTTAAATAATAATTAAATTTAGTATAATTTATCTGCAATGAGAAAAAAAATTTATTTTACTCAAATAATCGATTACTTTACTATTATTAAATAAATATTTATTAATTTTTAAGTCAATTAAATGGTATTTGTTTCAAATACAGAAATTATTAATTCAAATAAAGTTTATTTAATTAAAAATTTAAAAAATTAAAATTATTTGGTTCAAATAAATATTTTTTTGAAAATAGTCAAAAGATTATTTGAATCAAATAAAATTTTTTTTTCAGTGTATGTTAATTTAAAAAAAAATATAAAAAAAATATAAAAATATAACTTTTTGATAAAGTTTACGAAACTAAAAATAATTGTGCTAAAATTTCTAATTCTAATTTTGCATCTTTAAAAGAAAGTTTCCCTTTTTGTATATGAGAAATATCAATTTTACAATTATTCATAATAATATACTCTTTGAATAGAAATAAATTTTCCACTTTTCTGGAAAGAATAAATTATTAAATGAATTTACGAAGAAACTTTAAAAGTAAAAGTTTCCTTTAAAAGATATCTATATATCAATATTTTTAATAATAATTTCGCAAATAATAACTGATTCGTGAATAAGGGATATATTTGAACAGTTTTCTGTCAGTTTTCTGGAAAGGAATAAAATTTAATTGTCATGCAATAACATGTTTGTAAAGAAACTTTAAAAGAAACTTTACAAACTTTATATTGCTACAATTATATAATGCAGGAATAGAAAATTTTGTTTTTGCCTAGAAAATTTTTTTCAGTACATGTGTTTATTTATTTATTTATTTATTTATTATTATTATAATTATTATTTTAAAATGCGATAAATAATTTTTTTTTACATTTAAAGTGCATGATATGAAAAGAAGTAGGTATATATATATAAGATACTGTTGGTTTTTGTAATTTCAAGATTATTATATTTTTTTCTAAAGAAAAAAAATCCCTGATATTCCTCAATAATTCGTCGTTGATAACATTAGAGTAAAATACGAGAAACAAGTTTGAAGTATCTATTTCAAAAAAAAAAATGTAATTAATAAAATTTCTATAATTTAAAATTCTATAAATTACATAAAAAAAAGACCAAAGCGAATTATAGGTTATGTTTATGATATTTATAGATTAAAAATTTCTTTTTATTTATGTAAATTCAAAATCAAATTTTATTGAATACTTTAGATGTATTAAATATTTAAATATTAATAATTTGTTATTCATTTTTTGTTAAAATCGTTTTTAAAATTTTATTATTATTATTATTATTATTATTATTATTATTATTATTATAAAATAAGTAGAAAATTATTAGTATTATTATAAATTTCACTCTGTTATTAATAAAATTAATAAATAATTTATATTGAGATTGGATTTTCTCTATGTATTTTCATTAAAAAAAATTTTAAACATAACCTATAATTTTTCTTTGCTTCTTCTTATGTCTCTTTTTTTCACAGCTTGTCATAGATATATTTTGCAAAAATTCTTACCGCGCATACACTTTTTAATGAAATATCAATTATTTTTCCAGCAGTTATTTTACAAGGTATTTCACTTCTCATCATCATAAATAACAAAATTTTCTTTATTTTCACTGACTTTTGATACCAAGAACTATCGTATCTGTATAAATAATTATAATGATTTTTTTTGTTTTGTAATTTAGAGTATATTTATATATAAAAAAGAAAAAACCCAGATCCCTAATAACACAAGATATCTTGGGATATATTGATAATATCCCGCAGATATCCTAGGGATGTCCTATGGATATCAAAAGGATCTCTTAAGGATATCCAAAAAAATCGGCGGTTTGGATATCCTTTGGATATTCCATGGATATATGAGGATATCCACAGGATATCTTCTGGATATCTCTATAGACTTTCATAAATGTCCTCCAGATATCCCATAGATATCGTCAGGATATCCCACATATATTTTCAGGATATTCTCAGTATATCTTCCGTATGTCAAGAAGATCCTGTGAATATCCTAAGAATATCCCACGGATATCCTAAGGATATCCCATGGATATCCTGCAATATAATATCCAATAGATATTTTGTGGATGTCTTAGGGATATCCTATGGATGTCCTGTTGATGTCCCACAGACCGGCGGTTTGGATATCCCAAGATATCCTGGGCACTATTCTAGGATATCGACCATTGATATGGATATCCTAGGGATATCCTTTTATTATGAGGGATAGCACTTAAGGTTGCCAACCTTGCACGGCAAACTTGCCGCAAGCTTCAAATGTCCCACCTAACCCAAGCTTTCATTTTATAAGCTTACCGAAATATTGCAGTGTAAGATTACTGCAAGATTGCGGTGTAAGGTTACTGCAATATTGCACAATAAGATTATCGCAAAATTGCTCAGTAAGCTTGCACGGTAAGCTTGTAACAACGTTGGTGCAAGATTGCCAAATAACCTTACTTTGAAACTAAAAAAAATTTTTTTTTAATTTTTCATCTTATTTATACATTTTTATTATATAAATTAGACGAAAAATTAAAAAAAAAAAATTTCGTTTTAAAGTAAGGTTATTTGGCAATTTTGCACCAACCTTGCTACAAGCTTACCGTGCAAGTTTACTGAGAAATCTTGCGATAATCTTATTGTTCAATGTTGCAGTAACCTTACACTGAAATCTTTCTGTAAGCTTACCATGCAAAGCTTGGGTCAGGTGGGACATTTGAAGCTTGCAGTAAGCTTGCGACAAGTTTGCCGCGCAAGGTCGGCAATATTGCGCGGCAAGCTTGCCGCAAGGTTGCTGTAAGCTTACGTGCTATATGGGTAAATAATGAATTTTTTTTTGAATTGAAAATTAAATTTACATTATAGTTGGGAGTTCAGTACTGTAGTCAATTAATCTCTGCGCAAAGAAACTATTAAGGAGTACATAAATCAAACTACTAGTACATGCCCATCCAAATTGAATTGACATTTTGAGATTATCAAGATGTAAAACAAACTGAAATAAATTTAATTATTATTTAATTACAATTACAATAATGTCAACAAAAAAAAAAAAAATAAAAAAAAAAACTAATGTAAATTTTACCTCAGTTAAACAAACAGAAATTATAAAGGCATTTATTGACATTACAAAAAAGAAGCAGGTCACGTAAATCGATTCAACATTGTTGCAAAATCTAATAATATTGTATAAATGAAAAATTTATAACTTTATAAAACCGATAGAAAAATTAATGAAAAAAAAACAATATTATTAAAAAATAATAAATCTATTAAAAAAAAAAAATATGAAAAATATTTTTAAATTTTATACAAACTTAATCGCTCGTTTATGTTGTTCTATGCAAAAAAATAATTTTTCCAAATTCTCCCTTTCATTGTCATTGTTATTAATTTTTTTTAATTGAAAACTAAAAGAAAATAAAAACAATTTAATATAATATCTAAATTAATAAAAAATACTAAAAAAAAAAAAATTTTTTTTATTTCTAAAATTTGAAAGAACCCAATTATTACCCAATTATTTCAAACAAAGCGCATCCATGTTCAATGACTATAGCAAAAGAAGATTCAAAACCAACGAAAATAAAAAATTGACAAATTAAATTTATCGCTATATGAAAAAAAATAAAATAAAAATAATCTTCTGAATTGACAAAAAAATAGACTTCAAGTGAAAGTGTTTTAGATCGCGTTTCATTAAGAGGATAAACAATATCTAGAATTTGTGGAATAAATGATGGCGATAAAAAAAAAAATATTGTTGCCGTTACGCCTCCTAAAAAATTGTTAAAAAGTTTAATAAAATTTTAATATATAATTATATATATATATATTATATATTTTTATTAATATTTAATTTAAATATCTAAATATTAATTTAATTTTGACCTGAACATAACAAAGTGAACAATCTTGCATAATTAGCGTGTTTTAAAATAATTAATTGTTCTTCTTTAGAGGTCCAAAATTGCCAATCAAATTTGATATCACAATAAAGTTGATAATACTAGAAAAAAAAATATATAAAATTCTAAAATAATAATAAATTTATGTAGAAAAATAACTTTTAAAAATAGAAAAATTTTTATTTTGAAATGGAAAAAAAAATTACTTTTTTTTTTAATTAATACGAAAATTTCTATTTTAAATAAATATATCAGAAAATTCACCTCTTTTCCTTTCATCAAATTAACTACTTTGATAGAAAAAGAACATATAGATGTAAAAACTGGTAAACAGGAATTTACCATTTTATCACTATCACCCCATACATTAATTAATCCACCTATCTATATGTATATAAGATTTAATATAAATAAAATTTTAAATTAAAAAATTTTTTATACAAAAATTCACAACACAATATTCAAGTTCAATTGTAATTTAAATGGTTTAAATTCTATTATAATTTTGTATTTTAAAATAAATGAAACATAAAGACAATGAATTAAATAAATTTTTCAATAATTTTCAATTAATTTTAAATTTTAAACTCTTTTTTATCACTTAAAATACTAAAATACGAAGATCAGCTGTTCTTACCGACGGCGGCCATTTTTTTCAGACACGTGACAATATCGACCAATTAAAATATATAGACAGCAATTTTTCCCGCTATTTCTTTAAATTTCGTCCTCTTACTTTTTTCAACAATTGAAATATTTTGAATCAATATGCAAAATTATTTTTTATTTATAATATTAATTATAAAAATAAATATATTTTTATAATAATAATAATAATAATAATAATAAAATAAATATATTTTTATAATTAATAATATAAATAAAAAATAATTTTGCATATTAATTCAAAATATTTCAATTGTTGAAAAAAGTAAGAGGATGAAATTTAAAAAAATTGCGGGAAAAATTGCTGTCTATTTTAATTGGTCGATATTGTCACATGACTGGAAAAAATGGCCGCCGTCGGTAAGAACAGCTGATCTTCGTATTTTAGTATTTTAAGTGATAAAAAAGAGTTTAAAATTTAAAATTAATTGAAAATTATTGAAAAATTTATTTAATTCATTGTCTTCGTATTTCAGTATTTTAATTTTAAGTGACATGAAAAATTCTTTATTATAAAAAATCGGTTATATTCTAATAAAGAAAACCGGTTTAATGAAAATTCGACAAAATATAATATAATTCAAACATAAAATTTGGCTCAATTAAAATTAAATCTAATCGAAATTCTATTAAATGAAAATTCTAACAAACTGATTTTTAGAACTTAATCCCAAAAAAAAGGAGGGAAGTAAACGACAAAAATTTACCGTAGTAAAAGAATAAATTGCATGATAAAAAATTACTATACATTGAACCAAAAAATTTAATTTTGTGTTATTAAATGGCCATTGTCCAATGTAGGTGAAGAGAAATTTATTAATACGAAAATAACGATTGTCAAAAATGTCAGTCATTTTTTTTTTTTTTTTTTTTGTCCTTTTTAAATAAAAGAGATGAAATTTAAGACTGATGACTATTATTGTTTTTGTATGTTGACCAATTGACCATTATTTGTCATTAATTATTTCTACATATTAAATATTTCCAACGATATTATATTAAAATAATCGTTTTTTGCTGTTTTTAATTCCTTACAATAAAAGTTGGTGAAAAAGTTAGTTTTCTAGGTCTCGATCATTATCTTCATTAATATTTTCTAAATAAAATAATGTATGTCCCTATAGCTCTCGATGGCTATATATTTTTTCTACTTCAAGAAAGTAGTTTGAAATATCTTACTTTAAAATGTTAATAGTATATATATATATATATTTACAACAACGCTGTACATATTTTGTAAAAATAAAAAATTTACTAATTTACTAAATTTAAGTAAGTTACTTTTTGAATATATATATATTTTTTTTTAAAAAAGGTGAATAAAATTAATTTAAATTAACAATTACAATGTAGAATTAATTTTAAAAAAAATAACTAATTTAATATTACTTTTTCAAAAATTAGTATAATTTAAAATTTAATGTATAATATTGAAAATGTGTCTGGCAAAAAACGACTTAAACTACTTCATTATCGACGATAATTATATGATAGTCTCCCTAAAATCAACTTATACCACTGCCTGACACCTTAAGTTTTATACTACTCATTCGTATTAATAAAAAATTATTTTTACAATTTTTTTTTAAACTAAAAAATATAATAAATATTACATATTAGATATATATTTATCACACACAGAAAATAATTAGTTACTAAATAATAAACTACTACTAATTTTATTTTTTTATACTATATTACCTTAAAATATATAACCTCAAAATTAGGTCAATTTCTATATCTCAAGAGGCCGTTGGGTTTGAAGTTAAAATCGGCTAACATAACCTTAAAATTAGATTAATTTCTAGGTCAAAAAAACCGTTGGATTTGAGGTTAAAATCTTGGTTTGTTTTGTATTTTGACCTTGAACTTCAATCTAATTTTGAGGTTATGTTTTAACCTCAAACCCAGCAGTCTCTTGACATATCTAATCTTTAGGGTCAAAATACGAATAAATTAGAAAACATAACCTTAAAATTAGGTTAATTTCTAGGTCAAAAAACCGCTGGATTTGAGGTTAAAATCTTGGTTTGTTAGTATTTTGACCTTGAACTTTAATCTAATTTTGAGGTTATGTTTTAACCTCAAACCCAGCAGTCTCTTGACATATCTAATCTTTAGGGTCAAAATACGAACAAATTAGAAAACATAACCTCAAAATTAGGTAAATTTCTAGTTCAAGTGACCGTTGGGTTTGAGTTTAAAATACGAACCAAAATACTAACAAACCTAAAAACACAGATTCTTGAAACAGCGGCGGCGAGGTTTTTTTTTAATATTAGTAAATTATATTATATTATATATTACATTATAATTTTATTAATAGTAATTATATTTAATTACTAATTATTTTTTAAATAGTTGACGATATCCATCACGTAGATGTTGATAACAGCAAAGTAAAATATGAAAAAGATGCTCGTAGAAGCTTTTTAAAATAAAATTCATTTAGTAAAATATTTATATTAAATTATGTCAAAATTTTGTTTGGAAATTAAAAAAATACAATTTAAAAAAATTGTGTTTTTAAAAAAATACAGTTTATAAATAATATTATATACATCGAGAGAAAAGATTTCTTTGATTTAAAGAAACCAATTTCTTTGACTTGTTTTCTTTCATTTAAAATAAAATTTTCTTTGAAACAAAAAAAAACTTCTTAGTTCTAATTTCTTTGAATTAAAGAAATTTTTTTTTGAATGAAAGAAATTTGTGCATTAAATTAAAGAAATTCTAACATTGATATAGGGTTTAAAAAAATATTTATTTAAATTAAAGAAAAAATTTCTTTGAAACGAAGATAATTTTTTTTTTTTTAATCAAAGATAATTTGTTTGAAACAAATAAAAATATTCTTTAAATCAAAGAAAAAATTTGTCAGAGAAATTTATTTCTTTGAATCAAAAAAATCTTTTTTCTGGATGTGTAGATATAAAAAAAAATATGAAAATAAAAAATTTTTTTTTTATAATTTACTCACCGAACATGCACTTTTTAATGACATATCCAACATTTTTCCAGCAGTTATTTTACACGGAACTCGACTTCTCATCATAATAAGTAATAAAATTTTCCTTATTTTCACTGGCATTTCATACCAACAACTATCGTATCTGTAAATATTATAAAAAAGTTAATTAAAAATTTTTTTTCAGTTTTTTTTTTTAAATTCTTAGAATAGAATTTTGTTTACTAAAAAAAAAAAAAATTTTCTTTAATTTAACATTTTTTCGAAAATTTTTTGCCAGTTTAAAAAAATGCCTTTTCTCTCAATTGCGAAATATTTTGTTTTTTTAAGCAGCAGTCGGTAAAATAGATTGGTCAGAAAATTATAATTTGTTTCATCAGCAGTCGGTAAAATAGCCTGAACGTTAAAAATATTCTAAGCGGTTTTTATTAGTAGTCGGTAAAACAGTTATCTGTTGTTGCCAGCAGGAGGTAAAATTAGAAAAATCGGTAAAAACAGTAATTTGTCTTATCAGCAGTTGGTCAAATAGCCAAATCGGTAAAAATATCCAAATCTTTTTTATTAATAGTCGGTAAAACAGTTATCTGTTTTGTCAGCGTTCGGTATAATAGTTTGATCGGTAAAAACTCTACTCTGTTTTATCATCAGTTGGTAGAATAGCAAGAACGGTAAACATATCGTAATCTTTTTTATTAGAAGTCGGTAAAACAGTTATCTGTTTTGTCAGTAGTCGGTAAAATAGTCAGATCGGTAAAAAAAAGTCTAATTTATTTTCTTATAATATAATAATATAAATTAATATATTATATAGTAATTTTATAAGAAAAATTACATGACATCTGTGAGTCCAGTGCTATAATCGATTAATCTTTGTGAAAAGAAACTGATAAAAAATAAATGAATCATTGAACTTCCACCAAATAATGTAAATTTTAATGCAACTTGAAAATTATCAAGATGTACAACGAGCTGAAATTGATATTTAAATTAAATTAATAATTTTTATTTATATTTTAAATTTTATTTTAAATTATATTTTAAATTAAAAATAAAAAAATTAAAATTAAAAAATTTAAAAAAATTTATAGTTATAAAAATATTAAATAAATTTTTGAATTTTTTTTTTTTTTACCTGAGTTAAACAAACAGAAGTTAATACAGCGTTTAATGTCATTATAAATAAAAAGCAAGGACCATAAATAGATTCAATATTACTGCAAAATCTAATTTAATAAAAATTATTTTACGCAGAAATATACACGAAAAAAAAAAATTTACCTGGAACAGAGAAACGTTTCACTATAGTAGCGAAATTTTTACTTGTTTCAATTAAATATTTCGCTATTCTAATGAAACTTTTCGCTGTTTCAGGTAAATATTTTTTCCGTGTAGATTTCATTGGTTTTTTTTTTTATATAAATTTATCTTTTTTACTAATATTCAAATAAAAATGGAAGAAATTAAAAAAATTCATTCTAGTCAATTTTTTTTGAAATACAAACTCAATAGCTCGATTATGATGTTCTATGCAAAAAAATACTTTTTTCAAATTCTTCTTTTCGTTTTCATAGCTATTAATTTTTTGTAATTGTAGACTAGAAAAGAGACAAAAAAAAAATATTATTTGTAAATATTTGTAAAAAAATTATTATTATTATTATTATTATTATTATTATTATTATTATTATTATTATTATTATTACCCAATTATTTTAAATTGTCCACAAGCATGTTCAGTGAAAACAACCAAAACAGATTCGCAACTAATAAGAATGGAACTTATTAAAATATCATTTAACGAGAAAAAAAATGTAATCCAATAAAAATAATTCTCGTAATAATTGACAAAATAATAAAATTCATATGGCAATTTTTTTGATCGTGAATCATTTAATGGTGAAATAATATCGAGAATCGTTGGGCTTATAAGCGATATTATATCAATAATTGATGTCCCCATTAGGCAGCCTAGAAAATTAAAAAAAAGAAAAAAAAAAATTTCTATATACTGTAAATTTATTTTAAACTAAATTAGTTGTTTTAATTTTTTTATTAAAGTAATTAAAATTAAATCATCACGACCTGTATAAAAAATTGTAAATAATTTTCCATGATTGGCGTAATTAGAAATAATTAATAATTCTTGTTTGGATGACCAAAATTCCCAGTCAAATTTAATTTCCCGATAAAGTTGACCAAACTGTAAAATAATATATAGAAATATTAGTGCAGAAAAAAATTCTGATTTTAAAATTTCTAAAAAAAAATTAAGGGAAAAAAATCTTAACCTGGAACAATGATAAGTTTCTCTGGAACAGGGATTTATTTTATTGAAGGAGCAAAAATTTTCTCTATTCTAGAGAAATATATCGCTGTTCGAAATAAAGATTTTTTTTGTTTCAATTTATTTTTTATTATTTTATTTATTTTTTTTTTTTTTTTACAAAACTGACAAATCAAAATTAAACATCTGTTTACTCATTTTAAAAAACGAAAAAAAAAACTAAAATTTTCATAGTGACAGTACATTTAAAAAATTCTAATTTAATAATTAAATTTAATTCCAATTTAATATAGAAAAACCGATAATTCACCTTTTTTTGTTTAAATACAATAATGATGATAAAAACAAGAGAAGCAATTCCTGTAAAAATTACCGGCGTGCAGTTTATCATTTTATCAGTATCGCCCCATACTTTAAAAAATCCTGCCACCTATATATATATATATATAATAATTACTTACTTTATTTTTAAAAATAATTATAATTAATATTTTGCTAAAATATTTATTTATTTGAAATATTAAACGCGGCAATATTGGTTTGAATTTTTTAGCATTAAAAAAATAAAATAATAATAATAAAAATTTCAATTTTCATTAAATAAAAATTTATTTAAAAAATAATATTTTAGAAAATAAAAGTTTATTTAAAAAAAAAAAAACAATATTTCAGTAAATAAAAGTTTATTTAAAAAATAATATTTTAGAAAATAAAAATTTATCAACAAAAAAAAAATATATACACTCAGAGAAATGATTTACATTTGAACCAAATAAAATATATTTGAATTAAATAAACGTATATTTGTCTCAGAGCCTACTAACTTATTTATTTGGCGTAAATAAAAATTTTATTTGTCAAAAATAAATTTTTCTTTGGCTCAAATAAATTTTTTATTTCAATGAAATAAAATATATTTGCAACAAATAAATGAGCGTTAATAGGCTCGGAGACAAATATACAATTTCTCTGAGTGTATATAATAAAATAAAAAAAATAAGTAAACGAAAAATTACCATAGGCATAAGATAAAGTAAAAGATACAAAATAACGAAAAATTGAATAAAAATATTTCGTTTTATACTATTAAATGGCCATAAGCCAATGCAAGACAGAAGAAATTTATTAATATAAAAATAACGTTTATCAAAGACGTCGTCAGTCATTTTTATTTTCTCTCTCTCTCTCTATTTTTTTTCTCTCTCTTACTGCAAAATGTGTGAAAGACTGATAAATTTCAATATTACATTTTGAAAGCAAAAGTATATATAAATATCCCTCAAGGGAAATGAAAATTTTTAAGATTGCTTTATATAATTTATTTATAATTCTTCGAAATGAAAACACAATAAATTTTCTCTAAGGAAATATTATATATATATATATATATATATATATATATATATATATATATACATTTTAAATGTAAATTTCCATGGAAAATAGAGAATAGAAACAATTTTTTTTCTTATAATTGTTTTTCTCAAGAAACTTTGAAAGTTTGTAGATTTCGATCATTACAATTCATATATCTTCGCAGTAATATTTTCTATAATAGGAAGCGAGTCTCTATATAGCTTTTGATTTATAAATCAAAGCTATATCCTCAAAGAATAAAATAGTCTTTCAGTATTCCTTCAATCTCCGAGCAAACTAGAACTTAACACACGTCAAATAATAAATTTTAAAAACAAATTTTTTTTTTTTTAAATTTGACGTCTCTTAAGAAAAATGAAATGATTTTTTTTTACAGTATTCCTCATTATTCACTATTACGAAGTTTGACAATATTATTTGAATGATTTGAATTTTTTAAAATTTTATTTTATAAAAATAAAAAAAAATTTTTTAAAATTAATAATTTTATTTACAATTTTTTTTATTATTATTTTAATTTTCATTATTTTCATTTTTATTATTTTAATTTCTATTATTTTAATAGAATAATTAATTAATTAATTAATTATTTTAATTTTTATTATTTTCCGTATTTACTTTTTTAGTAAACTCGTTTTTTGTTCCACGCCTTTTCATTTTATTAATATAATTTTTATTATTTCTAATTATTAATAACATATACTTATTATTATAAATATTATTTTTTTTTTATTTGCTTTATTAATATAATTTTTATTTATACTTATTATTAGAAATGGATAATTCAATTGTTTAGGAATTTTTCATGTCGTCGTTGATAACAGCAAAGTAAAATAGGAAAAAGAAGCTTTTAGAACCTTTAAAAAAAAATTGAAATTTTAATAAAATTTTGATAAAACAATCCACGAAATACAAACACAATTTTGTTTTAACAACATTCTTACCGAACAAGCACTAGCCATTGACATATCCATTATTTTACCAGCAGTTATTTTACTAGTTTTTCCGCTTCTCATCATAATAAATAATAAATTTTTTCTTATTTTCATTGGCATTTGATACCAAGCACTGCTGTATCTGTAAATTATTATTTTTTAATCTATTTATCATTAGTTGGTAAAACAGTTATTTGTTTTGCCATCAGTCGATAAAATAGTCATAATGGTTAAAAAAAAGTCTAATTTGTCTCATCAACAGTCGGTAAAACAGTCACAGGGATAAAAAACCTAATCTTTTTTATTACCAGTCGATAAAACAGTTATCTGTTTTTTCCAGCAGTCGGTAAAATAGACTGATGAGTAAAAAACAGTTTAATCTATTTCATCAACAGTCGGTAAAAAAGTAAAAACAGTAAAATATTTTAATACTATTTATTAGGAGTCGGTAAAACAGTCATCTGTTTTGACAGTAGTCGGTAAAATAGTCAGAACGTTAAAAATTTTCTAAGCGGTTATTATTAGTCGGTAAAATAGTTATCTGTTGTTGCCAACAGTTGATAAAATAGACTGATCAGTAAAAAAACAGTTTAATCTGCTTCAATCAACAGTTGGTAAAATAGTCACAACGGTAAAAATATCTTAATATTTTTTATTAACAGTCGGTAAAACAGTCATCTGTTGTTGCCAGCAGGAGGTAAAATTAGAAAAGTCGGTAAAAACAGTAATTCGTCTCATCAGCAGTTGGTCAAATAGCCAAATCGGTAAAAATATCCATATCTTTTTTATTAATATTCGGCAAAACAGTTATTCTTTTTTGTCAGCAGTCGGTAAAATAGTTTGATCGGTAAAAACTCTACTCTGTTTTATCATCAGTTGGTAAAATAGCAAGAACGGTAAAAATATCGTAATATTTTTTATTAGCAGTCGGTAATTCAGTTTTCTGTTTTGTCAAATGTCGGTAAAATAGTTAAATCGGTAAAAAAAATCTAATTTATTTTCTTATAATATAATAATATAAATTAATATATTATATAGTTATTTTATAAGTAAAATTACATAACATCCATGAGACTAGTGCTGTAATCCATTAATCTTTGTGTAAAGAAACTGATAAAAAATAAATGAAGAAGAGAACTTCCACCAAAGAAGAGAAATTTTATAGATTTGAAATCATTAAGATGTACAACAAGCTGAAATAAATGAAAATTTATTTTATTTTTCAATTTAACTCAATAATACACGGAAAAAAATTATTGTCGATATGGGGGATCGAACCCGGGTTCCTCGAACGAAAGTCAAGAAGGCTAACCTATCTGCTACGATAAATTTTAAAGTACAAAATACAATTTTTACCTGAGTTAAACATACGGAAATTAAAGAAGCATTACATGCTACAATGAATAAAAAACAAGGTCCATAAATAGATTCAATAGTTCTGCAAATTCTATAATTATAAAAAATTATTTTTCAAATCTAAAATTTAATTAAATAGTCAAATCTATTTATCATCAGTTAGTAAAACAGTTATCTGTTTTGTCAGCAGCCGATAAAATAGTCAGATTGGTAAAAAAAAACTAAAAAAGTCAAATTTGTCTCATCAGCAATCAGTAAAACAGCTACAGTGATAAAAAAAATATAATCTGTTTTTATTAGCAGTCGGTAAGACAGTAACCTGTTTTTTGCCATCAGTCGGTAAAATAGACTTATCAGTAAAAAAAGTAGTTTAATCTGTTTCATCAACAGTCGGTAAAATATCTTAATATTTATTATTAGCAGTCGGTAAAACAGTCATCTGGTTTGACAGTAGTCGGTAAAATAGCCCGAACGTTAAAAATATTCATTTTTGTTGTACTCAAAATGTATGTTAAAATTATTTTCATTGAAAAATAAAATTTCCATTAAAAATTTAATATAAGGTGTCTAAAATTTATTTCATATAGTTATAAATATTTTAATAATATTTTATTATATTTTTTAAAAAGTACAAACTCAATCGCTCGATTATGATGTTCTATGCAAAAAAATAAATTCTCCAAATTCTTTTTTTCATTTTCATTGTTATTAATTTTTTCTAACTGTAGGCTAAAAGAAAAAAAAGTACATTATTGTAAAAAACAAAAAAAAAAAATGAAATTTTTTTAAAATACTTTTTTCAAAAATAATTACCCAATTATTTTAAATAATGCACATCCTTGTTCGGTCAACGTTACCAAAGTTGATCCAACACAAATAACAATAATACTTATTAAAATTTCATTTAACGAAATGTGAAATGTAATCAAATAAAAATAATTTTCAGAATAATTAACAAAATAATATGGTTCGTAGGGCAATTCTTTGGATCGTGATTCATTCACAGGTAAAATAATGTCGAGAATTTTTGGACTTAATATCCATGTGATATCAACAATTTCTGTTCCAATTACACAAGCTAAAATTTTATATTCAAAAAATTGTAATTTTAATATTAAATTAATTTTTTCTAATTTATAATTAAAATTTTTTTCTTTAAATTATTTTCTTTTTTTTCATTTATAAAATTGTTATAAATTTTTTACTATGCGGTTAAAATTATATAAAAAATTAAATCATTATTAAACCTGTGTCAAAAAGAGTAAATAATTTTCCATGATTGGCACAATTAGAAATAATTAATAATTCTTGTTCGGTCGACCAAAATTCCCAATCAAATTTAATTTCCCGATAAAGTTGACCAAACTGAAAAAAATAATATAGAAATATTGATATAAAAATTTTTAAATAAAATTAATTAAAAAAAAAATTTTTTTTAATATCTCAATTCACCTTTTTTTGATTTAAAGAAATTATAAGCATAAAAAGAAGAGAACCAGTGCCTGTAATCATTACAGGAGTGCAACTTATCATTTTATCACTATTTCCCCATGCTCTAAAAAATCCAGCCACCTATTATATTTAAATACTCATTTTTATTTTTTAATTATTAAAAATTAAAACTATAAATAATAATATATAATTATTGATTTATTATTATTTATTCATTTATTATTATTATTATTATTATTATTATTATTATTATTATTATTATTATTAATTAAATAATTATTTAAAAAAAAAATTTAAGGGGTCCGGAACATAAAAATCACTCTGTATATTATTATTATTATTATTAATTATTTAATTAATAATAATAATAATAATATACAGGGTGATTTTTATGTTCCGGACCCCTTAAAAAATTTTTTTCGAATGTCATTTTTTTCGTTTTTTTAAACAAAAAAAGAGAAATTGAAAAAAAAATTTAGGGGTTCCTAAATTAAAAAATTATAAAAAAAAATTACGTAAACAAAAATGTACCAAGAAAATAAGAAAAAATAGAACATTTAAAATAACGAAACACTGAATGTAAAAATTTTGTCTTGTACTATAAAATGGCCATAGGCCAATAGAAGACAAAATCAATTTGTTCATATAAAAATAATTATTATCAAAGACGTCGTCAGTCATTTTTTTTTTTTTTTTCTTAAAGGCGTGAAATTTAAAACTGTTGATTTTTTTTTTGCGTTCATTGAAACAAAGTTTATGTCCCACATAAAACAAATGTTAAATTTAAAAGTAATAATTAATTCATATAATCATTTGAGAAGGTCAAATATTTCTTGGAAGTAATAAAATTTTAACTTAATATTCAATAAATATAAAAAGAAATTTTTAATTTTGCAATTTTTTTTGTCTTTTTGCAATTTTTTTTTTTTTTTTATTTAAACTATATAAGACAGTTTTCAATTTTTATTATTTTTTCATTTAAATATAGAATGGCATATATATCTCTAGGCTTTTGTTTAAGCTATATCCTCATTTCTCAGCGACCAGAATAGTCTTTCAGTAGTTCTTCAATCATCAAGCAGACAAGAACTATATATAAATAAAATTAATAGTATTAATTATTATAAATAATAATAATTTTGAGAAAAGAAGATAAAATAATAATAATAATTATTATTATTTGAGAGGAAGTGAAAATTTTTTTTTTTTTTTTAAGAAAAACAGGTGAAAAAAAATAATAATTTTCATAAAGAAAATATTTACAAACTTCAAAAAAATTGTTTAGTAATTTTAATAATTTATAAATAATTGTTACTGTTAGGAATTTAATTTTTATTTTAATATGCATTTTTTATATAAAATCTTAATTTTTTTTTTTGCGAAAAATTCTTACATAAATTCTTACATTCTGACAATGAGAAAAATTAATTTTAAATATATAAAGAATTTAAATAAAACTATTGTATACATGAAAAAATTATCTTTCATTAAAATTTACATATTTACATGTTTGTTGTGTCCATTTTCAAAAAATAATGAAACAATCATCATAATATTTTATACAACTGTGTAAGTAAAAGATAAAAATAAATTAATAAATTAATAAAAATAAAAAAATTTTTTTTTTTAATTAAATTGAAAAGTATAGTTATTACGATTAGAAAAATGGCGATTTAAATATATTATAATTAATAGATATATACTTATTTCTCTATAAAAAATGTTGCGATTTTTGTTTTTTTAATTTTTATGATAAAAATATTTGTTCCCTTTATATTATTTTGATAATAAACATGCAATAATTATTCTATGAGATTTTCTTTTGAAAGAATGAAATGAAATTCCTCAAGTTGTTACTGATAAAAGCAGAGTGAAATACGATAAAGAAGCCTGAAGGAACTTAAAAAAAAAAATTATTATATTATCAAAAAATATAAATTTTAATATATATAAATAAATAAATAAATTTTTTTAATATGTATTCTTACCGAACAATTATTTTTCAATGATAAAACAAACATTTTTCCAGCAGTTATTTTACAAGGAATTCTGCTTCTCATCATAATTAATAGTAGCATTTTTCTTATTTTTGCTGGCATTTGATACCAAGGACCATCGTATCTAGAATTTAAATTACATTATCAAATTATTATCAATTATTATTTTTATTTATTTTTTTTTATTATTTTTATTATTATTAATTTTGATATATTATTATTATTAGGTATAATAAATAAATAATTAATAAATTATAATTAATAAATAATAAATAATTCAAAAAATTATAGAAAATATTTGACAAATAAAATAAAAGTACAAATCATAAGTAATATTAGCACTGTAGTCGATTAATCTTTGTGCGGGTAGACTGTTTAATAAAAGATGAGCAATGGAAGCTCCAGTGTAGACACCAAATTTCACAGCAATATCGAGTTTATCAAAATTTGTAACAACCTATATAAAATAAATTAATTTCAAAAATTAAAATACAACAACAAAATTATTGTTTTTATTTTTCTAAAAAAATTATTTTAATAAAATTAATTTTAAAAAAAAACCGTTTTACACTGAAAAAAAAAATTTATTTGATTCAAATAATCGATTACTTGACAAGTATCAAATAAATATTTACTTGAATCAAATAATTTTTATTTAAATTAAATAAATTGTATTTGAATCAATAAATTTTGTATTTAACACAAATTCCATTTAATTGACTTAAAGAATATTTATTTGTTACAAAGAAATATTTATTTAATAGTAGTATAACTATGTCAATCTCAGGAATTAGTTCCGCGGGCTGCCGCTAGATGGCGCCACTGTCGCTTACCGACGGTCGGTAGCATCTTCAGTCGGCATTATCCTCAGTCGGTAATATAGATTTCTACATTATCAAAGGTAGGTAAAGTAGAATTTTACATTGTCAACATTCGGTAAAGTAGAGTTCTACATTGTCAACAGTCGGTAATGTAGTTTTCTACATTGTCAACAGTCGGTAATGTAGTTTTCTACATTGTCAACAGTCGGTAATGTAGTTTTCTACATTATCAACAGTCGGCCAGGAATCCCCCTCTTTTCTACTACGGTTTTCCTCCAAGTAAATGCTGTACGCGTTGACTGCTCTGCGCTGCTATTCTCCTTCCCCCTGTCGTTCAAGAAATCTCTGCTTGCCGACTGCTTCTACTGCTCCTTCCAAGTTGCTCCAAGAGAATGCTGATAATATCGCTACTATGTCCAACCCACCTTTATATACTACATCTCACCGATAGACACACTCACATATGCGATTTGCGCGCTACTAAGACATAGCGACTATACATAGTCACTTGTCACCTTGGTCGGTAAAAAACAGTTTCCTACCTTACCAACTGAGTTAAAAATTCATGTTAAGAATCTACCTTACCGACTGTTGATAATGTAGAAATCTACATTACCGACTGACGATAATACCGACTGAAGGTGTTGCCGACCGGCGGTAACCGATAGTGGCGCCATCTAGCGGCAGCCCGCGGAACTAATTCCTGAGAGTGACATAGTTATACTACTTTGAATACAAATAAATATATTTATTTGATAATAGTCAAGTAATCGATTATTTGAATCAAATAAGTTTTTTTTCAGTGTAACAAAAAGCAAATAATAAATTTTAATATTGTAAAATTTCCAAAAAAAAAAAATTCTCACCTGAATTAAAGAAGCAGAAATTAATATTGTATTCAATCCCATTATGAAAAAAAAGCAAGGACTGAAAAGAGATTCGATGATATTGCAAAATCTAAATAGAAAAATTTATTTTTTTGTTAAAATTATTTATTATTATATATTATTTGCATGATATTAGCTAAATATAGAAGTGGACATAAAATTAATATTAAAATCTAATTTAGTAATAAAATGTAAAAAAAATAGAAACAAATTTAAATTAAAAAAAAATTAATTATTAATTAATTATGGATACGGATGTAAAAACTGATTCCACAATTTATTAATAATAACTGAAAATATCTTCTATGCAATTCATTACATTTTTGTTTGAAAATGAAGATTTTGAATATACGAACTCAATCGCACGATTATGTTGTTCTATGCAAAAAATCACTATTTTCAAATTATTTTCATCACTTTCGAAACTATTGATTTTTTTCAATTGTAGACTAAAAAGAAAAGAGAGAAATTATTTTTTAATTTCAAATTAAAATTAAATACGCTTCACGAAAAAAAGGATCTGTAAAAAAAAATTTTTTAGGTTATGTTTATATTATACTGAAGAGTGAAAATACAAAAAAAAATCAACTCTTAACCCAAAATATTTATATTTAAGTTTTCATTTCGAAAAATTCAATAAAAACTATTTTTCATTAGAAAATTGTTATCAAGGTAAAACTATGACTAAACATAACCTAAAATTTCTATACCATAGGGTCCCTTTTCCCGTGGAACATCACATATTTATAATATAATTATTAAGTATTTAATAATTATATTAAATATAATTAGAAAATAATTAATAATTATAATAAATATAAAATTATTTTGATTAAAAAAAAAATACCCAATTATTTTAAAAAGAGCGCATGCGTGTTCAGTGAAAATTGCCAAAATTGATTCAGAACCAATGAGAACACACATTTGTAATGTTGCTGTAAATCCAATATGAATAATAATCCAATAATAATATTTTTCCGAATAATCGGTAAAATAATACATTTGTGTTGGCAATGTTTTTGGTCGCGATTCATTAAGAGGAAAAACAATGTCAAGTATTTGTGGAGTTATTGACATTAACAAATAAGTAATTAATGTCATAAATATACAACCTAAAAAAAAAATTTTTTTTTAAATTATTTTTTAAATATTTTTGTTTAATTGTTTTTTTTCAATATTGTTTATTTTCAAAACGTAAAAGAAGTGTGGAACAATTTATAGGTTAGGTTGAAAGAAACGTTTGTTGGTAAAGAAGAGTTCTGTAATATCCAAAAATTAAAAAAAAAATGTATATTCCAGATTTCCCATAATTTTTAAACACCCAGTATGTATATTCTACATCCAGAGAAAAGATTTCTTTGATTTAAAGAAACCATTTTCTTTGACTTGTTTTCTTTTAATTAAAATAAAATTTTTTTTTGAAACAAAAAGAAAAGGTTCTTCGTTTCAAAGAAAATTTATTTCATTCAAAGAAATTTTCTTTTTCCCAAAAAAATTTGTACATTAAATCAAAGAAATTCTAACAGTGATATAGGATCAAACAAACATTTATTTGAATAAAATAAAATTTTTTTTTAAAACCAAGATAAAATTTTTTTTTGAATCAAAGATAATTTTTTTGAGACAAATAAATTTTCTTTGAATTAAAGAAAAAAAATCTTTTTTCCGGGTATATACCTGTGTAAAAAATAGTATAAATCCTTCCATGATTAGCGTGATTAGAAATAATTAATTGTTCCCAATCAGAGGACCAAAGTTCCCAATCGCATTTAATTTTATTAAAAAGTTGATTTAACTGTAAAATAAAACCAAAAAAAGTAAAATAATTTTTAATATAAAAATAATTGAAAAATATTATTGTCAAAAAAAAAAAAAATTTTGTATTATCACTTTTAGGATAGAATTAAATTTTTTATTATATAATATTATAATATATAATAATATTATATAATAATAAATTTTTAAGTAATTAAAAAAATTCTAATCATTGAAATTAAAAAAAATACCTTATTTTGATTGAATAAAAAAATGGCACTATAAATTAAACAACCAACTGCAGTAAAAATTGGTGGAAGGCACTCCATCATTTTATCTCCACTTCCCCATATTTTTAAAATACCAGACACCTTATATATGACAATACATTTTATTCAAAAATAAATAATTAATTAAATTAAATAATTAATTTAAAAAAAAAATTTTTTTTTTATTTATTTAATTTAAACAAAATTTATTCGATTCAAATAAAATTTATTCTATTCAAAATAAAATTTACTTGATTCAAATAAATATTTATTTAATTTAAATAAATATTTGATTTATTTCTAAAAAAAAAATTTCGAACGAAGAAAGAATTTTATTGAGCCAAATAAACTTTTTCTTAATTCAACTAAAAATTTTGTTTAACTGTATACATTTATTTAATTGTTCCAACAAAATTGTTGGTTGTTTCAACGAAAATTTAGTAGTTTCAAAAAAATTCTTTTCTTATTTAATATTTCCATTTATTTTATAATTAAAAAAATAAATTTGAATTTAAAAAAATTAATTAATTTTGAAAAAAAAATTATTAAAAAAGTCGTCAAGTAAATAAAAATAATAAATTTAATGAAGAAATAAAAATTTATTAAAAAAAAAAAGAAATAAAAAAATATTTATACCGTAGCAATTAAATAGATAATAGAAATTATAAATATAAAACTTTGTATGAAAAGATTTCGTCTTGTGGTGTGATAAGGCCATTGGCCAATGCTAGACAAAAAAAATTTATTAATATAAAAATAACGATTATCAAACAAATCAGTCGTCATGTCACCTCTCCCTCTCTCTCTCTATATATATATATAAGAATATAAAATCAAGACTGATGGTTTTTTACAAACTGTAAATGAAAATTTTCTCTCGACAAACGTCGATTTTATATTATTATTTATTGACATCTTTTTTGAATGAAACAATAAAGTTCTTCAGGAAAAGAAATATAAATTTTAAATGAATATTTCAATGAAAAAGACAATATATATCGTATATCAAGAGATTGTCTCGTAATTATTTTCTTAGAAAATTTACAGGACTCGACATCAATAATAATTATTTTATATTGAACTCGTAGGTGTGTATGACTTAAAGGTTTCGATCGTCTATATTCTCCTCCAATAGAATACAGTCTTTCATCAACCTCGAAACAGAAAGGAACTCATAAAAATTAACAAAAACGAGAATTTTCTAAAAAAAAAAAAAAAAAAAAAAGATGAAGAAAAAAAAATAAATGAAAAAAATAGTTTTCACATATTAAAAAAAAAATTGTTAGTGAAATCGTGTTAAATTGAAATAAATAGATAATTATTAAATTTTCAATTCACCATTTTGGATAAATTCAATAACACTTGACATTTTTTTTAACTATTTGTAGAAATTTAATTTTTTTAAAATCGTAAAGAAAAAGAAACAATTATACTGTATTTTCAAAAAAAAAATAAAAATTTTATTATTATTAATATTATTATTTTTTATTATTTTTATTATTATTTTTTATTATTTTTTCATTATATTATTTTTATTGTTGTAATTAATTCAAATTATAATATTAATAAATTAATTATCATTAATTAATGAATTAATATTCAATTTGCATATCTTTATTTATTTTTACATATTTACAACTTTTAAATAATTATTTATTTATTATTTATTTTAATCACTTACCTATAGTAAATACAAACTAATGTCTTATGTTAATAAAAATATGCACATAATGCTACGATTAAAAAAAAAATTTTTTTGACGATACTCTTCAGGTTGTCATTGTGGAAAGCAAAGTAAAATACGAGAAAGAAGCCTGAAGGATCTGACAAAAATAGCAGTCAATTAGTTATAATATTAAAATTTTTTCGGAGGGATAAAAAATCAATTAATAAAAATAGTGATAATTTTTTTTGTGCCTCAAAACCCCAACTATGATTATGGTTCTGATCTGGACTATGTACCCACAGTCGATAACTGCTCGGCCGGTAAATTAGATTTCTACCATAGTAGCAATTGGCAATGTAGATTTCTACCATACTAGCAATCGGTAATATATATTTCTACTATATTAACAATCGGCAATGTGGATTTCTACTATATTAACAATCGGTAATGTAGATTTCTACCATATTAGCAATCGGTAATATAGGTGTCTACTATATTAACAATCGGTAATGTAGATTTCTACCATATTAACAATCAGTAATATATATTTCTACCATAGTAGCAATCGGTTATATAGATTTCTACCATAGTAGCAATCGGTAATGTAGATTTCTACTATATTAGCAATTGGTAATATATATTTCTACCGTAACAACAATCGGTAATATAGAAATCTACGGTATTAAATTTTTATTTTTGCGTTATCGACCGTTTATTATTTTGGAATCTTCATTATCGATCGAACAGTTACCGACTGTTGATAACTAGTCTATTATAAAAGTATAAATCAATTTTAAAAAGGTAAAAAGAAATTACATTTACTATTGTCTTACCGAACAAACACTCCTCAATGATAAATCCAACATTTTTCCAGCAGTTAATTTACACGGAACACGACTTCTCATCATTATTAATAATAAAAGTTTTCTTATTTTCACTGGCATCTGATACCAAGAACTATCATATCTGTAAATTTAACAAATTAATAATTATTATTATTATATTTTATATTAAAAAAATATAAAATACTTCCAAATGAAATGATTTATATTTAAATAAATCTAATAAAAATAATTTTAAATTCATTTACGAATAAAATAAATATTTTTTGTTAATCAAATTTGTTTTTTTTTTTTTTTAAAGACAAATTCGAAACAAATTTTGAAAAATATTTCTCTTTTTGTAAAATTATATATATGAAATACTTTGCGTAAGATAAATTACAAATTATCTGCGAGATTGGCACTATAATCCATTAATCTTTGCGCGGGGAGACTATTTAAAAAAAGATGAGCGATGGAAGCTCCAGTAAACGCTCCAAATCTCACAGCAATATCAATTTTATTGAGATTTACAACAACCTGCAATTTAAACCACAAAAAAAAAAAAAAATTTTTAAATAATAAATTCAATTAAAAAATTAGTATACAAAATTGAATTTAAAATTATAATTTTTTATTCTCTAATTATTTTTTTTTTTGTAAATTAAAAAATATGTAAAATATTTCTAAATCAATTCTAAGAGGGGAAAAAAAAAAATTCTCACCTGAATTAAAGAAGCAGAAATTAATATGGTATTCAATCCCATTATGAAAAAAAAGCAAGGACTGAAAAGTGATTCGATGATAGTGCAAAATCTATAATGTAATATTTTGTTTTTTTTTAATATAAGTGATTTTAAAAAACAAAAAATTGTTTAATAGTATATATAAAAAAAAACTATCAGTGGAAAAAAAATTTATTTACTAATTAATTAATAAATACGAATTGAAATTAAATTTTCAAATAAATATATAAATTTTTTTTTTTTACTAATTACATTTTTGTTAGAAAATGAAGATTTTGAATATACGAACTCAATCGCACGATTATGTTGTTCAATGCAAAAAATCACTGCTTTCAAATTATTTCCTTCGCTGTCGTTGCTATTGATTTTTTTTAATTGTAAACTATAAAGAAGAGAATATTTTTTTTTATTTCAATTTTTAATTAAATTTACATTAAATTTAATAAATAATTATAAATATAATCATAATAATTATAATTAATAATAATAATTATTATTTTTTTTTTTATTTTTATTATTATTATTATAATTTTTATTATAATTATAAATTAAAATTTTCGAAAAACAAATTATACCCAATTATTTTAAAAAGCGCACAAGCATGTTCGGTAAATACTGCCAAAATTGATTCAGAACCAATGAGAATGCACATTTCCACAATAGCATTAAATGAAATATGAAGCATAATCCAATAAAAATAATCCTCAGAATAATTACAAAAATAATACATTTGAAATGGTAAATTTTTTGGACGCGATTCATTTAATGGCAAAACAATATCGAGAAATTGTGGCGTTACTGCCATTAATAAATAAGTTAATAATGTACCCGATATGCATCCTGAAACATTTTTTTTTTTTTTTTTTTTTTTTAATTAATATTTTTTAAATTCACAAATTAAAAGAAAATTATTAACCCTAATAAAGTGATATACAATTTTTTATTGTTCTTTAAAATTTTTAAATTTTTTAAAATAAAAATTAAATTTATCAAAAATTATAAATAAATAAATTTATATACCTGTATAAAAAATAGTATAAATTCTTCCATGATTGGCGTGATTAAAAATAATTAATTGCTCACGATCAGAGGACCAATATTCCCAATCACGTTTGATTTCATGAAAAAGACGACCCAACTGTTAAATAAAAAATTTAATTATTATGCAGTTTAAAAATTTTTTTTTTTTAAATTAAAAAAAATTTAATACAAAAAAATTATAAATTTAAATGTATATATAAAATATAATATAGTTATATTAATGTTAATTAACAAAAAGTTATTTAAATAAATTAACTTTTAATATGTACGGAACAAAATTAAATGACTTAAAGTAAAAAATATTTTTAGTTCTTTCAAACCAAATTTTGTTTGATTCAAATAAATAAATTATTTAATCCAAATAAACATTTGGTTTATAATTATAATAAAATTTTCGTAATTAAATTTTAATTTATTTTTTTTTTTTTTACTTAGTTTTTAATAAATTTTTGCGATTGAAAAATGAATTTCATTGAGCCAAATAATTTTTTGATTGATTCAAAAAAAAAATTTTTCTGAGTGTAAAATATAGAAAAATAAATTATAAAATAGATGCGCAAAAATGACAAAATCAAAAATGACAAAAATTTACCTTTTTTTGTTTTGACAAATAAATAATACAATAAACCAAACAACCAATTGCTGTAAAAATTGTTGGAAGGCACTCTATCATTTTATCTGAATCGCCCCAAGCTCTTAAAAAACCAGCTCCCTAATAAAAATTAAAAATATAATCCAATACAAATTAATTTCTATTTTAAACGTCCATATAATTTAATTTTTTTTTTTTAATTTTTTATACCTAATAATCAAATTTTTATTATTTTTTATTTTTACCAATTATTATTATTTTTCTAATTATAAAATAATTTATAGTTTATAATTTATAAATTATTATTTGCATAAAAATTTCTCAAAATTATTAATCACCTAAAATATTAAAAAATTTAATTTTCAAACAAAAATAATTTTTTAATTCCTCAAATGATTAAAAAAAAAATTACTATTTAACAATTTAAATTTTTATCAGTCTTTTTTAATAAAAAAAAAAAAAATTGTTTTCTAGTTTCATTTGACTTAAAAAATTGAGAAATAGATTTTTGACTGCTAAAAACAATTGTTAGTAACGAAAAAAAAATTTTTTTTCTACCTAATAAAAGAAACTTAGGATTAAAAAAAAATCACTGAAAAGAACCAATTTTTTTTAAATTTTAAATGATTATGAGAAATTTGTACGCATTAAAATTATTTTTTTTTAAATTAAAAATATAAAAAAATACCGTGGTAACTAAACAAATTAATAGCGCAAAAAATATGAAAAATTGAATAATAAAATTTCGTCTCGCACTATGAAATGGCCATTGACCAATGCAAGATAAGAAAAATTTATTAATATAAAAATAACGATTATCAAAAAAATCAGACATTTCTTTTTTTTTTTTTTTTTGTTTTTGTCACGTTTAAGCGTGACAAGTATCAATTCAATACTGATGATGATGTTTCACTTTATATATTTTGAATAAAGAAAACCCTTTTTTCCCTCGCAAGTGTAAATTTCACAATAATAATTGATTTATTTATTTTTTTTTTTTATCGATCCCTTATAATGGAGAAATGGAATATAATACTCACGCGTCAATTCTCTCGAAAGGTTGATAAATTTTTAATGAATATTCAACGGAAAGAAATTGTCGCATTGTACCCAGTAATTTTGTCTCTTAGAAAGTTTACTCGATTTATTGTTTTCATATATAATTATTTCAGTAGAAATTCATATCGCGCCTCTTATAGCTTTCTGATAGAGAGAAAGACTATTTTATATTCTTCTCACTGTATAACAGTCTTCTATCAATCTGCAAACAGAAAAGAACTCTATTAGAATAATTTTCAAAAATGAAGTGGTGAAATTTGAAAAAGAAAAAATATATTTCTCCTTCTTTTTGTGAAAAAATATTATTTTTTCTAAATTTTTTTTACTTATTTTCCACCAAATTTTTGTTTTTTAAAAATACAACTTGTTTGTTAAAATTATTTTTTTCCTCTTAAAATTTCAATTTAAAATTTACAAAAATTTACAAAAATTTCCAATAATTTTATAATAATATAATAATAAAATGCATAATAAATTAAAAAGGTTTAAAAAAAAAATTTCTCGAAATTGAAAATTTTATTAACATTCAAAAAAACATTTTACAAAAAATATTTTTCAATTTAGTGTCAATTTTTTTTTTTTTATTGATCGATAAATTAATTTAATTAATACTTCCTGAAAATTGTTTTTATATTTATTTTCCAATGAATCATGATCTGACTGAGGAAAGTAGAGTAAAGTATGAAAACGAAGTTTGAAGAATCTGGAGAAAAAAAGAATATTTTTATTTATTTATTCATATTTATTTATTTATTATAATAAAATTATGAATAAATTTATAATTATCTAAAAAGTTCTTTAATCATTTTTGTTATAATAATTTTTAATTTTTACTTAAATATATAATTGTCCCAGAGTCAAAAAAAAAAAATTATTTATTTCAAGTAAATTATATTTAATTCAAAAATAAAAATTTTATTTTCGCTAATTAAAATCTTTATTTCTAATAAATTAAATTTTTCATTTGTGCTAAATTAGAAATTCCTTTTTTATTAATAAAAAAAGAAGAAATAAATAAAAAAAATTAATATACTTTTATTTGTTATTGTTTTTTTTTTATTTTTATTGAATAAATTTTATTTGTCTCAAATAAACGAATATTAAAAATTTCTCTGGTTTCATAAATAAATAAATAAATAAAAAATAAATAAAAAATAAATAAAAAATAAATAAATAAATATATATAAATAAAAAAAAATACAATATTCTCACCGTACAAAAAGTTTTAAGGGACATGACACAAATATTGCCAGCAGTTAATGTACAAGGTGCACTCGTTCTCATAATAATCATTGACAAAAGTTTTTTTGGTTTCAACGGCAACTGATACCAAAAGCCATCGTACCTTTTTAATCAAAAAAAAATAAAATCAGAAGAAAAAAAATTAAATAACAAAAATTTAAATAATATTTTGAAATAATTTAAATAATTTTTTTCCTATAAAATTGAAAAAAATAATTTCTTTAAAAATATTAAAAACCAAAAACCAAGAAAAATAATTTTTTTCAAAAGCATTTTGTAAAGAAAATTTTTGCAAAAAAATATTATATAGTATTTTTTGCGATTATTATTATTATTATTATTATTATTATTATTTAAAATATTTAATTTTAAATAATTTAAATAATTTCTAATATAAAATTAAAATAAATAATTCCATTGAAAAATAAAAATAAAACAGGAAAAATAATTTTTTTGAAAAGCATTTTGTAAAGAAAATTTTGAAAAAAATGATAGGACATTTTTATTGTGTTTTTTCATCATCGCGATTATTATTATTATTTTTTTGTTAAATTATTAAATTATTATATTAAAAACTTACATAAGATCGGCTAGAAAAATACTGTGATCCATCAATCGTTGTGCCGGTAAACTATTAAAATAAAGATGAATAATTAAGGCAATGGAAAATGTTGCAAATTTCACAGCATCATTCAGCTTATCCATATTGACAACAACCTAATAAAAAAAAAAAACGTCAATTATTATATATATATATATAATTTTTAAATCCTAAAAATTAATAAAAAAAAAAAAAAAACTCCATTTTTTATTACAATTTATTCAAAAAAAAAAAAATAATGATAAAATTATTTTTACCTGTAACAAAGTGGCACTTATAATAATTGAATTCAATCCCATTGTAAAGAAAAAACAAATGGAAAAACAAGACTCAATTGTATCACAAAATCTGTAAAAAAAAAAAAAAAAAAAAAAAAAAAAAAAAATGAGAATAAATAATAAATAAATAAAATAAATTATATATTGTATAATTAGAAAAATTTGAAAATACAAACTCAATTGCTCGATTGTGTTGTTCAATGCAAAAAGTGATAATTTTATAAGTTGCCTCTTCAACGTCTTTTTTAGATCTCGTTTTACAATTATAAATATTTTTCACTGATTTCAAACGATACCTGCAAAAAAATTGAAAAATTTTTAAAATTAGTTTTGGAAAATAAAAAAGGATAAAAAAATTATATACCCGATTATTCGAAATAAACCGCAGGCGTGTTCAGTGAAAACGGCAAAAATTGATTCCGAACCAATGAGAACGCACATTTCAACAGTAGCAGTGATAAAAATATGAAATTCAATCCAATAAAAATATTCATTTGAATCAACAAAATAATCCAATGGAAAGGGCAATTTTTTTTGTCGTGTTTCATTTATTGGTAAAATAATATTCAAAAATTGTGGTGTCAATGTCATTGCAGCGTACGTTATTGTCGTACCAGTTACGCAACCTGGAAATTATTAATTTTTTAAAATTACCAACTTAACCTCTATCGAGAAAATTAATTATAAAAAAATAATATTTAAAAAAAAATTTTTCTTTAAATTAATTTTTTAAATGAAATTTTAATTTTTTATTTTAAATTAAATTTTTAAATTATAAATTATTTTTTTTTTTACCCAAAAATAAAAAAAGTACAAAATATTAATAATCAAAAAATAATTTTATAAAATAGAGTAAAAAAAAAAAAAAATTGTAGAATCACCCGCATAAAGTATTGTATAATTTCTTCCATGCTCAGCGTGGCTAGAGAGAATAGCGTTTTCATCACCAAACGACCAGATTTTCCAATCACTTTTTATTCTTTCAAGAAGAATTTTTAGCTATATATTAATAATAATAAATTACAAAGATTAATATCATTAATATATTTAATATTTTTTTATACTAAAAATATTTTATTTCTAAAATTTATAAAAATTAGAAAAAAAATTGTTTTTAATTTTTTTTCATAATATAAAAAGGGCCATTAAATTACAATTTTTAAAATCCCTTTGTAAAAAAAAAATTTGATCCGGCACTGTAAAAATTATTTTTATTTGTGAAATTAAAAAAAAAACATTTTATTTCGTCAAATTTTGGAAAATTCTCACTTTTTCCTCTTTGCATATATAAGCAAATGTGTAAATTATACATCCAAGAGCTGTAAAAATTGGTGGAAGACATTCTATCATTTGATCCACATTGCCCCAAACTGATATTAAACCCGTCACCTTTCATTCAAAAAAATATAAAATATTAATAGTATTTTATTTTTTACTAATTTTGAATTAATCAAATATGAATAAGTAATTAAAAATTACTACATTAATTAGAAAAATAAATTCGCATTATTACCAGTAAAATAATGAGAAAAAAAACTAATTTTTAAAATTTAGGTACAAATAAAAAATCGCAATGTATTAATAAATATTAAGTTCAATTTAATGTAATTACATTTTAATTAATTAATAAAATTTAAATTAATTTATTAAATCGAAACTAATTTATTAAATTAAAATTAATTTTTAAAATCAAAATTAGGTAATTTATTAAATTAAAATTAATTAATTTAATTTAATTAATATATTGTACTATATAAACAAATTTAAAAAAAAAAAATTTGAAAGAAAAATTTTTTAAAAAAATTGAAAAATGAAAAAACAAAAATTACCGATGGAAATAAACAAGAGAATAATGAAAAAGTAATTAAAAATTGTATGCAACGTTTTCGTTTCAATGAAAGATATGGCCACTGTCCAATGACAAAGAGAAAAAATTTATTTATCTGAAAATAAGGTCCGTCAAAGAAGTCCATTCCTTAGATTTTCAACTAGACACTGATTATCGCGTTTTGTCTCATAAAAAAAAAAAAAAAAATTTATCTTTCCCCTATGTTTTCCTTTATATTTTTACACACATATAGAAATTCAATTCTTATAAAATAATTTTATTTAAATCAAGAAATCATTATCATATATATATCGCAGAGAAAGATATTTCTTTGAAAATTAATTTCCAATAAATCCAAGTCTCTCGCACATATAATAATATAAGATAATTATTTTCCCCGAGAAATCATGTAAAGTATTTACACTCTTTCTTTCATATTCTCGGTAATAATATACACGTGATACCTACACTATATACCTTGCACAATTGTCTTTCATTTCGTTAAAGGAAGTGAACTTGATAATGTCATAAAATAAAATGTCAATGGAAGAAAATAAAAATTAAACAAAAAAAAAAATCCGTTTTTTTTCAACTCGTGGAAAAATTCAAAAATCACTTTAAAGGTTCACCCTTGTTTTTTTTTTCAATTATTACACTGAAAAAAAAAAAATTTATTTGATTCAAATACTTGATTACTATTATTAAATAAATATTTACTTGAATCAAATAATTTTTATTTGAATTTAATAAATTATATTTGAACCAATAATTTCTATATTTGAAACAAATACCATTTAATTGACTCAAATAATAATTATTTGATACAAATAAATATTTATTTGATAACAGTAAAATAATCGAGTATTTGAATCAAATAAATTTTTATTCAGTGATAGTATCATTGTTACTATTATTATTTTTGAATTATTATTATTATGTTAGTTTTTCTATTATTATTATATTATAATTTTTTAATAATTATTTTTATAAAATCATTTTTATAATTAATTATTTTTTATAATTTATATAATTATAAAATTAATTGTAAAATAAATTATTTTATTTAAAAAATTGTAATCGTGACAAAAATGATAAATAATAATTTTTAACACTATTTTGATTATTACAATTTTTGTACCTAATAAAATTAATATTATTTTTCGAACCTTTATTACTATTATTATTATTATTATTATTATTGGTATTGTTATTATTATTATAAATTTTTTTTTCATTTTTGCTTTATTTTTATCATTCCTTTTTTAATTTTTTTTATTTTTCTATTTAATTTTTTTTTAAAAGTACATTTTTGCAATCAAAAAAATCAGAACAAAAATAATTTTATTTTTCCTTCCACAAAAGTTTTTTTTTATTAAAATCAATAAATATTTTTTTTTTTTATTTATAATGACAATCAAAGTTGTGAAAGATTTTCTTTATGCAAAGTATAAAATTTTGTTACAATTTTAATTTTCTAAATTTTTTTTAATGAAATTTTTGTTTTTTTTTTTTAAATATTTTTTTTCTTTTTAAAATTTTTCTTTTTTCTCTCTTTTTCTCTTTCCAATTGAAAAATGAAGTGTTGACGAGATTTTACGTTGATATTTAAAGGCACTTGAACGTAAAATTAAAGATCAACGGTTTATTTGACCTGGATATCCGGTCATTGTAGGTAAATTGTAAATTTTATTTTATTTTTTTTTTTTTATTTTTTGAACGCCTACGTGATATATTATATATATCAACGATCAAAATTTGAACGAATTCGCGTCTCTTATTTCCTGGATTTTTCATCATCAATAATTAATTATTTCAATCTGACACAACTTTTATCGTCAAATAAATAAATATATATATATTAAATTGACGTCATTATATTCTCTGTTTGTCAAATGACATTTTAATGGAAAAATTCTCCAACAAAAACGTAATTTATATAAAACAATAAAAAAAAAAAAAAAACAAAATTTATTATACTTAAAAAAAATTAATTTTATTTTATCAATAAAAAAAATATTAATAAAATTTAAAAAAATTTATTTAAATTCAATATTAAAAAAATACGAAATTTAATTAATATAAAAAAAAACAAAATTTATTGTTATATTATTCTTTTGTAAAAAAAAAATTATTTTATTTTAATAATAAATAAAAATATATATTAATAAAATTAAAAAAAATGTATTTAAATTCAATATAAAAAAAATAAAAACAAAATTTATTGTTGTATTTTTTTTTTGTAAAAAAAAATAAATAAAAAAAATTAATTTTAAAGAATTAAATTCCAATTTTATTAAAATGTAAAATGAACAAAAAAGAAAAATATGAAAAAAGAAAAAAAAAATGGGAAAATTTTCAAAATTACCCGAGTTTCATGATCATGTGCGAGATATTTTAGTCTAGTCTCATATATGTCCAGTTCAACTATAACCCACCCTAAGCGTCGACCAATGGGGTGAATTTTCCACCCTCTAAAGCCTCATGTTTCCCTGATACTCTCTTGGTCGCATATGTAGAGGGAGTCGCAAGTTTAGATGATTAGACGTTTAGAAAGTGACGTAAAACATTTAAAAAAAAAAAAAAAAGAAAAATTCGAGTGTGCATGAAATTAACAATTTCATATATGAGAGAAATTTTCTTCAATAAATTTTATAAATTCTTTTTTCCCCTCTTCTTTATTGCATTCTCTCTCTCTCTATATCTCTTTCTCTCATTCTACCTCTCGTGAGCTTGCGAGCTTACAAACCCAACCCCTATTATATGGATTCTCTACGATAAACTGGGTCGAGCTATGCTTTCCTAGTACGCAAAGTTGTCTATTCGAGAGCTTTGTTGTCAACCCCAACTATGCAATATATATATACCAGTTAAAATATTTTTTCTTTTTTTTTTAAATAATTTTAATTTAAAAATTATTTATAAAATTTTTTCATTTTATTATTGAATTTTTTTTCTGCAAATAAATAATTATTTTTAAAAAAGAATAGAAAATATTTTAGGTATTTCAAACATAAAATTGAAAAATAATAAATAAAATAAAGGAATTAATTAAAAAATTAAATTAAACAAATAGAGAAATAATATAATAATAATAATAATAATAATAATAATAATAATAATAATTTTATTTGGTTGAAATAAAAAATTTATTTGTGCTAAATAAATTTTTTTTATTTTAAAACAAATAAAATTAATTAATTAATTAAATTGAAATTAATTAAATAAATAAATTTAATTTCAAATGGAAAGAAAAAATATAATTATACATTAATTTTATTGCAATATGTAATGCAAATAAATAGGTGAGTTGCAGTATTTTTTTTTTTTTTTTTTTTTTTTTTTTTGGTGTTAAAATTTTAATTTAAACGAAAGCTTTGTATCACATTATCTATCGTTTAACCAACATATTGTTTACTAATGTCTAGGTCATTGAAAATTTCATAAACATTGTTACAAATAATGTTGTGAAAAAATATGAAAATCAATATTGACTTTTTCAAATGATTCAAGTTCAAATAATTTTTCTTTTTATGCAATTAGAAATTAATATTAATTTTTAATTAATTAATTTATTACATAATAAATAAATAAATTAATTAAATAAAAAATTAATTAATTAATTAAATAAAATTTAATTAATAATGAATAAATAATATAGATAAATAAATAAATAAATAAATAATAATAAAATAATAAACATATTATAATAGGATAATAAATAAATCTACTTGATTATTTATTGTTCAATTAATGTCACTATTTAAACCAATTATATTTTTTATTTTTATTATTTTTTTTAATAAAAAGGAATTTAATCAATTTTCGATTTTTTTTTTATTTCAATTTATTAATTTTAATAAAAATTAATTAGAATGTCAATTAAGAAAATTTCAAAGTTGCTATAAAAATACCAAAATCTTGATCAAGAATAATAGACAATAGGCGATTAGCTGTTGATAAACAAATTATGGATAACTTTTGATCCAAAAATTTCAAATAAACATCAATTCTAAACATAAACTTTTAATATTCAAAATAATTTAGATTTATTTACATAATTTATATTTTATATATTGAATAAAAATTTATTTAAATAATTAATTTTTTTGTGATAAAAATATTAAATAATTATTTATAATTTATTATAATAAATAATAATAATAATAATAATAATAATAGCAATAAAAATAATAATAACAATATAATAATAATAGCAATGAAAATAATAATAACAATAATAATATTAATAAATAATTAAAATAATGAATAATACATTTATAATTAAATCCTTGACTTGAAATAAAAAAAAAAAAAAAAAAAAAATGTTCTCAAATTTTTATTCTAACTGGAAAATTTCTTTTAAATTATTTACCCCCGAAAAAAAACAAATTTTATGATGTCATTCTATTTCATTTAAAATTCTGACTTGCTAAAAAAAAAGGTGAATATTATTCGGACAGTATAAGAAAAAAAATTTTAAATAAGAAATTCTCGAGACAGTGAATAATAAAAAAATAAAGTTAATTTCAATTTTCAAGAGATAAAAGAAAGCTTATTGAAAATTTGCAAATATTATGTAAAACTTTTCCAACAAACTAACGGAAACTTGTATTTACGAGAAATTGTAAATTCCCCCCCCCCCAAAAAAAAAAAAAAAAAAGAAAAAATATCTCCATTCTATTAGTTATTCTAAATAGAAATAAGAATTGAATTTTAAATAATTACACACTTCTATATTCTAAACATAAGAAAAGGGTAGGGGGAGGGGGGCGATGATAAACACGAATTATATAAAAGGCTACGACATCCCAAAAGAAAAGTCAGTTCGATTTCGGTTTCATTGTGATTATAGAACTCGTTAACAGGATATAAAGAAAAAAAAGAAGAAAAAAAAAAACTAATAATAGAGAGAAAAAAAAGGTGAAAATTTTGACAATGGAAAATTTGGATTATTATTGAATTTTTTTTCTAAAGGAACGACACACCAGTGATTGATAGTGTTTTGTTTATTATTGTGCAAAATTGTGGATATAAAAACAGTTTTTTTTTTTTTTTTATAGAAATATTACCGATTTGCAAATCTGATGAATTTTCGGAAATTTTTGTTTTTAAATACAATTTTTTTTTAATGTGAAATTTATTTCTTTATATATTTTTTTGGAAGACTACCAAAAATTTTTTTTTTGTTATCAAGCATAAAATTCGAAATTTTTATTATTATTATTATTATTATTATTATTGTATTTTTATTATAATTGTTATACTTTTATTATTATAATTGTATTTTTATTATAATTGTTATACTTTTATTATTATTATAATTTATTTATTTCAAAAAATTAGCAAAATTATTTTTGTTTTAACGAATAAAGAATCAATTTTTTTTTTTAAAGCTATAATTATATTGAATAATTGAATAATTTTATTTGAGCCGAATAAAATTTTATTTATTTTAAATATTAAATTTTTTTTATTTGAAACAAATAAAAAGTTATTAGGCTCTAAGACAAATATATTTTTATTTGATGCAAATAAATGTAAAAAAAAATATATTTCTCTGAATGCAATTAAGAAAAAATGTATTTTTTTAATCTAGTTTTTTAAAAATAATCATTCACTTTTTCAATAATTGATCCAATTAATAAAAATTATTTAAAAATTCATTTTTGATTAACTAAATTTTAATTTTAAATAATTTTGCCACCAAATTTTAAATTATGAAATTATAATAATAATATTAATAATAATTATTATTATTATTATACCAATAATTGTAGATTTCTAACATAAATAAATTTTTGCAAATCGCGAAATATCGATAAAATAAAAAAAAAAATTAATTAAAAATTAATTTCAGTTAACTTTAAAAATTAATTAAAAATTAATTAATTTCTAAAACAATATTAAATTAAAAAAGTAAATTAATTAACATAATAAAATGCAAAAAAAAAATACCCAATTGTTTAATTGAAAAAAGATTGTTTCTTTTTTCTTTTGTAGAGTTAAAAAAAGGAAAGATGTCTGCAGCGGGACCGGAAGTGGTGGTTGGATCGGTTGGTGAAGCCGCCGCCGCCACCGGACTTTCGGCGACAAATGTATTTTTAGCACTTTTTATACCAGCATTGGTTCTATATTATATTTACTTTAGAATTTCCCGAAGGCATTTAATAGAACTTGCTGAAAAAATTCCTGGACCCGTTGGTCTTCCCCTTATTGGAAATGCTCTCGAATTAATTGGCAGTTCGGATGGTGAGTTGATCGAAATTTTTTTCCTAATGATGAAAAAAAAAAAATAAATTTAATATCATATAAATAATATTTAATAAATAAAATAAAATTTCATTGAAATTTCAAAAAATTTTCACGTGTTTAAAAAGAAAAAATTTTTTTAAAAAATCTTTTTCTAAATTTCATTAATAATAGTATAACTTTCTTTTTTTTCAGCAATTTTCCGTAAATTTTATGAAAGATCCTTTGAGTTTGATCAGGTCATTAAACTCTGGATTGGACCAAAATTGGTTGTCTTTTTGATTGATCCACGTGATGTTGAAGTAATTTTATCGAGCAATGTTTATATTGACAAATCAAGTGAATATCGATTTTTCAAGCCATGGTTGGGCAACGGTCTTCTAATTTCCTCTGGTAATTATTACATATTATTATTCATTCTTTTTAATCGTACTACCAAAAAAATCTGCAAAAAAAATTCGAATTATTTCTTTTTTTTATATATTAAAAAAAAAACTTGACGAGAATGGAAAAAAAAATTATATATAATTTCAAAAAATATGAAAAGGGAAGTAAATATTTTTCTATAGTGAATTAATGTCACGATTTTATAATAAACTAAACAGTCATCATAAGACGAAAGTGAATTTAGAATTTACTTTCTAGTGCGGTTTTTTCTATTATAATTTTGTTTCATTTCCGTTAAAAATATTTTAGAATAATATAAATATTTGTTTCTTTCAAATTTTAATAAAATCACTTTAAATTTATTTAAACCTTCGAATTTTTGATGTAGCAACCTTAAAATAATAAAAGTAATAAAAAATAATATAAAAAATGAAAATAATAAAAACAATGAAAACAATAAAAATAATAAATTAAAAAAAATAATATAGAAATAATAATAAAAATATAAAAATAATATAACAATAATATAATAATAATAATAATAAAATATATATATATATATAACAATGAAAATTAAATAGAATCAATGGTCATTCTGTAAAATCTATAATTGTATTTTAATTAATGCAAAATTATGGTTAATTATTCTTATTTTAAAATTCTTGAAATGACCCTCACTATAGTTTTTTTTTTTAAATATTCACCTCGACCGTAGGGGTCAAGATAATGACTCGATTGACGGTCAAAATTAAAAGGCATTTTTTTCTAATTTATGAAAAAAACATTTTTTTGTCTAATTTACAAACAAATCGCTTTTGTAATTTTCAAAACAAATTTTTTTTTTACAATCAAAAAAGAAAGAAATTCTTTCGAAAAAAAAACAAAAAAATATTTTTTTCAAACTATTAAGTTTACAAAATTTTTTCAAATAATGTAATATAATTTATATTATAATAGATAAATTATTAGAATAGCACATAAATTATAAACTTCATGAAAATTTAACTAAAATTTGTTATATTTAACATTTTATAATTATTAAAATTTATTTTAATTATTTCACATTTCGAGTGTATTCAAATTTTTCGATAATACAAATTTCTTAAATTTTTTTTTTTTTACAAGAATAATTTTTATGAATAATAATAATATATTTGAACCGATTATATAAAATAAATAAATTCTTCCCTCATTTTAGAATTCTAAATTGATTTTAATTTTTTTAATTTTAGATTTTCTTATTAATTTTCTAAAATTAATTGAAATTAAAAATTTTAATTAATTATTAATTATTAATTATTTAATTAATTATTAAAAATCAATAATTATTACACCAAAAGAAATATTTTATTGGCGTTTATTTGAGCTAAATAATATTTATTTGAAACAAATAAATATTTATTTAGTTCTAAGACAAATATAACTTTTCTTTAGGTGTAAGATTTATTTATTTAATTCATATGGGTTTTGAAAAATGTAAAATTATTCGAAAATTATTAATTTTTTTTTTTTTTTTGAAAAAAAAGGTCAAAAATGGCGTGCTCACCGAAAATTGATTGCTCCAACTTTCCACTTGAATGTCCTCAAGAGTTTCATTGATCTCTTCAATGCAAATTCACATTGTGTTGTTGAAAAAATGCGCAAAGAAGGCGACAAGGAATTCGATATTCACGATTATATGTCAGAGACAACTGTGGAAATTCTCCTCGAAACTGCCATGGGCGTTTCAAAAACCACTCAGGATAAAAGTGGATATGAATATGCAATGGCTGTCATGAAGTATGTAAATCCTGTAAAAAAAAAAAAAATTTTTTTTTAATTTGAAAAGAAACATAAAAACAAATTAAAAAAAAAAAATACAAAACAAAGTGAAAACGAAAATTATACAACAAATTATAAAACAAATTTTAAAAAAATAATAATAAATAAATTTACAAAAAAAATTCAAAATAAAGAAAAAAAATTTCAAAAAAAAAAAAATTCACACTTTTTTGGAAATACTAAATATGAATTAATAAAATTTCCTTTTTTCAGAATGTGTGACATTCTTCATTTACGTCACACAAAAGTTTGGCTTCGACCCGATTGGCTTTTTAATTTAACAAAATACAGCAAAGATCAAATGCGTCTTCTCGACATTATTCATGGACTAACGAAAAAAGTTATTCAACGCAAAAAAGAAGACTATAAAAGTGGAAAACGTGCCGTTATCAATCCAACAATTGAAAACAGAACCAGTGACAAAGAGTCAAAGGTTTTAATTCATTATGAAAATTTTAATTAACTAAAATTAATCAAAAAAAAATTTTACAGAAATTAAAATAAATTAAAAAAAAAAAATACTTTCAAAATTAGAAGAAAAAAAAACATTTTTTTTTTTTCAGAATAATATCGCAGTTGAAGGTCTTTCTTTTGGTCAAGCAGCAGGACTCAAGGATGATTTGGATGCTGATGACAATGATGTGGGTGAAAAAAGGAGGCTTGCCTTTCTTGATCTTTTGGTTGAATCCGCTCAAAAGGGAGTTGTTCTCAACGATCAGGAAGTAAAGGAGCAAGTCGACACTATTATGTTTGAGGTAAAATTTCATTTCTCTTTCCTTACTAAAAAAAAAAAAAATCCGTGAAACCAAATTCCACATAAAAAATATATTTTTTCTCACATCGAATCCTTTTGTCAAAAATTAATTATTTCGATAGAATAATAATTTTTTTTCCTACTTGGAAAAATAAATTTCACTTCTTTGCCAAAAAGGAATGAAAAATTAAAAATCTTACTTCTTGAAATCCTGATAGAAATAAATATATTTCTCATTATAGGGTCACGATACAACGGCTGCTGGATCCAGTTTCTTCCTCTCAATGATGGGATGTCATCCAGAAATTCAAGAGAAAGTTATTCAAGAATTAGATGAAATTTTCGGTGACAGCGATAGACCAGCCACCTTTCAAGATACCCTTGAGATGAAATATCTCGAGCGTTGCCTCATGGAAACTCTCCGAATGTATCCACCTGTACCAATAATTGCTCGTGAACTAAAATCAGATTTAAAACTCGGTTAGTTAATTTTTCATTATTTAACAAAAAAACTAATTTTCCCTTATTTCTATTATTTAACAGAAAATTAATTTTCCAAAGCAAAAAGAAAAAAATTACCAAAAAAAAAATTTCCTTTTTTTTCCAGCATCCGGTGACTATATTATTCCAGCTGGATGCACTGTTGTTGTAGCCACAATAAAATTACATCGTCAACCAAATATTTATCCAAATCCAGATGTCTTCAATCCAGATAATTTCCTACCAGAAAAAACTGCAAATCGTCATTATTATGCATTTGTTCCATTCTCAGCTGGTCCAAGATCGTGCGTTGGACGTAAATATGCAATGTTAAAATTGAAAATTCTCCTCTCAACAATCCTAAGGAATTTCCGTGTTCAATCAACAGTTAAAGAATGTGACTTTAGACTGCAAGCTGATATCATTCTAAAACGTGCCGAAGGTTTTAAAGTTAAATTAGAGCCAAGAAGACCAATGGCTAAGGCCCATTAAAAAAAGAAAAGAAAGAAAGAAAATAACAAATAAAACGCGGGTATTTTTTTTTCAAATAGTGTACCTGGAATATAAAACAAACTCGTGTATAGTCAAAGTGCAAATATTTTTTTTTTATCCATAATTTGAAATCGGATAATAATCGTCTCAACGTACACAATTTTTGTACATTGTTGTATAAATTGATTTTTGTTAGTGAACGTTTAATACGTATAGAATATTGCATATTATTATTATTATTTTATTGTTATCATCATCTTTTTTCGTTAATATATATATATATATATATATATATATATATATATATATAATATATTTATCTCATGTAATAAATATTAATCTGCAGTTGGTAAACTGCAAACGTTTAAATTGGTGTTTATTTTTATTTTTACACTTTTTCTTTTAGAATAATTAAAATTCTCATAAATCCTCAAAGTACCTTTAGCTGAAAAAAAAGAATTAATTATTAGTAAAATTTGAAACTAATTTTTTAATAACAATATTTGTGCTTACTTGCCTGTTTTGAAGTTATTATTTTTTTTTTTATAAATATAGGAAAATTTATTGTTTCACATCACTTACAGAAAAAAATAGTATTGAATCAAAAAATGCATATTTGAGTCAATATTTTTTTTGATTCAAAAAAAAAATTTACTATTTTGAAATAAATTTTCTGAAAATACAAAAATTAGTGAATCAAATAATTACATGATTTTTTTAAATCAATGATAATTTTATTTCAGTATATTTCCCGGTATACCGAAAATTAGTGAAGTGGTAATATTTTGAATATATTAATTACTCAAAAATATTAATAACACTCACAGTAAAAAAAAAAAAATAAAACAACTGCGATTTGATCGCAAAGCTGAGTAATATTGCCAAAAAAAAAAAAAGGAACCGAAAAATTTGCAATAGCAAATAAACAAAATTTAAATTCAATTTAAAATTATAAATTCTCTAAATTTTTTGTTAAAATTTTGATAAATTTTAGTATAATAAATATATATATATATATATATATATATATATATATATATATATATATATATATATATATTAATAGATTAATATAATAAATTACTGAAAAAATTAAAATTGAAAAGAAATATTATTGCTCACCACGATGATTTAACTGAAAATAATTATCAATTATGAAAAAATTCACAAAAAAAAAACTTACAAAATATTAAAATATAAGACAACATAGTGACAAAAAATAAATATTAAAAAATTGAATAAAGAAAAATTTTCACTGGTACTTCCAGTTACTTGTTTTTTTACTTACATTTTTTTTTTACCCGATTTCCCTACCTACAGCTATATTTAAAACGAAAAAAAAAAATTCTTGCCTACTTTTTCCCGATTTTCCTATTGCTATATTTAAAACGAAAAAAATTTTCTTTTCTACTTTTCCCGAATTTCCTATCTATACAAATAAAATATATTTAAAACGGAAATAATATCGCCCAGGTGCAAAAATGACCTACACTAGGGATAACGTCCCGGGACGCAACCGTCACCTGAGCGATTTTTTTTCTGAAAAGAAAAAACAGTTAATTAATATTGAAAAATTATTTATAAATCATTAAAAAAAAAATTATCAAAAAAAAACATTTAATTTTTAATTCCACATGCATTAATTTTTAATTTTTATGAATTATAATTATAAAATTTAATATTTGAAATATTGTTAAAAATATTAATTAATTAAATTATTTAAATTAAAATTTTGTAAATTTAGTTTAAATTACTTTTTTAATAAAAAGAGAAAATTACTATTGACTCGATATTAATTTTTTTTAAAGAAAGAAAATTACTTTGACTCAATAAGAAAAATTACAAAAATATTTTTAAAATATTTAAAATACACTAATAAATAAATAGCATAGAAAGTTTTTTTCAAAACCTGATAAATCTATTTTTAAAAATTTATTTACAAACACAATTTCTATGCATAATTCAACATATTATTGATGAAAATCATGTTTAAATGAATTTTTTTTTAATTATCAAAAATGGATTTATCAGGTTTTGAAAAATTGCTTCTCATAAACAATGAAAAAAAAAAAAAAAACATTGACAATAATATTAATTTACGTAGTATTAAGGTAGTAATCTACGAAGCATGTAATATTTTAGAATGTGGAAAGTGTTAGAAATTTTTAGGGGATAATTTTCGAAAATATCACAAGCTTCTTTTTTTAGATTACCCCTAAAAAATAACTAGAAAATAATAAATTTTGTCAATGCTGTCACTATGTTGTCAAAATTCCTTCCCTGTTTTTTTATTTTTCTAATTTTTAATATTTTTATCTCCATCAACATTTATTTTTCTAAATAGTTAAATGAATTCCAAAATTTATAAAATAAAAATTAATAAAATATAAAATTTATAAATGTAAAAAAAATTCATTTTCAATTTATGACTCTATTTTTTTTTTTTTTTTTTTGAATTTATAAAAAATAATAAATTGTTTTAAACAGGGAAGGGGTTAAATAAAAAACGACTCAACGATCGGCGAATCATCCCAACGTTGGGGCAATAACGTCATCGCCACTTCTCGAGCGCTTCAGGTCAACTCCCAAAGATCCCTCAACTTCATCGCACTTCTGCGAAAGGTTGGGAGCCACAAAAAAAAAATTATATAAAAAAAAAGTAATAAAAAATGCAAAAAAAAAATTTATAAAAAAAAACTGTATGCAGGGACCACTTTTCTTCTTCCACATCCTTCCTAGTCTTTTCAGATATATTTGGAAAAATTGAAATGGACCTGAAAAAATAAAAAAAAAAAAAAATTATTAGAAAACTAAATTGTACAATAATAATTATTTTTTGAAAACATTATCAAAATTCTGAGTTAATTTTATTAATCTGAAATTAATTTGAAATTAATTTAAAATTAATTTAATTAATTAACAAATAATTAAAAGCAGTTACATATACTTTATGTGTGAATTTTAAGTCAATTATAATTTTTAAATTTTATAAAATTAATTATATTGAAAAAAAAAACCTCACCTATATGAGACAATTTCTGCGTAGTGTCTAAAATACGATGACTGCATATCCTCTTTTTAAATATGAAAAAATCTTCTTGACCAAATGCCTGAAAAAAAAAAAAAATAAATAAAATTCATTATGTTTTATGTGGAAAATTAAATATTAAAAATCCTAAATATTAACAGTTATTACATTGTTCTAATAATTATTCTATTTCCTAATAATTATTATTATAAAAAAAACAATTAATATTTATAAATATAAACATTTAATATCGTATCAGCAATAATTATAAATATTAGGGTCAGTCGGGGTAAATCCGAACGGGGGGTAAATCCGAACGCTAATTATTTCAGCTTAATTAAAATTTTTAAAAATAAGTTCGATATGAGAATTTTTACCCCAGATCCTCTTGAAGAGATTCTAAGTATTATCCCATTTTTTGTTTGTTAATTAGCAACAGCATAAACAAAGATAACAAGTATTGCAAAAAAGATTGAAAATCAAAGATGACACTCTTTCAGTATTTTGTCTCGTATTTGAAGAAAAAGAAGCTAAAAATTCATTTTATTATTTATAATTGTTTGTTATGAATACTAGAACAGAAACTATTTTTGATTTTTGCCTTCTGTAAAATTTTATTAATAATATCAGACCGTTCGTATTTACCCAAAAAAATTGGAAAACTGGGGTAAATCCGAACGGTATTTTTAATAATTTTTTTTTACATCAAAGCCACACAAAATTGTTTTTATTTGATTACACTATTATTTTAACATTATAAAAGTACATAGAAAAAAGTTTTTCTTTCTATACGTATCCTCGTTAGTAATTAATAAGCAGAAACTTAATCTCTGTTCTCTCGAAGGAGTGTTCCACTTTTTTTTGCCAAATGGTTTGTTGAAAAAAGTTTTACAGGATCTTAATAAAATTTGGTATTCTACGGTTTTTGGGGTCGCTAATTACCAATTTGAAGTCAGTTTTTCAAAATTCAAAATGGCGGACGAGAATTAAAAAATTCATTGGATTCGCTCGAAAATTGTTACTCGGGGGGTTTCAGGGTTAGCAAATTTGATCATTTTTAAAAATAAGTTTTAGGAAAGTACGCCATTTTGAATTTAAAAAATTTGACTTTTATTTTTGTATTTACATTCAATCACTCCAAAATACTTTCTGTACCAAGTTTTGCAAAAATCCGTTATGATTTGATAAAGTTATTGAAGGTTTTAATTGTGTAATGCATTTTAATTTTTAACCTGTTTGATTTTTGTATTTATATATGATGCATTATTACATAATAGGTTTATTATCGTATTTTTTTTGAGTTTTTATATAAGTTTAACAATTGCAATACTTTAAATTTATTTTCCCTAAGATTTTTCTGAAATACAGTGGCGTTCGTATTTACCCCCATATTTTAGGAAAGTTGCAAAGTATCGAGGTAAATACGAACGCTAAGTTTCCTGCGATTGTAATTTATCAAAAATTTTTTCTACCCCATAAAATTGTTCTATGGAAGTAAAGTAACAACTTCATGCACCAGAATACCGGAAGTATTTTTTTTTTTAAAGAAAAAACTTATGTTATTGTTGAAACTTACTAAAAGCGTTCGGATTTACCCCAGTTGACCCTACAATAAAAAAACTAATTTTTTTTTATTGCAGTTAATATTTCTGAAAAATATTGAAAATTATTTTCTAATGGTTTTTTTCTAATGGAATTTTGTTTATAATTTTCAACAAATTTTTTTTTTTTAGCAGTAGTTATTATTTATAAATATTTCTAAATCTAAATATTTTGTTAATTTAATTAATAATTTTTGCTTCCTCGTGAATGAAGCTTTGTAGTACTTTCGTTTATAAAAATTTTCAAATTGGCGGAAACAATTTTTTTTCTATATTGAAACATGTATTTAATAAATTAATGAAAGTTAAAAAAAAAAAAAATTCCCATTTTAGTTGAAAAATTTTGTATTTATTTAAATTCAAGTTTAAATATAAAATAATTGTGTTCCTTGCATTGAAACAAACCGATATAATTGTAAATAATTATAAATTATATATTATTTTTCATTAATTTTTAGAAATTTCAACTAGAATGTGAATTTTGATTTTTTAATTTAAATTAATTTTTTAAATTTAACTCAAATGTATACTCAAATGTTTATATTATTATATTATTAACGTATGTTTATTTTAATGTTAATGCTTTCTCTACGAGGAAGCAAATTTTTTTGCTGATCGTAAAGAGAAAGCAAAATGTTCATGTAATGAACATCTGAATTTACATCTTTTTTTTAATAATATCAATCAATATTTTAAAATACAAAAATTAAGGGGAAAAAAAATTGATGATAAACATACATTGAACTGCGACTCAGCAATGCAAGATCTCCTCCAGGAGCAGCTCCGCAACAAGCACCCATCATTCACAAAAATTGGACACCTGTAATTAAGGAAAAAAATTAATTATTTTACACAAAAAAAAAAAAAAATTAAAATTAAATTTTAAAAATAAAATTACATCTTTTGTAATCAACAATTTAAAAAAATTGTAGGCAAAAAATTTCAATCACTTTTCAAAAACTGTATTTTTTTTATGAAAATTATAATTATTTATTTGTCTACAAAAAAAATTTTGCAAAAAATTGTATCACTTTTCAAAAACGGTAATTTTTTTTATACAAATTATAATTATTTCTCTACAAAAAAAAGTATTGCAACCTTTTTATGTAATCAATAATTAAAAAAAAAAAAAAAAAAAATTGTAGACAAAAAATTTCATCTCTTTTCAAAAACTATATTTTTTTTATGTAAATTATAATTATTTGTCTACAAAAAAAAATTACTGCAACCATTTTTTATAATCAATTATTTAAAAAAAAATGTACGCAAAAAATTTTATCATTTATCAAAAATTATATTTTTTTATGCAAATTATAATTGTTTGTTTAAAAAAAAAATATTGTAACGGTTTTTGTAATTAATAATTAAAAAATAAAATTGTAGGTAAAAAATTTCATCATTTTTCACGTGAAGAATATTTTCTTTTATCTTTAATCGTTCTAAAAAAAAATTACTGCAACCTTTCTTTGTAATTAATTACAAAAAAAATTTTCAGCAAAAAATTTTATCATTTTTCGCACGTGAAAGTATAAAATTAATTTCTTTATCTCTTAAATTTATTTTATAAAAATTAAACCTTTTCTTAATGTCAATTTTTTTCGTAAATTTTAATTAATTAACAATATATTTGTGTTGTTAATAATTAAGAATAACTTTTATTTTTATTTTCGTCGATAATTGTGAATTTTGTAAACTAATAATTGAGTAAAAAAAAAAAAAAAATGTTCATTATCAAAAGTAGAAAAAAATCTGTAAATTAATATAAAAAAAAAATAGATAAATATATGATACGAATTTAAATATTAATGAAATTTTGATTTTAAATATTTGTCTCTAAAATACGGCGGACAAATATCCAAAGAAATGTAGAATTGAATTGTGAATTTCATCGAGTAGTAATTTTTAGGTTAAATTTCAAAGTGTCATCAAATTTGACAAAATATTAAAAATTTTGAATCTCACCAACAAAAATTAATTAAAATCCTGAATATTTAGATCACACTGAAGTTAATTATTGAAATAAATTTGTTATTTCTATTTAAATTATAAGATATTTTTTTGTTTTACAGAAAATATTCTGTAACTGTCAACCGCGCTTTCAACAATGTCCTATACTATAGTGAACAGTGATACCAACGCAAACAAAAATGTTACCAACCAATTACACTACTACCAACATAATTTTTTTTAACTTCTTTTTTAATTGTACTATTTTCAATTTTATTCATAATTATTAAACAACTCATCTAATAATTATAAATTTGTTTTTAACAATTTTTTTTTACTTTAACAAAAAAAAAATGACGCGGGAAAATACCACATTGCAGCGGTAATGTGAAGTCACAATATGTATATGCAACAAGTCACAACAAGTGTAATGCCAAAATTTGTCGAAAATAAAATTTACCTGAATTATTTTTCCTCACAGCTGCCACGAAATTTTTTATTCATTTTTGATTATTCATATAAAAACTGCACTTAATTACCCAAAAAAATGTATAATTAACGATTATGATTAAAAAAAATACTGAGATTAAATTTTAACGAACAAAAAATTGTTCTTCTACATACTTTCTGACGACGCCATTGGCAATGAGCAGTAATGCCAATCCAAGATTACAAAATCTAAAATTTTCACTTCTACCAACATGAAAATAATTTTTGATAGAAGTCCAATTTTTTTTTTTATCAATTTATTTTTCCCCAATATTTTATATAATTAATAAAATAAAAAATTTGTATTATAATTTGAATTATATATTTACCTTTTTTTCTTGTGTGACATTGCGATGATCTTTTCAGGTTATGTTTTCGTGTACTAAAAAATTTTATCTAAATATACTATTCTTTTTTTTTACTGCCAATAAACTTATATGATTTTTCGATAATTAATATATAACTGAACTAAATTACCGTAAAATATCAATAATTAACGTTATGATAATACAAATATTACACGTATAAATTTTCTCGAACGAAATCTGATCTACTTGTGTCGACGCCATTTGCAATGAGCAGTAATGCCAACCCAAAATAACAAAAAATTGCTAGCTGCTTGCTTCTTTCTGATTGGCTGAAAAAGAGTTAGATTAAATATCGATTAATCGCAAACGATTTTTAAGAAGCGCTGAATTCAAATCACTAAAATTCTTTTAAATATATTTTTTTTTAGTATTTCTAAATAATTAAAAAATAAGAATAAAAGTCAATAATCAAAAGCTAAAAATAACAAAATTTATTATTAAAATTAATAAAATTTCTATTTAATTTTATTAATGAAATTTACAAAATTGCTTTAAATCTAAACCTAATTATAATTATTATTAAAATTAACAAATTTATTTTGTAATTTAAAAAAACAATTCTTAGAAATTAACAAATTAAATTTAAATTCTAATTAAATGATTAGTTAACTAAAAAATAAATTTTAAATCTTAAAAAACTAGTTTTTTATAAACTAAAAAATAGAAAATAAAAATCAATGTTCTTTTTTTTAATACAAGTCGAATATGAATAAAATTAAAAAAAAAAAATTCTCAAACTGAAAAAAAAATTATAAACCATTTCTAAAATAAAATAATTGTTCGGGACATAAATTTAACAATAAAAAGAACTAATTTTTTTTCTTTTTTTTAATTAATAATATAAGATGAACTTAAAAACCCTTATCAACTAATAACAACACAATACATATTTATATTTATTGCTAAATACAAATTTTGATGAATATATATAAATTTTTTTTTTTCAATGAAACGAAATGCAATATATTGTCAGGAAAACATTATTTATATAAACACTAAATAAAAACGAAAAAAAGTTTCTACAAAAAAATTTTCTTTTTTTTTTTTGTTTTGAATTCGAGTATTTTTCATACAACTCTTAATATGTTGCAAATATATATATATATATATATATATATATATATATATATATATATATATATTTATATATATTATAGAACAATGAAAAATTTGTAATTTTTCTTTTTTATTAAATTTAATTATTGAAAATTTATTTCAAGCAAAAGAAAAAAAAAGCTGCAAAATTAATAATTAACTATTAATTAATAAAAAAAAAAAAAACGAAAATCGATTGCACTGGTCTTTGATTTTCATTTAAAAAATATTACAAAAAAAAAGAGAGAAAAAAAAATTTGAAACAATTTACAATTTATTTCTGCAAATTTAAAATGTAGAACATTAGAAAATAATTTTCAAAAAAGAAAGTAGAAAATTAAAAATTAATATTAGTTTAAACGAATTCAAAGCCTATATTTAAAGAATTCATTTCTTGACTATATTTATATAATATTGTTTTCTTTTCTACAAAAACAGCGTACATTATAAGTCACATTACTTACATTTTTTTTTTTTTTTTTTTTTTATTACATTCAATTTTCAATATTCGTACATTATTTTGTACTGCAAAAATTACACTCAAACTATATATTTTTATTTATCTCTCTCGCTTTCTTTTCACTTTAGGGATAATTTTTTCAAAAAAAAGATTTTTGAAAATTTTTTTTCTTTTCTCATCACATTTTTTCTTTTTATCATGCATTCTATATTCAAATTATAGAAATAATGATATATACCTAATAATAATTATAATAAAAATAGTTATAATAATAATAATAATAATAATAATAATAATAATAATAATAATAATAATAATAATAATAATAACATAGGTAATAATAGTAATAATATTAATCATAATTATAATAATAATAATAACATAGATAATAATATTAATAAAAAAAAATTATTATAATATCCAAAAATTCGAGAGAGATGCGTTGATTTTTTTTTTTTTTTTTTTAGATTGCTATATACATCGAAAAATAATCGTAGGTATAAAATAAAAAAAATTGAAGATTCATTAAAAATATTAGTTAATTATCACTGAATTAATTTTAATCATTTTTTTTATTTTATTTTATTTTTTTTTTATTTCTGCACCAACAACAACAATAAAAACAAAATTCAAATCTTAAAAAGTTACTTTAATTTTACATTATGATTTAATTAAATAAATTATAAATTATAATAATTTTTTTTAGTATTAAAAATTACAAATTATAATTACTTTTAATATTAAAAATTGACATTTAATATATTATGCATTGAATTAAATTTTTTTTTACAAAATTTAATTTTTTTCTCCTTTACAAAATTATTCTTCAAAATTTAGAAATTATTTTAAATAATTTAAATTGAAAATTTTAATTATATTTTTTTCATATAAAATAACTGATTCTGAATTAATTTCCATATTAGTAATAATAATAATAATTATTATTATTATTATTATTATTATTGGAATAATTGCTTCCTTGATGATTAATTAAATTTGTAATTTTCAATAATTTTTTTTGTAATTGTAATAACAAAAATTGGTTTATAATTAATTACTAATAAACAGAACCAAAAAAAAAAAAAAAAAAACTAATCAATTCAATGGAGAAATAAATTAACTTAATAAATTTTTACATCTAATTACAATAGAACAATAATTAAATCCATAAAAGGCTTCGTTAAAATTTTATTTCATCAAAAAATTTATTATTTTCTTATAAATTATATGAAAATTACTTTAAAGTCAAAATATTTACTTTACATATATTTTAAGTTAAGAAATTATATGAAAATTATTTTAAAGTCAAAATAGTCACTTTACATATATTTTAAGTTAAGAAATAAAAAAATATTTTTGTAAATTTAATTTTAAATTTACAAATTATTATCGTTTTAATAAAACTACAATTATACTTTTACAATATATTCCTCTATATTTTTTCTTTTTCCAATTTATATAAAAACAATTATAATTTGTAATTTACCGAAACTAAAATTATAATAATATTTCAATTAAATCATTTTTTTTATGTTCGTTTTGTTTTAGATTCAACATAAATATATTTATATATATATATAGCAATCTTTCATACCTTTCATATTCTTTTTGTCACTTATTTCAAGGAAAAAAAAAAATCTCACCAATTTTTTTAAAAGGATACGATTTAAAAAAAAATATACATTGTCCAGACAATTAAAATGCAATTTTCACTCTTTTTTTTTATTTAACTCACAAATTAGTGTCTTCCGATCCATCGGTTTCCAATGATGGCATATCACTGCCATTTAATGCATCATTTGAAATATCCTCAATATTCACTTGTTGAGGATGATTGAAAAATACATTTTTCTCAATATCCTTTTGTTTTGTTGCAATATCAAAACATTCTTGTAATACTTCACTAACTGTATCAACTGCTTTTGTTTCCTCTTGATTTTCCTCTGTTATTTTATTAACATCATTATTTTCATTTTTATCATCTTCATTATGAATAATTTCAACTGGAATTTGATTGGAAATTTCCTCGAGACCATTTTGTACAACTTGTTCAATTTCCTGTGGCAATGATGTTTGTTGATCGTTAATTGTTGGATTATTAATTGTCGAAAATTCAATGATTTCACTATTATTTTCCATTTCTGTGATTTCTTCCACTTTTTTTTCTTCTTTATCATCTTGTATTGATGTCGAATGTCGTGATAATTCCTCATTTGTCGAAATAGCAGGCAATGATGATGTTTCTAAATCCTCGGCATTTAATGTTGTAATTTCAAGACTCTCTTGTGAACTTCCAGTATAGGCAACAGTAAAATCTTGACTATCGTCTTCAATTGATTTTTCAGTTTCTTCATCATCTTTTTTTGTTTTTTGTTCCTCATCGGCTATTGAACTCACTGATTCTGCAACTTCATCAATCACTTGTAATTCTTCTCTTTGCAATAATTCCTCGAGATTTTCATTTTCCTCCTGTGAATTTTCATCCTCATTAGTTTCATCATTTTTTGATTCTCTTCGTCGTTTTTGCGGTGATTCTTTTGAATCTCTTCGCAATTTACGTTTAGATGATTTATCCTTTTGCGGTGATGACAATTGATTCGACGATACAATTTTTTGTGAATTTAAAGATTCATTGTCCGTGGAATTTATCTCTTTATCTTCGGATACATTTGCAGAATCTGATAATTCTTTTTCATCTTGTATTTTTGTTTCTATATTTTCTTCGATATTTTCTGTATTTTCTACTTCTGCTGCGCTTTTCAAATTTTCTGTATTTTCCGTATTTTCCAATTCTATTTTACTTTCTTCTTTTGTCGTTTCTTTATCTTCCACTAATACCGTTTCATTATCCACTGAAGTTGCTTCTTCTTCTTCTTCTTCTTCTTTTCTTTCTTCTTCGTAATTATCCGTTGAATTATTTCTTGATTTAAGTTTCGGTGATTCAATTTTTGATTTATCATCCTTTGAAGGTGATTTATTTTTAATTGGCGATTTATTTTTCCGTGGCGAACGATTTTTCAATGGCGATTTCTCGATTGTTTCATCATCCGACAATATTGCATCGTGTGAACTGTCTTTTGATTCCCCTTTTCCTGGCGATTTTCTTTTTCCCACTCTTGGCGATAGTGATTTCATCTTCGGCGATTTTTTCTCCTCTTCTTTTTCTTCTTCGTTATTTTCCTCTGGAATTTCATCTTTTTTCTCATCTTCCTTAGGAATTTCGTGATTTATCGTCTCAATTTCAGTTTCTTCGGAATTTTGTTCCTCGGAATTGGAAATGGAACTTGGAATAATTCTTGTTTCTGGATCTTCGGTACTTGTATCAAGAATAACGAAACCATCATCAGGAACACGAATTTCAGTTTCCGATTGTTGCAAATTTTCCTGTTCTTCATTTTTCGATATTTCTTCTTGATTTTTCGTTTCTTCGATTTTTGAATTTTCTTCTATTTCTTTTTCACTAGATGAGGCAAGATTTTCTACAGAAGAATTATCGGCAATTTTTTCCTCATTCTTTATAATTTTACCACGAACTTTAGTTTTTCTTCCCTTTGTTTTTGATTTTTTTGTCGTGTCACTTTCCTTATTCTCCAATGATAATTCAATTTTATCATCCTCAGTGTTTTTATCGGAACTATTGCCTGAATCGGAATTTTTCACTTCATAATCCTCCGATTCGTCATTTTTTTGCTCTTTCATTTCGGAAATTATAATTTTTTTTTCAATCTGAACTCGATCGAGTTTAATGTCAAAATTTTTTAAATGTATTCTTTGATGTTTAAAATAATCCTCGGATAATTCAAATATTGTATTACAGGCCGCGCACGTAAGGGGTCGTTTTTCTTTTTCTTCTATTTCTTTCTCTAATTCCTCTGTTTCTTTTTCTAATTCCTCTTTTTCTATTTCTATTTCTTCTTTTTCTATTTCTATTTCCTCTTTTTCTATTTCAATTTCCTCTTCTTTTTCAATTTCCTTTTCTTTTACTATTTCAACTTCCTTAAATGGCTTTGATCGTTTAGCCATTGATTTCTTAACTTTCGGCGGACTTTTAAATTCACTAATTTTTTTAGTTCGCGTTGTTCCTCTTCGTGAACTTGCTGTTGAACTCACCGATGTTATCGAATCATTTCGTTTTCTTGCATTTCGTTTCGTTGGTAATTCAATTTCAACGGATTTTGTTGATCTTGAACGTGTACTACTTGCAATTGATTCAACAGAACTGCTACGATCTCTTTTTGTTTTTTGATTATCAATTCCTTTCTTTTGTGTTGTTTTCTCATTTGATTCCAATCTTTTGCGAATTCTCTGCGATCTTACTTCTCTTGGTTTCTCTTCTTCTTCTTCTTCGTCTTCTTCTTCTTCTTCCACTTCTTTTTTTTCTTTCTTTTCTTTTATTTCTTTCTTGAATTTTTTAGTTTCCTTTTTTTTCATTTCCTTCTTTGCCTCTTCAATTGCTTCCATTTTTTTCGATTTTATTATTTTTCTCCCTCGTTTTGTAATTTTTTCATCCTCATCACTCGATATGTCAATAATTTCTCTACGTTGTTGTTTTTTTGGTGGTAATTTATTTTGCAATCGTCTCGATGGTAAACGAACATTTGTTGTCTCTTTAATTTCGGGTAATTCTTTAAGTTGTGCCTTTGTTTTTGTACTAGATCGATTGCTGTTGCTACTACTACTACTATTATTATTATTATTATTACTACTACTGCTACTTGAACTTTCGTCATTATTTCGATTATAATTTATTTGACTTTTGTTGTCTTTATCATTTTTATCATGTTTTGTCATTCTTAATGGTTTTGGTTTACTTTTATTTGAATTATGTAAAACATCTTTAAGAAATACTTTACACGATACAATATCGGCATCATTTGAATTTCTTTTACGTTTATTGCGTTCAATTATTTTTTCTGGATCCATTGTTATCCAACATGTTTTACATACAGTTCGTCCTGTACGATGAATACGAAACATATCGACGCCTTTTTCCGTTTCCGACTGGCATTCATCGCAAAAACGATTTCGTATTTTTTTCTCCATTTTACCAGTTTCTGTTGTTTGTATCTTTCTTGAATTACGCGCCATTATACTTGAATCACTCTCCGTGTCGGAAATTGTTTGTAATCCAATTCTTGGACTTCTCACGCGTGTCGTTTTGCGACGTACAATTGTTGTTTTTGTCTGTGAAAAAAAAAAAAAAAGAAAATCAAGGTCACTGTCAAGTACGCACAAAAAAAAAGGGGGGAAATATTTGCGAAAAAATGAAATACTTTTTATTCAATTTTAAATAAATCAAAAATTGTTAAATTATTTATTAACACGAACCTTTGTTAATTTATCAACTCGAATTCCTTCGTCGATAACTTTGTGTAATTTCTCCGAAACTTCCTCGGATACAGTTTGAAGATCAAAAAGTAGATCAATCGAATAACGGCAGACTAAACAGATAAAAATGTCTGTCTCATCACTCAACTGGAACGAAAAAAATTTTCTTTTTCAGTAAAATCTTTTTGCAAAATAATGAATTAATCTGATATTTTGCAAAACAAAAAATAATAATTGAGAAAATTGAAGAAAAATAATAAAATTTGCAAATAAAAAAAAAAACAATTAATGAACGTGAAAAAAAATTACAAATATAAATAAGAAATAAAATAATAGATATTTTCCTTAAAAAAAAAAATAATAATAATTAATAACATTAAAGAATTTTCTAAATATTGATTTAAATAAAATTTCTAGGAAAATATAAAAAAAAAGAGAATAAATTTTGAAAAATTTGAATAAAATAATATCAAAAATTAAATTGCAAAAAAAAAAATTACAAATATTCAATAATAAATAAAATAATAAAAAATAGAAATAAATTAAATTAAATTATTAATAAATTAATAAAATAATTGATATTTTGTAAAAAAAAAAAGGAAGCAATAAAATTTTTTTTTCTATTTAAATTCTAGAGAAAATTAAAACTCACCTCATCAAAGAGATAATAAATTTTATCAAAAGCGTCGTTGAGTTGATTAGTTTTTTTTAAATTAAAAAAATAACCCTTTCTCGCTGCTTCCTGACAAAAGAAGCAATTCGATTTTCTTTTCTTGTAACTTTTCTCTAACTCTTTACGTGAATCTTTATATTTATGTACAAAATCGTAACATTTATCAACCTCGTATGCGCATTTATGGCAAATCTTGGTCGATAGAGCATCGTCCTTAGAAGCCTGTTAAATAAATAAAAATTTATCAAAATTTATTTTTTCATTATTATTATTATTATTAATTAAATAATTTTTTAGGCTCAAAATAATTGAAAAAATAAAAAGAAATTCACTAAAACTATTAATTAACAACTAAAATAAATAATTCTTTAAACATTAAATTAATAATATATTAATAATAATATATCAAAATTTTTAATAATAATAATAATTATAATAATAATTATAATAATAATTAAATAAAAAATTAGTATTGCAATTACTATTTAGAAAATTATTAAAAGTTAATTCATTTAGTAAAATTAATTTATAAAAAAAAGAAATAAATAATAAAACTTTACGATCGATAATAATGAAAAATTAAAAAATTAAATTCAATATTTTACAATAATAAATTATTTGCTTGCAATTTTTTTCCGTCATTTTTCCCTCGATAAATATGGAGAAAGAAAGAAAGACGGAAAACTACTTTTCTTTTTTTTTTCCTACAAAAACAAAACACAAATCGCACTGTACAATTCTAAGTTTTCGTTAATTAAAAAACAACAACCGAAAAAAAAACACAATTTAAAAAAGAATACAAATAGCGTTTATTTGCAAAAAAAAAAAAAAAAGGCAAAATTCTATCCACCAGGTAATAATAAATGTATGCGCTTTATGTTGAGAATCTTTCCGCAAACAACGAAGCGTCACAAAAATTGAGCAGAAAAAAAAAAAAAAAATTCGCAAATTATATATATGAATAAAATTCTTATTTTCTAAAAAATATCATTTAACTTTTTGCAATTACATTCACTCAACACTTTCACAAATAATTCTTAAATGAGAATATTTTTTATATATAATCAAAATGAGGTTTTTCCATCACGAAAATACTGGAAGATTCAATGAGGACATGTTTAATAATCGACATAACCTCCATTTTCATTCCGCGCAAATGCAAAATTTTATAAAATTACTATACACAATGAAAATATCATAAAATTGTTATTTTTCCGTATATAAATCATGCAAATTAAAAAAAAAAAAAAAATTTGCAAAATTAAAAAGTAATCATAACCTTAATAGCTCTCCTCACTGGATGGATACAAAACAAACAAGTAGGGTTGAAGTGGGGGGGGAGGAGAGGAGAGAAATTATTTATTATGGAGAAAAAAAATTTGCGACTCGTTCACGTGATGAAAAACTACAATAAAAACGATTACAAAATCCACACATATACACGAGAACAATAAACTGAATTTATCACAAACCCCGTTTATAGATCAAACTTGGTAAGCTCAAATGAAAAAAAGAAAAAACGATAAAAGCCACACGGTTCATTTTATCGTTAATATCGGCGGGTACGTTCAACTTTTAGCCACTAGATGCAGTTTTAGTTTTACTATAGTGAAAAAAAGAAGGTCCGAACCGCCCGGACTAGAAATAACATAACCTAAAAAATTTTCTTGCAAATACGCATAAATACATCATGCAAATTTCACCTCTACTACTATATAATAATTATCTCGCTTATAGTAAATAAATAAATTTTTTTCTCAATTACCTTTAATGATAAGCATGTTTCAATTTTGTTGAAAAAGGTTTTGTCCTCCGATATGTCGAGGAAAATTCCTTCGTCACTGGCACACAGGAAACAAATATTTGGCATTCCTGCTATCAATAAATGTGTGAAAATGAAAAAATAAGTCCGCAAATTAAAATGTTAATGCGGATTAACATTTATCATTTACTTTTTGCATTGAAATGAAATTATAAATAGGTTTTTTTTCTTTTTTGAAAGAAAAAAAAACCAGCACAACACGAGAAAATAAAAAAACACTGACAAAATGCTAAATTTAGGGGGAAGCGTTTTTTTTTTTTTGGTAAAAATTGTATAATAATTTGGCGGCAACACAACAGTGCCCCTACGACGGACACACAGGAACTTGGAATTACTTACCCCGGAAGCCACGTCACAAATGACGTCACCATTTTGGAAAATATATCGACTTTCAATTATCGAACATTTGGCGCCAAATTCAAATCAAATTTTAAAATTTTTATGTGAATAATTAATAATAAAAATTACAGATTCAGAGAAAAATAATTGGATAAAAAATTTAATTATTTATATTAAAATTAATTAAATTGAAATTAATAACAAATTTCTATGTTAATTAATTAATTTTTTTTAACATTAAATTATGCTTTATTTAATTCTAATAAAGTCTACAACTGTTTAAATAAAAAGTTTTGTTTTTTTTTAAAAAGAAATTTTTCAATTTCAAAATACACTTAAAATAAAGAATCATAAATTTTCAATATATGAAAAAAAAATTTTTTTTGGGAAATTTAAATTCACATTTTGAAAATATGAAACAACTTTCAAATAAAAAATTGACACATTATATTTTTTTAATGTAATATTTAAAATATATTCATAAAAATTTTCATTAAAAAAAAATAATTTTATCATTTTTGAGAAGTCGAATTAAATTTTAAATTTTTTAATTATTTAATTCAAAGAAAATTAAATTAAATTAAAATATAAATTTGATAATTTAGATAATTATAATTTTTGCTGACAATTTTTTTTTGGAATTAATTAATTTTAATAATTTAAAATATTTAAATTATAGAAATATTTTTTTAATACAGTTTTTTGAATTTCCAAACATTTTAAAAATAAATAAAAATTTAGAATTATTTTCAAAAATAGGATTTCTAATTTTATAAAAAATTACCTAATATAAATAGAATAACAATAATAATTTAACTATAATATTTTTTTTTCTAAATTTGAAAGAATAATTTCAAATATAATTGAAATTAAAATTGATGGAAAAAAAAAGTTTCAAAATCGATAAAGTTTTAATTACAAAAAAAAAAAAAACTTTTTTCTATTGTTTCAGATGATAATTTTTATGAAACTAAGAATTTTTTTTTTAAAGGAAAAAATATACCTATACATCTCGTGAGATATTAAAAAAAAGTTAGTTTTTTTTTATATACTGAGAATTGAATTCAATTTTGAAAATAAATTCAAAATTGAATTAATTTTTTTCCACAGAAGTCGAAAAAAATATTTTCGAAATTTTTACAAAATTTTTTTTTTCCACATTCTATACACAAAAAATATATAATGTCTAAAAAATAAAAAGGGAATATATTTAACTTTTGGATTTGACTATTTTTTGAATTTCATCTTTTTCATCGCTCGTTATTGATATTTGATTAATGACATTTGAAATTCTCCAAATAATATTCTCGCACCATTCTTTCGTCGTTAAATACGTCAGTCTGAAAGAAATTATAATTTTTTTTATTTATTAATTAAGAGATTAAATTTTTAATTTTAATCAAACTTATAAAATAAGTAAATTTATTATAAATGATAATAAAAATAATAATAATAATAATAATTAACAATAAATAATAAGAATTAATAAATAAATAAATAAATTAATAATAAATATTAATAAATAATAAATATAATAAAACCGTAATTGTTACTGTAAATAAATATATGAAAAATTATTTTTAAAAATTTAATTTAAATAAAACAAATTTTTAAAAATTAATAAAAAATATTAATCAGCAAAAAAATTAGTTACTTTTTTTTCTGAATTAATTGATTAGTAAAATAAAAAATTTCATAAAATATTTGAAAAAAAATTAATACAATTAGAAATTTTTTTTTTAATATATGAAATGTAAAAATTTGCATTTACATACCTGAAATTATTTTTGAGATTTTCAATAAATTCATTTGATGAAAAATCTATTGATGGCAATTTTTCAATGCTACTTCCTATTATTTCTGTTCCTTTGCCAATATTTTTTTCAGTTTCATCAAGTATATTTGTAATTGTTTGATTTGATTGCTTAACTGTTGTATAAGCATTGCAAAATGTCGATGTTATACTTTCAATAATAGGAAGTTGTTGAAAGAAATTTTTACTCTCTCCCTTAGTTGTGAGGGCGACAATTTTTCTTTTTGTCGGACTTTCGCATTTCGTCATAATACTCGCTTGCTGTAAATTCGAATAATATTATTTATAATAATTTATTTATTTATAAACAATAAAAATGAAATTTTTTATTTCAAAATAAACTCTTTTGATTTTGAAAAAAAAATTTTTTTTTTTTTATTAAAATTGCATATTAATTTAAGTATAAAAAAAAATACAATTTACATTGTAAAAATAAAATTGTTTTTTAATAACAATACTAGTTAAAGAGAAAAATTAAACAATAATTCGGTAAAATAACCTAAAAGAAAATCGTTTCTTTCGTAGAGATTACAAAAATTAAAATTTTTAATTGTTGAAAAATGTTAAAAACGTTAATTTTAGGGCAAAATTAATTTTTAAAAACAAAAATATAAAAATTATTTTCATTGTATTAGTGATAAACATAAAAAAAGAAAAAAGAAAAATCTATTTCTACTGTAGGAAATTTTTTGAACACCCTGTATAAACAAATTTGTCTCGAAAAATCAAACAAAAATCAATTTTCCATCAATTTTGTTTAATTTATTTTTTCCTTTAAATCATATTTTTTTCCAAAGGGTTCTAAAAATGGAATTCACGTCCCTGATAGAAAAATATATGGATGAGATCATTATTTTCTTATGTATATATGAAATAAAATATTTTCAAATATTTCCCAAAAATTTTTTGACATAAAATTTAAATTTGCAAATAAACAAATTTCATTAAAATTTTCATATATATTTTCCATTTTTCCCTTTTGGAATTTTTTTTCATGGTCAATTAGTAAAAAAAAATAATGTGAATTGAATCTCTAAAAAGGGTTAATTCTAAAAATATCATGTGTGTATTTATATGAAAAATATACAAACTCTGTAGGCAATTTTAGCGATGCCAGACGGTCGTTCTTTTGTTATTGTCACTTCTTTTTTTAATTCTTCCATTATTATTTAAATTTTTTGTTGTCTATTTTATTATTAGGAAAAAATTGTTTTCCTCTTCTTTTTTTTTCAAAGTAGAATAATCACTATTGCGAGTAGACAAGATCGATAAAAGCAACGACGATGCGACTTTTCGCTCGTCACACCAGAAGAGAGAGAGAATAACTAAAGTTAAATCATTTCAGAAACATGCGCGTTAAGTTTGTGTCAATTTTATGTATAAAACATTACTTTTTTTCTCCAATAAAAAGAATTGTTTATTTTTTTTTTATAAATTAGTTTAAAAAAATTATCTATTTTTGAAAATAGAATTAATAAATATATATATATTTTTTTTCATTTCTTCTTCGATATATTTTATTTCCTTTTGAGTTTTTTTACTCTTTCGTTGCTTTTTTAAATTTCAGTTGGTTTTCAATATTTTTGTTTTCTTTTCATAACTTTTCTTCTTTTTACTTTAATTCCTTTTGTTTTTCAATTTTTTTAATTTTTAATTATTCTCGTTCTTCAAATTTTCCTCTCGTTTTTCATAAATAATTGATTATTATAATTTTCATGATTGTTTTTCTTTTTTTAATGTTTATCTCACTAATTTCATTATTTTATGTTCAAATTAATTTTTCTATTTAATTTGAATCTCCATTTTTTGCAAATAATTGTCATTTTTAAATCGATATTTTACGATTGTTGAAAATTTTAATCGAAAACTATTTTTTTTTTTTTTAGCAAAAAAGGCAAAAAACTATTTAAAATAAAACTTTTCCGTTTCGAAAATAATAACAAAATTAAAAAATAAATAATGAAAAAATCAATTTTCTAAAATGGAAAATTATTTCGTGACTAAAAAATAAAAATTGCAAACAAAATGAATAATTAAAAAATTATTAAATTCTTTATATATGAAAAATAGAAATATCAATAAATAATAAATAAAATAATGCAATTATTTGCATTTTGGGAGAACACAAAAGAATTGTCTAAACACTCGATTCATAAATGACAATTTGCATAATGGGATTATTTTGCGATGAAGGCGAAGCATTTGCAATATCCCAAAGAATATCCTCGACTGCTTTTTCCCATTCTTGTTCTTTTGAATTTTCCACATCAGTTCCACTACGTTTTAAACGTGGCATCGATATTATTGTAAGTGCCCTTCTGAAAAAATCAATTTTCAAAAATAAATTTCACTAATTTCTTTAAATTTTCCATTTTTTTTTTCAATTGTTAAGAAAAGAAAAATTATTGTAAGTCCGTTTTTTTTTTTAATTTTTAAATGAATAAAGATAAAAATTAGTAAAAAAAAAAAAATTTAGGGAAATTAATATGATGAAAACTATTTAAAATTAAAACAAATTTCAATAAAACCTGAGATCAGATTGAAAAGCCGACATATCACCACCGGCGTGTTCTCCAATTTTCTTCAATGTTTCCGTTAATGGTCCACTCAGAGCTTGTAATCTCCTCCACGAATGGGCATATTGTCGTCTAACTAATTCAATTATTGTCCCAGTCAATGCAAGACCAACCAAAATATACAAAGTACAAAGTAACATATACTTTGGTTTCTCTGAAATTAATTTTTTTTACGCCGCTTTTATTGATTTTAAAATAGTAAAGAAAATTTAACAAAAATACAAAATAAATTTGATAAATACTAAATAAATTTACAAAAACTAATAAATATAAAAACTATAAATAATATTTATAAAAAAAAAATGACAAAATACTAAAAAAAAAAGAAAATACAAAAATTACTAAAAAATTATGTGAAAAAATTTACTCAAGTAGATACTAAACGAATAACAAAGCGTAAAATTTCTTAAAAATTGGAAGCTGTTTTTTTAAATTATACTTTTTCTTGTTTGATATTTACTTGGTACCAAATCGCCAAATCCAATTGTCGTCATTGTCACAAAACAAAAGTAAAAGCCCTCGAAAAAGCCCCAATCTTCTTCCCATAACATAAACATTCCGGCGCCACACGCCAAATATAAAAATAACAAAACGACCGCTGCAAAAGCTCCTGAAAATAATTATAAAGTAAATTAATTTTGAAATAATAGAAATATTAAATTTTAAAGCAAAAAATATAATTTTTACTAAAATTAACATTAATAATAATCTTTTTTATAACAAATAAAAATTGTGAATTAGAAAATTAATAAGAAATTTTAATTAGTAAAATTGAGTATTGTATTTTCATTATTTACAATTATTAATTATCTAAGTTTCTTAAATAAATAAATATTCATTTATATAATTTATTTATATTGTTAATTGCAAAAAATTTATCGTCATTTTTTTTCGAATATACAAAAAAAAAAAAAATACAAACCCAATGAACGTCTTCCTGCCATATTATTAGGCATACAAGAATTAATTCTTTCAGGTAAATTTGATCTAATTTTGTGAGCAATTTCACTGACACCTTCAGCAAAAAGTTTACCCCAATCAGCTATTACTGTCAATGTTAATGGAATTCCAACCAATGCAAATAGAATGCAAAATATTCTTCCCCAATCTGTGGCAGGAACAATGTTTCCATATCCTGTAAATTAATATTAATTAATATCAAATTCATATTGATAATAGAAATTAAATAAAAAAATTATTTTTCCACTTTATATTGTAAAAGTTATTTAAAAAAAGGGCAATAAACATTTATTTCTTTTTTTTTTTTTTACATCTATTCAAAGGTATAGGGCAGAAGCTTTTCAAAAGAAATTCCACTTGTTCTGCATATTTTCGCGAGAGGAAAAAAGAAAGTCGTTGTCGAGAAAAACCGAGGGATGAAAGAAATAGATAACAATTTCAAAAGGAAATATTTTGCAACAGACATGAATTCAACGTTTGTAAAAATTTTATTCTTCCCCTTTTTCCTTTCGAGATATCTATATATAATAAAAAAAAAAGATAAACATCTCGAGTTTGATATAAAAAAAAAAGAAAAAATAATAACGGCGTGTTGCGTAATAAGTTGCATCATCTATCCCTTACAGATAAATATTTTGCTCTCAATTTTTTTTTTCATTATAAAACAAAACCAAAAAATTCGCCTTAAAATACCAATTAACGTTTTATGTAAGAAAATTTTTTTCCTCTTTTATCAAATTATTTCACTGTTCATAAAAATGAATGTTGAATTTAAAATTAATAAAATTCCATTTAATAATGTAATTAATATTTAAGTTCAGAAAAAATTTTTATTTTCTATAAAATATTGAATGTGAAAAATTAATAAATTAATTTGTATTTCTATTTTTTAATTAAAAGACGTCTTTATAAGTGAATTTTATTAAAACAAAAATTATCTAATTGAACATTTTCAATTTGTTTTGAATTACATACTGAAATTTTTTAAAAATTATTCTGTTTTTTTTTTATTTTACTGAGAAAAACTGTAAAAACTTGAAAAAATTTTTTTTTTATTTCGTTTATTCCGAAAAAATTGCAAAATAATTTGATTTCTTTTAGCAAAAAAAAAAAAAAAAATTGAGAAAAAAAAACAAAAAAATTTTCATTATTTACCAATGGTAGTCAGAACAGTGCTGGCAAAAAAAACCGCTTGCAAAACACTCCATCGGTCCGTTTTCATTGGCGGTTTTTTATCATTATTCTCCGGATCATTAATTTCATAAACTAAATTTATAAAAAGTCCATCTTGAACTGCATTTTGAACAGCGGATTCATAATCTTTTAATTTATAATCCACCTGTAAATCATTATTTAGTAATTAAAATTAATTATTATTTATAATTATAATAAAATAATAAATTTATAATAATAAATTATAGTAAATATATATATATTAATTTTTCGACAATAACAAAACGAAAAAATAATACAATAAACTTCAATTAAAAAATAATAACAAAATAATTTAATAATAATGAATTAAATAACAAATTGAATTTATCAAATAATGTAAAAAAAATATATTTTCATCTTGAAATAAAGAAAAAAAAAAAAAAATGAAAATTCTGGAAAATTTGGATTTCTTTTTTTACTGTAAAATTTTCTTTACTTACCAAAGTTGCGAAATTTATAACATCCGTGCTATTAACGACAGAATTAATAAATTGAAATCTTTGTACAATTAAATGATCCCTCAGTCTTGTTAATCGATCTAATTCCGCTGGAAGTTCAATAGCACGAAAAACCTGTGAATAATAAATTAGAAAATTAAAATTGAAGTAATTTTACAAATGATATTAATTAGTTTACATAATTAAAATAATTAACTTAATTCATTAAAATTTTAAATTTATTTTCCAATAGCAAATAATTTTTTTTTTTTAATTTTTTAATTCAAAGTACAATTATTGATTATAATTTAATAAATTTTTATTATTTATAAATATTTAATTTATAATTATTTTTATTTCGTAAATTTTTTTTATTAATAATATATATTTTATTATAAACAAATAATAAATTTCAATTTTCTGAAAATTTTCTTTTTATTTCAAGAAAAAAAATAATAATTTTACTTTCCATTTATGAATAAAAAATTTAGATATTCAAACTATTTGTAGAAAAAAAAAAAATAGTTTTCATACACTAAAATGAAATGAGTTTTGTAAAGTAAGAGATGAGGAAAAACGTTTTAGTATAAAAATAGCTGTCGATCATTGGCTCGGAATTCATTGGACTCAAAAATGAATATTACGAACATAAAAAAAAAAAAACAATAAACCTCACACTATACAAAATTATTATCTATTATAACGGAGAGGAAATAAAATTAAATATCTAAAAGCAACAATATTTAAAATAATAAAATTGTCAAAAAAGAAAAAAAAATTTGCTCTCAATAAATTGAATATAATAAAATTATTAAATTTTTACTATTTCGCCCCGATTAATTGTCATATTAATTAAATTGCTTAATAGAAATTAAATTAAAATTTTATTTTTCAAAATTTTCTTAGACACTAAAAGGCGAAAATAAAAATAAAAATAAATTTAAAAAAAGAATAAAAATAAAATAAATAAATAAAAATTTACTGAAAAAAAAATAATAAATAGAAAGCAAAATAAATAATTTACTAAAATTAATTAATAAAATTTGCGTTTATTATAATTACAATAAATAATAATAATAATAATAATATATTAATAATAAAAATAAGAATAATAATAATTATATTATAAGAATTTTAATAATATAAAATATAAAATGATATAAAATAATAAAAAATAATATAATAATAATAATAATATAATAAAAAGAAATAAAATAAAAATAATAATATCCAGTAACGAATAAATAAAAAAAAATCGAATCTTCCTCTCTAGAGAGACAATAAAAACCAAATGGAAATTATAAACAATTCATCACATCAAAGTGATAAAAAAAAATCATTTCACAAAAATATTCATAGAGATGAAATTCACGTAGGTCATAATATTTATTGCAAAAGATCGTTAAGCGTTTTTCGTATAAATATTAATGTTCTCATCTGCGAAATTTCGAAGGTGAATATTGTGTAATTTCACCTTGTAAAATGCGTGTTATAAAAAATTTAGAAGTAAATTGTTTCATTTTTATTAAAATTTAAAAAGAAATTAAATTAAAAATAAAATTTCTATTTATATATATATATACAAAGGGGGGGATAAAAATAATTTCTTTTTAGGTTTTTTTTTTTTTTAAGGCCAAGAGAAGAGAGAGGAAAGTACGTACCAAACCACCTGATGCTGTATACAACATTAAAGCAATTAAAAGACCAACGTGACTGATAATTTTTTTTAACTTTTTAAAAGTTTCTTTACCCGTAATTTTTACGGAATCTTTTTTATAATTACGATGATTTTCAATTTCCTCATTATTTTCATCACACGTATCATTATTCACTTCATTATAATCACAATTAATATCAATTTTTTCACTAAATGACATATTGGCTTATTAATAATTTAATTAAATTTTAATTTCATTATTTTAACGTACGTTTGTTTTTATATTATTAAGACGACGACGAATAATAATTTCTTTAAAAATTATATTATTCACTTTTTAAATTATATTATTAATTTACATTATTATTATTATTCACTTCATTTATTTAAAAAAAAAATCATTAATTTTTTCACTTAAAATTTATAATGTGGGGGAAAAAAAAAATTTATTTCTGACTATATATATATCAGAATAATTTTTTTTTGTAATTTAAAAAAAATTCTTTTAATAGTGCCAAAATAAATAATTTTCAGCTTCTATAATTAATATTGATGATTTAATACATTACATGTTAGAAAATAATTTAATTTAAATTTTCAAGAGTCAAATTTTTCGCGATGTTAAACAAAAAAAAAAAAAGACATATTTTTGGAGAGGGAGAAAAAAAATGAGGATAAAAGAGAAATATTGAATTTCTTTTAATATAAATAATAATCTCTACGTTTCATGTATGGTTGGAAAACGAAAGATTCTAAATGACTGATCTGAAGAAATCTCCAATTCAACGGGTTTGAGCTTTTTTTAAGCGCGCGCGCGCTTGCTCCTGAGCTGCATGAGAATTTGAAAGCAAAAATAAAAAAAAAAAAAAAATACTCGGAATAGAGGAAGAGAAAGAGAGAGAGAAAGGGAAGAGCTATTATAAATGAATTCAAAAGCATAAAAAAGCTTTTCTGATGCACTAAATAAATAATAATAATAGAACACTAATTAATTTCATTGTCATTCAAAAATAAATTTTTTTTTTTTTAATTAAAAAAATCATAAAAATTAGAAACAATTTTTTTTAAGTTATTTTTAAATTTAGTTTTAAAAAAATTTCATTAATTTAAATTAAAATAATTTAAATGCAAATAATAAATAAATAAATAATAATTCTGAAAATAATACTAAAAATAATAATAATAAATAAATAAATAATGTAAATAATAAATTAATTAATTACAAAAAATAAAATGATAAAATTTTTTAACTTTTCAAAAATTAAATAATAAAATTGTAATTAAAACATAATTTTAATAAACATAAATAATTTATTATAATTTAATAAAACATAATTTTTTTTAGTTAATTAGTTTTTTTCACAATAATTAAAATAATTGATTGCATCTACTTACGAGAAGATACGAATTAAATGAATGAAGAAAAATGATATTTAGCCCATCCTAAATTATGATGAGATGTTTATCTTTTGATTTTTATCATATCTTTAAAGTCTCCCTGAAAAAAAGTGAAAGAATATATTCTTAATTATTCACTATTTATTACAGAATTTTTTAATTCTTATTATTAAAATTAATAATAATTTCTGATAAATTAATAATAATGAGAATTAAAATAATAATATTAATAAAAAAAAAATATTTTGTAATATTTTTATTGCCTAAAAGTAGATAATAAATAAAAACAAAAATATATATTTCAATTGTTTATGAAATATAAATAAATATATAAATTAAATATTATAAAAATTAAATTATTATGTAAATTAATATTAATTTAAAAAATATATATATTAAATATTAAATTAATTTTAAATTAATTTTTTATTAATGTTATATTAATATTATATTATAATATTTATAAGGAATAAAAAGTAAATGTTAAGCTGTAAATTAGAAAAATTATTTTCAATTTGTTAAATATTTTTTATATATATATATATTAAATGCAAAATTTTTAATAATACGAAATTAAGATTTTTTAGGTTATGTTGGTACTTGGTCCAATGCGATTGGAATTGATTATTCTAACACATTTACAGTTCGCACAATATTAAAATTTATTTTCAATGTTTATATAATAAAATAATTAAATTCACACAATTTTAATAGAAAAAAAAGCACATACTTTTTTTAAAAAAAAAACACTTTGTATAAACAAACAAATTTTTCTCATTAAAAGTTACATACCTCCTTTTCATGTAAATAAAAATGAATAACTAACGATAAGGACAAAAAATAGAATTTTCACACATAATCTTCAGTTTTATTTATCTTCTTTTTTATAAAAATATAAACAAAATAATTTCTCTCTTGGTAATCGTAAATATAACTTTAAATTTTAGTAGTAAATTTGACTAACGTAGTCATTAACTTGCGCATGGCAAATGCGCAATGGGGAAAATTTAAATTGAATTTCTTTTTTTTTAGTAATTAAATTTTAATTATTAATTTTTATATTACCTTTTTTTTAAGCCTAGTAGATATAATCTTTTAATATTTCCGTAAAAATTAAGAACAAAGAAAATTAAAAAAAAGAAGTTAAAAAAAAAGTGGGAAATCAGTCGGTATTACAGAAATCATAAACCAATGCTGTCACTGTAGGTGAAAAAGCTTATTTTTAAAAATTTATTTTTTTGATGATTATTACCAAATATCGTCAAAAAAAAATCTTTCTTCAAATATCAAGAAAGAGAAAATATAAATTTGCTCTTCAATGAAATATAAAATACTTCAAAAAGAGGAAATTTCTCTCAACTATAGCAAGAACCAGTGATTCCTTAGTAACAGGTAGGTTATAAATTTTTCAAATTGTTGCAAATATTCCTTTTGAAAGAAAAATTTTATTTAATTTTAATATAATTTTCAATTTATTTCAATTAATATCTATTTTTTTCTATCTTGCAATTACTTCAAAATATTTATTTAAATTACGAAAAATATAAGAAAATTTTTAGGTTATGTCACTTGTCAAATTTTGCAAATTTTTATAATTTATATATTTTAGAATTGAAAAATAAAAATATTTATAAAAAAAATCAATAAAAAATTGTTTATTAATTCATTAATGATAAAAAATTACTTATTTATAATATTTTTATTTATTATACACATTTATTTGTTTTATATATTTATGCAATTTTTTTTTATATTAAAATTATACAAAAATTAATAAAATACTAAAATTAATTTTAAAATTCAAAAGAAATAAATTTTTATAATAAAATTTAGAATTGTGGAGAAAATATTAGTTTTAAAATGACAACAATACGAGTTCATGGCGGAATCGATATTTTACGATTACCAGTAAATGAAGAGGAACATGTTTTTCCACCTTGGCACATAAAATACACTCAATCACATATTCTTCATTCAAAATGCTCAAAATCTGAAGAAGGTTGCTCAGCTGAGGATTCATCGTCATGTCAATTTTGCATGTAGGTCAATTAAAAAAAAAAAAAAAAAAAAAAGAACCGAATTTTTTTTTTTTTAAATTAAATTAATTAATAATTAAATTTTTTAAATTTTAACTGTTTTATTTTTAAATAATTAATTTTTTTTTTTATATAATAATCATAAAATTATTTTTTGAATCATAAATAATTTTTAATTAATAAAAACAATAATATAATAAAATTTATTTAATTAATTTTAATATTTAATTAATATTATAATTTAATTTAATTTAATTAATATTTGATATTAATATTTAATTAATTTATTTTTGATATTAAAGATTCAATCGAACTCTCGAGATGCCACACATGCCCGATATGGTTTTTCCAAATAATATTTTACTTTTGAAACACAAGGATGGTGCAATATTGAAATTTAACGCACTCGATGCTTTAACACGCGTTTCAAATGGAAAAATTAATATACAATTAGCATGTGCAGAAGCTTGGAAAGAGTCCAGGTAAAAAAAAAAAAAAAAACATTTTTCGATTTTAAAAATTGAGAAATTTTCCCGTTTACTAATTTCTTAATTACGTTTAGCAATTTATTTATAATAAAAATAATTTGTAATAAAAATAATATAACTAATATAATAATAGTAAATAATAATAATAATAATAATAATAATAAATAATGATAATAATAATAATTAGTCAATTATAATTATTATAATTTATTATTAAAATTATTTATTTACTTATTAAATGATTACAAATTGTGGTAAATATTAATTAATAATTAATAATTAATTAATTAATTAAAATTATCGTTTTTCATTTTAGAGCTGAGAGTAAAGAATATTTGGAGGAAAAGGTAAAACCATTTGATTGGACATTTACGACAGATTATATGGGAACAATGTCGGGTTTTGAAATTGAAGAAACTGATGAACGCATAAATGTCGAGAATTTAAAAAGAAAGGACAAAATTTTGTTTTACGTTGATTTAACACTTTTTGAAGATGAATTACACGATAATGGAATTGCGGCCTCTTCGATAAAAATGGTAATTTTGAAAATATATATATTTTTTTCACTATTTTTTATATTTAAATGTTTTAAAAGTAATTTTCTTTTTATAAAAATAAGACCTCGAAATATTTATTTAATTTTACAATTTCCTTTTTTTTTGGGAAAATTTGGAAAATATTTTTTATATTTCTTTTTACAGAGAGTGATGCCTACGAGTTTTTTTATATTGCTCCGTTATTTTTTGCGAATTGACAATGTAATGTTGAGGGTAAACGACACACGAATTTATCATGAATTTGGAGACAATTATCTTCTACGAGAATTTACTTCAAAGGAAGCTAAAGTTCAAGACATTCGGGTATGGGAAATTTTTTTTTTTGTATTTTTAAATATTATTTTTCAAGAAAAAAAAATTATTTGATTCTCTATTTTTTTATAAATTTACAAATTTTTTTTCTATAATTTAGTTACCTTTGAAAAATTTCGGAATTTTTTTTTTATAATTTGATATTTTTTTTAAATATTCAATAAATATTAATAAATTATTCAAATTTTTATTTAATTATTCGGAATTATTAAAAAATTATTCGATTATTTGATTAGTTGAAAAAAATTTCATTATTTGATATTCTTTGTTTATTAAATTATTAAAATTATTTTTAATTATTCGAAAAAAAAAAAAATTATGCAATTATTTTTTCCAGGCCCCACCATGTTTGTTTACGGAACCAAATGAAATAGCCCCCCATCTTCCATTAAAGGAAAGTCGCTATCATAAATTGATAATATCATCAAAAACTTCGACTGACGTAAATTCAATGACTTCAGTTGAGGAAAATCTCACAGTAAATAAGTGTGATTTAAAATCAACATCAAGTGTTGAAAGTGATCAAGAAAAAATGTCAAAAGAAACTGAAATTAGTTCTGTTACTTAAAAAAAAAAAAAGAAAAAGAAAAACATAATTTTTTTTCCAAACTTAGCGATTTTTTTTTATCATCTTAAAAATAAACTATCGTGAATAATGAAAATATTTTTAAATGTCGTTCGACAAAAAAAAGTAAAATATTTCTAATATGTTATTTCATTGAAAGCGAATAATTTTTAGATATTGATAAAAATCAATCATGATAATTTTTCGCAATTAAATTTCCACGACAATTTTTTTATTATTAAAAATTATATAAATATTAAAAAAAAAAACAGAAAAAGAAATATTTCCAAAAGAAAATCGAAATTTTCCTTTGTAAAAACGAAAAAAAGGGAAACGAAACTTTTTGAATAAAAAAAAAAAGGAGAATGAAACCAAAAACAATTGGAATTTTTCTTATCATTTTTCTCACATTAGTAACGAGTAAGATTAATCTTATATTTTAATTTTTATATTCGATAATTTAATTAAAGCATTTTTTTTTGTTCATTTTTATTTTTGAAAAATGGATAATTTTTATATTTTTTAATTTCTATTTTAGATAAATTAATTAGAGGTTTTTTTTTTTCTTTCTTTTTTCTGTTTTATTTTGAAAATTTGAATTTTAAAGAAACTTGGACTATTCTACGAAGAATTATACCGACAATATTGGAAATTCAAGAAGGTGAAGATATGCAATTGCAATTATTGTCTAATTTAAATGATGAGAATGCATCGTGTTATCTTCGTACACCATGGCATGAGGATATAAATTTAAAAATTGAAAATGAATTTCCCGAGGACAATCGAATACGTTATTGGTCAATAAATAATCATTGTGGCGTTAAAGTTTCAAATGTTGGTAAAAATGATGAAGGATGGTGGAGATTGACTGCAAAAAATTCTAATGAAACACTAAAAGATGCAGTTAATGTAAAAATATTAGGTAAACAATAATAATAATAACAATAACAATAAATAATAATTTAAAAAGCAAATATTATTTTTTTTCAGATAAAATTAATTTGATAGAAAGTAAAGTTTCCATTCTCAGTGGATTGGAATATCAATTGATTTTAGCCCAAAGAAGCAAATTTTGCAAAGTAATTTAACATTTACCAAAATTTAATTTACCTTTTTTATTTAATTTTTTCCATATATTTATTTGAATTTTTTTTCTATTTTTTTTATTTGAATTTTTCTTACAAAGAAAATGAAATTTCTTTTTTTTCAGATAAATCATCCTTCATTGAAAAATGAATTTATTGATGTTGCGGATGAAAATTGTAAAATTGATTTAAATAAACCGACAGTAGCGAATGCAGGAAAATGGAAAGCGGAAGTTGGAGTAAAAGGGAAAATTGATGAAATTCCTGCGATTGTTGATGTTAATGTTTCACGTAGGTTCTTTTTTTTCCGAAGCGATAATAGCGTTATAATTAAATTCTATCGTTTTTTTTAAATTATTTTTTAAAATAAAATTTTCTTTTTAGCTCAAGAGCAACTTATCTCTGGCTATAAGCAAGAATCACAATTTTTACATATTTATTGTAATCTTTCTAATTATGAATATGAACCCGATCTCTGTCGATTTACGCAAATTAAACAAAATGAGGTAAATTTTTTTTTTTTTTAATACTTTAAATAAATAATAAGCGAAAGAAAAACTAAAATTTTACACGAAAATAATTAATAGTAATAATTTAAAAAAATTGATTAATTTTAAATTAATTCTTTTTTAAATATTGAAGATAGCATTTCAATTGTCCGAGGGATTGAGAAAAGGAAGATATGGTTATTATGGAAATGGTCTTGAAAATAGAGAATGCGGTTTAACAATAGAAAATCCTTTGGCTGATGATTTTGGAACATGGCATTGTTTAACGGGAAAAATTGGCAAAAATATTTTAGGTGCTTATATAATTGTTCCTGGTCTTATAAAAAGGGGAATTTTTAACGATATTATAATTTCAAAATCAATGAGTCCAGTTATAACAACTCTTACGGGTGAATTAATTCTCGAATGTTCAGCACACGTTCCCCTTCGATATTGTTGGTTCTCAGGACCAAATAATACAATTTTAACGCCAAGCGATACTGGTGATGCTATTTTTTACAGGTACTTGTCAGCAATTTGAAAATAATTAATTAAATATACCTAAATTTTTAATTTCTTTAATTTTTTCCTATAAAATTTATCATTTTTTTTTATTTAATTAAAAAAAAAAAAAAAAAAATTAGAAAAATTGAAATTAAATTAATTTGAAATTTTAGTTTTTTCGGCATGAAACTGGGAAGTGGAGAATGTAGTGTGAGTATAAAAAAAGTTGAAAAAATTCACAATGGTACATGGACTTGTCATATGGGACCAGATGATCCTAATTTTGAATACACTGCCAATATTGATGTTCGTATTTCGGGTTTGTATTATTAATATTAAAAAAAAAATTTAATTAAATATGTAATTTAAAAATTTAATTAAAAAATTAAATTAAATTAATTAAAATTAAAAAAATTAATTTAATTAAATTAAAAAAATTACCTAATTAAATTAAATTTAAATTTAATCATATTAAAATTTAATTTTGATTTAATAATAATAATAATAATAATAATAATAATAATGAAAAAATTATTTACAGAAACTCCATTAGCAGCGATAAATAAAACAATTTGGATTCAAAATTTAGGAGACGTTGTGAGTCTTCAATGTAAAGTTGTTCCAAATATAGTTGCACTTAAATATTGCCGATTTTTTTCACCATCTGGCATTGGAATTCATATTAATGAAAATATTAGAGAAAACAGGTTTATTATTTTAATTAGAATCCAAAATTTATTAACAAAATTTTTTTAATTAAATATTAAAAAATAAATTCGAATTACTATTATTTTATTATTCTTTTTTATTATAATTATTTTTGTTTATTATTTTTATTATTATTATTATTATTTTTATTATTTTTATTATTATTTATTATTATTATTTATTATTTTTATTATTATTTTTATTATTATTTTATTATAATAATTATTATTAAAATTAAAATAGTTACAAAATTTGAAAAATTTCTTGAAATTTTTGGTTTTATTTTATTTTATTAATTAAAGAAAAAAAAATTATAGTGCCCTTGAGCATGGAAAAACAAAAATTTGGTTCAGTGGCAATACCACAAAAAGGGGTGATTGTGGAATTACGTTAAAAGATATAACTATAGAAGAAATTGGAATTTGGAAATGTGCCGGAAGATTAGAGGAAACTGACGGAAATAAAGAGGTTTTTGATACAATTCACATTTTCCTTAAACAAGCGGAAAGTGGTAAATTTTAATTTTTAAAACAAAATTTATTATAAATTTAAAAAAAAATGCAACTTTTTTTCAATAATTAATTGTTAATAATATTTTTAAAAAGTCCAAAAACTTATTTTCTTAAATTAAATTTAAATTAAATTAAATTAAAATTAAATTAAAATTGAATTAAAATTAAATTGAAATTAAATTAAAATTAAATTAAAATTGAATTAAAATTAAATTTAAATTAAATTTAATTAAATTAAAATTAAATTAAAATTAAATTCTTAAATTATTGAATAATTTTCCAAAATTTTCAGAAAATCTAACTGTCGGTGCAAGTGTTGGATTATCAATAGGTGTAATTGGTATTTTAATGATAATTACATTTGGAATTTTATATTTAAATAAAAAATATAAAACATATTGTCAGCGACAACAAATAAATCAGGTATAAATATTTATAAAAACGAAAAAATAATTTTTTTTGTTAAATTCTTAAAAAATTTTATATTTTCTAGCCTTCGCAAATATCATCGGAGGAAAATTCTCCCAGAGTTTCACAAGGAATGGAACTCGTTACTTTACAATTTAATAATTAATTAATACATTAATAAAAAATACGAATATAGTAATTGAAAAAAAAACATATCGCTTTTCATTGTATATATTAATTCGCTTATAATTATGAACCTTAATTTATCTTACCTTAAAGTTTTTTGTATCATCAAAAAGAGTAATTAAAAACACAATTAAAAAAGAAACACTTATCAAAAACTATTGCTAAAGAATTCAAATCGTATTTTTGTTTTGACTATCAAAAAACACGTTTTTTGAGGTTATGTTCTTTAAATGTCAATCTCGAATCAAAACAAATTTGAATGTAATTATTTAAAAAAATTTACAAACTCTTATTAAATAATTAGGAAATAATTTAACCTGCTAATAATTAATATTTAAAAGTGATTAATAATTAAATTGAAAATATATTAATGAAAAAGTTGGAATTATACTAAATAGTAAATAAAAATAGGAACGTTATTGACTAACTTTGTATAGTCATATCAGATAATAAAAATTGTCCAAAATTCAAAAAGAATAAAAATATAAAAATTTGAATTTTAAATTATAAAACAAATATATGAAACAATAATAATTAAACAAAAAAAACCATTAGGTAAAAATTGTTTAAATATAATTGAGAATTTGTTTAGTTTATTTAGAAAACGGAAACGGATGTTAAACTATATGCGACATCTATCGTTAATTTTCAAATAGCAGACGAAATAATTTGATTGGTTCCCACGTCATACACATGTTGCATGTGGCCTTGACATTTTACAAGTAAAATTTTTGTTTTAACTGTTACTCATATCTTAAAACGAGGGGGATTCCTTTAAATAATTGTTTGGATTTTACTTTTTTGTTTATGTAATAGTTCCTCTCGGCTTTGTTTTTTTTTTAAAAATATTTTTTATGTTTTCATATTAAATTTCTGGCAGAGAAAAAAAAAATATTCGAATTCGAAATTTCATATCAGGCGTGTATAACAAACTCAAAAGTGTGTAGTTATGTCAATTAAATTTAATAAAGTTGTGTATTTTGTGAGTCATATTTCGAAATTTATTTTCATGGAATAAAGGAGAATTCAGGTAATTTTTTTTTTTTTGCAAAATTTATTCTTTATAATTTTTGAATTTAATGTAATTTTTTTCTACTAACTTTCGTTCTAACCTTTTTCTGCATTTTTGTAAACAAATTTTTTTCATAACAATTTTTTCGTTTTATATTATATATATTTTTTTTCTTTTTAATTATTAATGAAATTTATCTGGCGCAAAAATATTTAATTTTAAATTTTATTAGAAAATTATATATTATTATTTTGACTCTTTCTCACTTGATTTTGATTTTTATTTACCTAGGTTCAATGATTTTTAAAAGTTTTATTAAGTGAAAGTATATTTATTAAAAAAAAAATAAATAAATAATTACAAAATGGATCCGAATGGAAAATCAAGGCAGCCAAGAAAGCGTAAACCAAAGAATCGAAATAAACGTTTAGAGTGAGTTTTAAAAATATTTATTATTACATAATTTTAGAATTATTATTATTATTATTATTATTATATGTATCCAATTTTTTGAATTATTTTTTTCTATTACTTTTAATTATTATTATTTATTATTTTTAATTATCATTTGTTAGTAATAATTATTACTTTTATCAATTCTTTTCATTTGTTATTTATTTCATTATTAAATATTATTAAATATTCTTTAAAAATGTGTGATTGAAAATGACAATTTGTTGAAGTTTCAGCTTTATTATTATTATTTTTTTTTTTTAATGAAATATGAGACACGTTTTGTCTCTGATAAAAGTACAAAGAAATTTTAGACTTCTTATCGTATGTATTGTTCAATTCTTTCTCTATATGTACTCGATATATATGTAGAAATTATCTAATTCAGCAATTTTTATTTTCTTTTTTTAAATTCTTTATCTTTTGATAATCTTGTAATAAATTTACTTTTTAAAAATGTTATTTAAGAATTTTAAATTTTACAAAAATTAAATTAAATTTTATATAAAATAAAAATATTTTTATGAAAACTTTTTTTGAAATATTTTTTTTTTATATTGAATATTCAAAAAATATAATTTTTATAATGGAATTTTAAAAAATAAATTGTCAAATAATTGAATTTTTAAAAAATTGGATTAAAAAAATTAATTTAAAATAGTAAAAATCATTAAAAGAATTTTTGTTAAAAAAATGAAATTCATTTCAAAAAAATGCTATAATGAGAATTTATTTTTTTGTTTTCTAGTACAAAATACAGTAGTTTTGCCCCGGTGGCTTTACTTCCAGTTCCCGAATATCCATTACCAAAAGAATTATTAGATTTACTTAAGCAAAATCTTCGTCGTTATCCAGGTATTTCGGATAAAGGTGAAAAATGGTTAAATTTTCTCGATATTGTACAACATATGAGAGAAGTGAAGGAGGATGATTATTTGATAATTTTAAAATTACTCCTCTATCTTGAAGAATATTATAATAATGTTTCAATGCAACAATATAATTTATATCGACGAAGAATTAAACGTGCTCAATATACATCGGGTTCATTTGTTATACGTGTACCTGGTCTCACTGAAGATAGACCATCATTATTACCAAACGATATTGTTGAAATTACTTCAGTAAATTCACCAAGAAAATATAGTTTAACTATTAATTTCGTTGGCGATAATTATATTGTTGCCAGGCCAGAGAACAAGTGAGTAAAAAAAAAACAATTCCAATCTGATTTTTTGTTTTAAAAACAAATTTTACATAATTATATAAAACATAAAAATTTTAAAATCGACAGACAAAAAAAAAAAATTGAAAATTATAAATAAAATATAATAATTTAGAATTGTTATTGGCTATTATTATTAATAATTTATTAAAATTGTTTTCTTATTAATTATTATAAATTATTAAAATTTAAATTGTTAAAATATTTCTTTTTTTAATTCTAATAATAATTATTGTTAGAAATTTAGTTATTAAATTTAATTTCAGTTTTATTTTCATTAAAATTTATTAATTTTGTTTGTTTGCGATTTTTATATTTAAATTTTTCGATGAAATCATCAAAATATAGAAATTTTTTTTATTGTTTCAGTTCTCTGTACAATGCATTTCAGGAAAATGGCTTTTACAATATCAAATTTAAATGGCCAAATTGGCCAGTTCGCGTTTGTCATTATGCAATTAGTTTAGTTAATGATTATAAATTAACTCCATTATTGTATCCAAAACCGCGACCAATTTACAATAAACCAAAAAAGTAAGTTTTCTTTTTATATTTTCTATTCATTTTATTTTGAAATTTTAATTTATATTTTTATTCTTTTGTTAATTATCACTTAAAAAAATATATTTACATTATATTTAATAATTATTCGTTAAAATATTTAATTAATATTCTTTTTTTAATTTAAATTACCAAAATTGGAGAATTGAAAATAAAATTTGAAAATAATCTTTCTTTTTTAGGGATTTAATATGGTTCGATAAAAATATCAATAGTAATCCAGAACAAATGCAAGCTGTTGAGCGAATTGTGGGAAAAACTGCATATCCATCTCCTTATTTAGTATTTGGTCCACCGGGTACTGGGAAAACATCAACAATTGTTGAGGCAATATCGCAAATTTTTGTTTCCAGTCAAAATGATAAAATTTTAGTTTGTACACCATCGAATGCAGCAGCTGACGAAGTAACTAAACGTTTGATAAACAATGTTCCAATAAATTTGGTATTTCGTATGTTTAGTCCATCTCGTGATGCGTAAGTTTATTTTACTAATTTTTTTCTCTTTTCAAAATTTTCTTTTCTTTCTGAATCAAATTTTTGTTCTAATAATAATATTAATTTATATTATAAATTAATTAAGAATTATTCAAATTAATAAAAATATTAATTAAAATAAATATTTTTTTTTCAGAAAAGACGTGGACGAGAGTATCAAGGATTGTACAAATTTTATTGATGATGAAGTGATCTTTCTACCAAGAGATTTGCTCATTAGGAAAAGAGTTGTTATCACAACACTTGTCACTTGTATGAGGTATTGTTTTAATAAATATATTTAATAATTATTTATTTAATATTGAAATCAAATATTTTATTTAGAATATTGAATGTGAAACATTTTTGTGCTAATAATTATTGTAATTGTTGGCGAATAAAAAAAGAAAAATATTAATTTGAAATAATGTACAATTTTTTTTTTCAGACTTGTATCAATGAAATTGTGGGAGAGTCATTTTGATTATATTTTCATTGATGAAGCCGGTCAAGCAACACAGCCGGAATCTTTAATTCCAATTGGATTAACAAGTGGCGAAGATCTTGGACACGTTGGAAGAATTCATGCGCAAATTATTTTATCTGGCGATCCACAACAATTGGGCCCGGTTATTATGACTAAAATTGGACAACATTTATTGGGTAAATAAATATTTTCTTTACAATAAATAAAATAAATAATTTTATTTGAAATTAATAGCCTTGAATTTGAATTTTCTTTTTCTTTAACAGGTAAATCAATGTTGGAAAGATTTATGGATTCATTTGAGATTTATAAAAAATGTCAAGAGGGCAAATATGATCCAAATTTTCTAACAAAATTAGTGCAAAATTATCGTAGTCATGAGGCAATTTTACGTATTCCAAATGAATTGTTTTATGACAGTGAACTTGAAATTTGTGGCGGTGAAAATATTCATCGCGCTGAAAATTGGTCTGAATTGCCAAATAAACAATTTCCAATTATATTTCATGCGACACATGGTCTTGAAAAAAGACATGAAAATTCTCCCAGGTTTGTTATCTAATTTTTTTTCTTATTAATTAATTTTACATTTTGAAAATTAAATGCAGTATAATTATTTTTATTATTATTTTCAGTGTATGTAATGAGACTGAGGTGCAAATTGTAATCGATTATGTGAATAAAATATTGAATAAAGAAATGGGTAATGGAATAATTAGACAAAAAGATATTGGAATTGTCACTCCATTTCGTCTTCAACGTTCAATTATTTTGCGTGCATTTGAAAAAAAAGGATGGGACGATATTGCCGTTGGTACTGTTGAAATTTTTCAAGGTCAAGAGAAGGATGTGATAATTCTCTCATCGGTGAGATCGACAGTTTTTCAAAATGACGGTCGTTTTCACATTGGTTTTCTTTCACACAAAAAGGTAAAATATTTTTACTTGTTTTTGTCATTTTCATTTTTTTTTTTTTTTTTTGGGTATAATAAAAAAGAAGTTGAAAATAAAAAAATAATTTTGTTTTGTTACAGCGATTTAATGTTGCAATAACGCGTGCAAAATCATTGTTAATTGTCGTTGGTAATCCAATGGTTTTGCAAATTGATCATTGTTGGAAAAGATTCATTGACTACTGTCAAATAAATAATGCAATTGTCGGTGATGAATTTCATTTACGTGAAATGGATGATAAGGAATGTGCAAAATTATTAAATAATCGTGATCCAAAGAAATATTGTGAAGTTAAAACGGAAAAATTGCCAATTGATGAAAGTGAAATATTGGAAAATCGAATTCATCAACTGCCGGAAAATGAAATACCACAGAGAAAATTGCGAGTACCAGTTATAAAATCAATGGAAATTCATAATTCTTCAATTATAATTAATGGAACACACGAGGCTGGTGAGAAAATTAATAAAATTAAAGAAAGAAACGAAAATTTTTAATTTCAATTATAAAATAAAACAATATAAATTAAAATTAATTATAAATTTTTTTTCAAAGATTCAGGCACGTATAGCAGTTCAAATAGCGGTACAATGGATGAACAATTGAGTGCATCCAATGAATTTGTAGAGGAAATTAACAAAAATCCAACAATTTGCACGGATCCAAATAAAATTTCATTGGATTCAGATTCATCGTATTATGATTTTTCAAGCGATAATGACGATGATATTTTTCATTTGTCGGAAACAGTTGAAAAACTCGAGATAAAAAATTAATTAGAAAAATAATTTTATATTAAGAATCGATAAATTTACGAAATAAGTTTTTTTTTTTATTTTTTTTAATCAAGTTAAAATTTCCAATTTTACTTTTTTTAAAAGGAAAACTTTTTTATATGGCGTTTTTTTTTAAAAAAACTTTTCGAATTGACATTAAGTTTATTTTTATTATTTCGATTTTTTGGATTATTAACGAATTATTTTAATATTAATAACGAAATCTGCCTTCATAAGAAAAAAAGAAAGAACTTTTGTGATCTATTTTTAAGAGAAAAAAAAAAGAAATTAATATAAAAACATTGAAAATAATTGATACGATTTATTTTTTTAAAAAACATTGACTTTTCTTTTTTTTTTTTTAATAATTTTCTATTTTTGAAATACAATATCGTATTTTTAATGTTTTTATATTAAAATATAGAAATAATTTTAAAAGACTACGAATATTTTTTTTTACCAGAAATAATATTTAGAGTATTTTTATTTTGAATAAGTCTGCAAAAAACCAAAACCTACGAATTTTTACGAAAGTTGTTTATATATATATATATTAAGAAATAATATTTATAACTTAATTATTGCTATCGTTGTAGGAAATAGTTTTACAATTGTTATTTTTTCTATTACATGTTAAGGAACTTTAATTTAAAGTCCAACTGTGATAGTAGTAAATGAAGCAGGTTTTTTTTTACTTATAAAGAAAAGTTATATATACATAAAAAAGAGAAAGTAAATTATTTTATAAATAAAGAAAATTTTTAATAGAAAATGTATTTTTATTTTACTATTTCTATTATTAATTTATTAATTTTCAATTGTGTAATTTAAAAAAGGGACAATTTACAAAAATAAAAATTTTTTTTTTCTATTTGAGAAAATAAAATTGTAAAAAATTGTTTTTTTTTTTTCTTTATTAAATCTTCGATGTTTTTGGAAGTAGAAAAAAAGCGGGATGAGCTCTTAAAATTACATATATATAATTTCTAAAGACTTAGATTTAATTGATTTTTTGTTTTTAAAATTGGAAAATACTGTGAAAATTATTATTTACATTATTATTATTATTATTATTATTATTATTATTATTATTAATATTATTCAAGTAGAAGTTTGGCTTTTTCGCCATTAATTTCCAAATGAAGACCATGACGCATGGCAAATTCACGTTTAACACTGGCAAATAAAATGTCGGTGAGCAGAAATATTTGAGCGATTGCAAATGCCAATGTTACGCCAAAATAAAAATTAGCATTCGCCGATCTTGAAAATATCCATAAATGCCAAACTGTCGGTGCAAATGCCGTGCAAAAAAGCATAAAACAACCGACAATAAAAACTTGTTGCATATCTGAAAAGAAAATTATTTTTAATTTAAAAAAAAAACAATTTTTTTTCCGTAAAAAAAAAAATCTATACTTACGTTGAAACAAATGCTTCCAAAGTGGTAACAATGACATATAAAAACCCACATCACCAATTGATGGATATGATTTGAAAATTGCCGCAATTGCCAAATAAGAAAATGCAAGTAACATTGGATCACGTCTTAATTTCAATGCCAATGGTACAACATATAATAAATTAACATTAATTTGAAATGATGCAATGAATAACCAACGAAAATGTTCAAACATTTCAGTGAAAAAATACCAATATAATCCAATATTTGGTCTTAAATCAGGTACAGTTAATATAAAACCAATTGTATTTTCAATAAATGAAAAACTACCAACAATAATATAAGAAATATAAAACAATAAACTGAGAATTGTGAAAAAAATGAAAATTATTTTCATAATTGAAATGAATTTTTCATTTTCATTTTTATCACGTAAAATATAAATTGTTGCCGGTACCATTAATGTTGCTGGATAAAGACCTTGTAATGTGAGAATTGATATTGTTAAACAACTAAAAAATATTGAGCGTTTTATCATTGAATATAATGCAAGGGAAAAGAGAAAATTTGTAAATACTGTTGTTGTTAATCCAACACAATTGAGAATTATAAATGGATTTAATAGATAAACTGCTGCAACATGTGGCATTGATGGTCGTTCAGGTAATATTGGATATTGTCGATTTTTCTCAATTTTATTTATTTTTATCTCTTCTTTTTCACGTTTCACCTGTTGGCAAATAAATATTTTTTAAAACAAAATTTACTCAAAAATTTCACCTAATAATAATTAGTTAATTTAAAAATAAAAAAAATATAAATTTTTTTAGTAAAACATTATTAATTTTTAATTTTAAATAAAAAATTATTTAAAAAATTTTTTTTTTGAGAATAAAAAAATTTACCACTTCAGTGAAATAATTCTTTGCTGTCGCTGCAATTAGCCATGCTGTTGTAAAATCCGTGAAAATGAAAAATAATTTTAAAAATGTGTCATTTAAAAATTTTTGCATTAAACTAAATGCCTCTAGACATAATGGTGTCTCGTGAAATAAATCTCCGCTATATGGATCTATTCCAAAATTTCGTAGATGAACACCCTCGGTAACTGGGGGAAAAAAAATTAAATTTTTCCAATGAAAACAAAATACAAAACTTTATATTAATTATAATTTACATTTCTTTTTAATTATAAATAAATAAATAATACTAATTTTTTTGCAGATTTTAATAATTTTAAATAAACAATAAATTTTATTAATTAAATTAATAAATTATTATTATTATTATTATTATTATTATTATTATTATTATTATTATTATTATTAAAAAAAGATAAAGTATTAATTTATTAGTATTTATTTTATTTATTTATTATTATTATTTTATTAATTTTTTAAAAATTTTATTTATTTTATTTGGCGAATTTTAATTTAAAAATTTTATTTTCCTAAAAAAAAGAATAAAAATATTTAAATAAAAACTGAAAATAAGAGTAAAAAAAATTATTATTCTAATTAAATTATTATTTTAATTATTTATTAACTATTAAATATAATTAAGTCACAGTTAAATATATTACTAAAATTGATTTTTTAAAATAAAAATAAAAAAAAAAAATGTTGAGAAAAAAAATACATATACAAAATTCATAAAGAAATAAAAAAAAATTTATTTACTTTTTAAATTACGAATTATAAGCACCATTTTGAAATAGAGAAAAATCGATTGAATTTTTTTTTAATGTTTATTTTTTTCGTAAATTTTCATAAACAAAACATTAAATTAAATGTAAAATTAAAGATAAATAGATAATGTAAACATAAAAATAGAATTTGGTATATTAACATTTTTTTTTTTCGTCAATTACTACATTTTCGAATAGAAACTGCTTTTTTTTGACATTTCGGAGTCGATTATCAAAGCCGGGTTTTTGTATACATGCATACATATATAAACTAACCTCTTTTCCAAGAATTTAAAGATGTTGATACCTCCACACGATCACTAATTATTTCCTGATATCTTGGTTTCATTAATAGAAATCTTATTACACCGGCTAAAGTATAATAAAACAACCACTCAGTTTTAAACATGATTTTTTTTGACATTTTTTTTTTTCTTGCACTTTTCAAAAAATAATTATATCCTTTTCCCTATTTTCGATATACATTCGCGAATTTTTCCAAACACAATTTCTAAATATCTAGTACGCGAAAAAAAAATGTGCTATATACATACAAAAAGAGATTTAAATTTAATAAAGAATAAATTATCTCTCAACATCATTTTCATACGACGTTTCTCGCCATTACTGAATTTTTTTTAGGTTATGTTCGTATGTTTTGGCGCACGTCACGCGCGTTATAACTCAAATAAAAATTTTCTAAATTTGTTTTATAAGTTAAATGAAATGCAATTATTCCTTTAAATATGTCATTTAGTATTGACGAATTTTAATAAATTGTAAATAGTAATTATATTTTAAGTGACAATTGTTTTTCTTTTGAAAGAGAAGATAATAAATCAAGTGCGTGTATACTTTTTTTTTTTTTATCTAAAAATGTAATTATTTTGTTAATTGTATAATTAAGTTTTAATTTTAATTTTTCAGAATTACAATGAAAAATCCCAATAAAATTCCTAATAAACAATTTAAAATACTATTGGGAGTATTAGGTGTAACTTTTTTAATTGCTTCTTATACTATTCATATTTCTCCGGCAATAAATTCTGAACCTTACAGTAAGTTTTTTTTATTTATTAATTAATTTTTTCTCCGCAAAATTTACTGATATTCGATAATAATTTATTATTTAAGTTTATGATATATAACAATATCACTCGCAAACTTTCGTGTAACATAACCTATATTTTTCAAAAAAAAAAAAAAAAAAAAATTATTCGAAATTTATTGTTATAATTTAATGTATATATAGGCAATAATTTTTTATTATTTAGAAATTATTTTTAATTATATATAATTACAATCACATAACCTATATTTAAAAAAAAATTATTTAAAGTTTAAAATTTATTATAATTTAATTTTTTTTGTAATAAATAGAATTTTTTCTTTTTTAATGGAAATTATTGTATTAAAAAATAAATATATTTTTTTTTTATAATTACAGAAGAAAAAAGGAGATTATCGGTTCAATCAATGGATCCTCTTAAAAAGGTGGAATAAAAAATGGTTTGTTATACTTGTTCAGTTTACTTAAATTTATTATATTTATATATATATATAAGTATATTTCTGTTCAAAGTCGATATTTAATCATAAATATAAAATAAATGCTATCTATTATTAATCTACTATTTTAATAAACTGTACATTTTTTTTTTCATCGATATTGAAGGATATAAGACATTTTTGTCTTTTTTTTTTGTCTCGTAAATATCACTGAATTTTTAAAAATCATCATCATTGCAAACGTCAAGAAAAACATCATATGCCTCTCTATTGCAATTTCCATCAGACGTGAAAACGTATTTGTGAAATGTTCCATCCATGCAAACGGCTGAAAAATAGAATTTTTTTGAATTAAATTTCCTTTTTTTTATAAAATAGAAAATTCTATTTGAAAAACATTATTTTTTTTTCTTTTAATTATTCCAAGTTTTTTTTTTATATAATGTATTTATTTATATTTAAAATATTTGAAAAAATTTTTAAATACCGACCATGAAATCAAAGAAATTATTTTCGTTTCTTTAACATTTTTTTTTTTTCTGAATTCTAAGCTAATTAATTATATTAAATTATAAATTATTTCAATTGAAACAAAGAAGGAAAAAAAAAACTTAAAAATGCTAAAGAAACGAAGAAACATTTTGTAATTTTTAGTTTTTTAAATTTAGAAATTAATTAAAATTTGTTAATTACCGATTACTGAATTTTTTGCACCAAAAGCGCAAACACAAGCGCATTCAGGTGGCACTGTAAATGTTGCTAATGCCCATTGGCTCTCGACATAATTTCCCAGGAATCCCATTTTTGAAAATCTGAAATTCGAAACGAAAAATATTTTTAAAAAAATTTAATGACAAATTTTTCTACTTTTAGAAAATTATATTAATATTTAAATACCGTTTAATTTGATTAAAAGAAGTAATTTCAAAAATTAAATAATTTTTACGTAAGAGAATATAAAAAAGAAAGAAGGATAGAAGAAATTAATTACGTGGATCTTCGATTGAGATGTGTGTCTTTAAGAGCAAATATGTGAATCGTTCCCTTGTCACTTGATACGCTGAGAAATTCCGAGTCCCGACTAAATGTTATGCTGGAAAAATAATTTTTTTTTTAATAATATAATTATTAAATTCTTTAAATAATTAAATACGATAATATAATTTGAAATTAATAAATTAAATTTGAATAAATTTAAATTAAACAAATTTTTAAATTAACAATTTAAATAACGATTTTTATTAGTAAAAAAAATTGAAGTTAAAGAAATAAAGTGAACCAGTAAAGTGTCGCAGGATCGGTTCCTCTTCTTAATTCGACTAAAAGTTGTCTCCTAGCGCTGTCCCAAACTCTAACTAATGTTCCCTGAGCGGATGCTGTTGCCACCATTGTTCCACTTGGATTAACAGCCAAACAAGCCAAAGCTCCCTTAAAAAAAAAAAAAAATTTCCTTTCTCAAATTTTCCATTTTTATCATTGCAAAATTTTTATTTATTTTTTTTTAATTTAAATATATTTTATTTCAATTTAATTATATTTACACAATTTTTTCTTTTGTACAAATAATAAACGCAAACATATTGGTATTAAATAAAGAATTTTAAATTGAAATTATTTTTTCAAACAATTACACAAAAATAATTAATTAGTAAAATTTTTTCTAAATTATATATTACTCACTTGATGAGCGGCTAAAGTTGCCGGAGCACTCGAACTACCAGAATCCGTTGCTCCCAAATCGACTAATTGTACACTGCCTATTTTATGGCCTTTTAATTGAAAAAAAAAGAAGTAAATATTAATTTTATTTTTTTCCATTTCTCGACTTCAATTTAATATTTGAAATTTTTTAAAATAAAAATTTTGTTTCAATGATAAAAATAAGTAAAAATACAATTTTACCTGGAAACGCGAGAAGTTGTTTATTAGCTGTTGCGAGGGTCGCCACCTCCATCAGTCCTCTAGGATTATCTCTAGTTTCTAACGTAAGCAACCTTCGTGTTGGCATTGGAAATGAAAAAACGTGTATTTCTCGTTGAAGGGCCACTATCAATCTATAAATAATATTCAATTAATTAATTTAACTAATAAATATATGAAAATTAATTTGAATTTTTTTTCAATTAGCGATTTTCTGTTATTAAATAAAAAAAATTTTTAATTCAAATTAAATAAAATATTTAAATAGAAAATTTTAATTAATAAGTAAATAATTTTAAAAAATTGAATTATTTAATTAGTAATAAAATGTTGGCATCGGCAATGAAAAAACGTGTATTTCTCGTTGAAGGGCCACTATCAATCTATAAATAATATTCAATTAATTAATTTAACTAATAAATAAATGAAAATTAATAAATAAATTAATTAATCTAAATTTTTTTTCAATTAGCGATTTTTTGTTATTAAATAAAAAAAAATTTTTAATTCAAATTAAATAAAATATTTAAATAGAAAATTTTAATTAATAAGTAAATAATTAAAAAAAATTGAATTATTTAATTAGTAATACAATTTTTTTTTTTTTTAATAATAGAAAAAAAAGAGAAAATTTCTCGAAATTTGGAATTCTTACTTGTCCCTTCGTAATCTAACTGCTTTTATAGGACCAGTGAATGTAATTTCCAAAACAAATTTCTTTGCTTGATCATCGTAAATTAAAACTGTATTATCAGCATATTTTGGCTTTGATCCACCGCCAACAATTGCAATTATATTCGTTCTCCATAGCATTTCTCCTATTCCAATGCTTCCCATTAAATCGCTTTCAAAATGCGCTTGTTCGACAAGTGGCTCCACATTGTATATCCTTAGTCCAGACTCCATGCAACATGTGAAACATCCTAAAGAACAATATTTTCTTTTAAAATTATAATTTTTTTTCTACCTCAATTTATTTGCAATTCCGAAATTTTTTTTTAACAAAATAAAAACTAAAATTAAACAGAAAAAATAAATTTCTAATTAAATATTAACAATTGACAAATAAATACCTAATAATAATAATAATAATAAATAAAAAAATTATTATAATAAATTTTTTCAAATATAAAAATATAATTATTTAATTAAAAAAATTAATTTCTCAATGAAAAATAATTATTAATAATTATAAATTGAAATAAATTAATAAAAAAAAATCATAACAAAAGAATATCTCGACAAAAATTGAACAAAGAAAAATGTTTCTTTTTATACGAGCGTCTTAAAAATATAAAATTCAATGTACTCTATTTATATAATTGAAAATTTTAATTGCCAAATATTTAATTAATTAACATAAGAAAAAAAGAAATATAACAAAAAGGAATCAATAATAAAAATTTCGTGTCTAATTATAGAAATCATATAGAGAGGTTATGTTTACTTTTTTTTTCATTTTTAAGGCAATTTCAACAACAATTTACAATCATTAATTTAATAATTTTTGCGACATACCTTGATCTTGATTAAAACGTAAACTAAGAATTCCCCTTCCTCCTGACATTTTTTACAATTTTATCAATCAGTCTTTTGATAAAATAACGAAAACAACTTGCCCAAACATTACAGACGATAAACACTGCATTATGCACATACACTCAAGTCGACGCCAAAACGTCAAACGTAAGAAATGTATATATATAGAAGAAAGGAGAAGAGAATGTCTTGATCAAAACAAAACAACTTTTAGGTTATATGCGCATGAACAGCTGATCGGATATTTTGCTTTTTTTTTTTTAAATTACGAAATTCTTGTTGCGCCCTTGACAACTTTAGTCAATTTTTATTGACAAGAATTATTTGCTTTATATTTAAAATGAAATTAATTAAAATAATTAATTAAAAAATAGATTATTTTTCTTCATTAATATTTTCCCTTTGCTTTAAAATCACTTTCTTTTTTTTTTTTATTTTTCCTATATTTTTATTGATTTTTTAAACAATTGTAAATTTTGAATTATTCCAATTTGCCGCGCTTTGAGTCAATCAATCAGAATTCAGCTTTGAAAAGATGTGAATCCAAAAAGGGAAATAAGTTCACAAAAAGTTAATTGCAAAATAAAATGTGGATAATTTTTATTGTTTTGTACATTTTTATTTATTTATTTATTATTATTATTATTATTATTATTATTATTTATAAAAAATATTTTTGCAAAAAGATTCCTCTTCTATTTGATATTTGTATATTTTACAATTCGGAAAGGGAAATCGACCAATAAGACAGAGAATAAATTTTATGTCCAGTTCTCTGATTGGTTAATACTGAATTGCGCCAAGTGGAAAACGCGCTCGAACACACACCACATTTTTACATGGTTTACGACGATAAAAGTGACAAACACGCTCATTTTTTATAATGTAAAATTTTACAAAGTAAATTAATTTTAACACGTGAATAAATTGTTTGCAAAATAAGTGATTAATTGCGATAATTTGTTAAATATGTGAGAGGTTAGCTTGTATTTCCTATATATGTATATATATAGATGTATATATAGTATATAGATAAAAAAAAAGCACAGTAGTGTCTTTGCGCATTGCCGTGTGCCGAGGAATCAACACAGCATTTGTATGTATTGAAGAATCTAATAATATGTCTATTTTTCCCTTCTTTCTCAAAAAAAAAACGATATATCTCAATTACAGTTGAAAATATATTATAAAATTTCCGTGAATTATTTTTATCGTGTTGTTTGTTAATTTAATAGAATTTTGTTATCTCTCTTTTACACGCTCAATAAATATATGTATAGTAAATTTTCCTTTTTAGTTTCTTTTTTCTTGTATATAATAGATATATAAAAAATCGACAAAAATGAAAGGACTGTATTTTAATAATTTACATTAGTTTAACATTGAATTCTATTGAATCTATTTTTATTGATATTTTTACGATTACTCATTATTGTGCCTTGATTTTTTGGCAAATTTAATCACTTGTGTTAAAATGAAAATTGTTTTGTATTCTTTGAATTTTTGATATTTTTTATTTGTTTAATTTTTTTTCGTTCTTTTTTTTGGAGGGGGGGGGGGGGCGATGAGAAAAGAAATATTTTTTTTCGGTTTTGATATTAAAAGAAAGTGATAATTTGCGTCGGTAAATTTTAGGTTAGGATTTATATGTCAAGTTTTGTATTAATCGTTTATAAAAATAATTTGTATTTTATTTTCCGTTTGTGAAATTTTGAAATGAAATTGGAAAATAATTTGATACTTTTAATCTTTAACAAATATTTTTTCGAATTATATATATATATATATATATATATTATCATTTTGAATTTTAATTATTGAATCAAAATTCTATTGTCAATTTTTTTTTTATCTTACGAAAATATTTTTAAAATTATATAATTTTTATTTTTTAGTTTCCTTTTTTTTGTGCAATTATCTTAATTTTAGATTTAAATCTAGATGTTAGATTTTTTAAAAAAAATTAATGTGTTTTTTTTTAGATTCGCCTGAAGAGTGAAAAAAATGCGAGAACTAAAGGAAACTGCTCATTAGCGAAGTTTTTAATTAGAAAATGCAATTTCCTGGCCAAAAGAGGAAAATAGAATAAGTTTTATGATTTAAGTAGCGCTCGAGTCAAAATAAAAAGAAAAAAAAAATAAATAAATTAGAAAACAAGAGGATAAAATAATTTGGCAACAGAAAATGGAGATGAATAATATAGGGAACAATAAAAGTTCAATTTATCTAGTGATACCATTTAAAAAGCTTTGTCTGACAACAGTTGCACTACCTGTCGTGAGTTTAGTCATTTGTTTCGTTACAGCGTATATATTTCAACAAGATGATATTCACGAAACACATTGTCGGGTAAGTTATCGAAAAATAAAATTATTTTCAATATAATTTTCTTTTTAAAAATAAAAATTTAAAAAAAAAAGAAAATTAATTCGACAGCAATTATTTTATTATTCAATAATCAAAAATATTTTTTTTTATCAATCAGTAAATTAATTAATTAATAAATTAGGAAATTAATTATTTTATTAATTAAAAGAAAAATTTGTTTATTTTATTAGTAAAGAAATTTATTAATAAATTACAAAATTAATTACTCATTTAATTAACTAATTCATTTGTTAATTTTACCTAACTTAATTTAATATTACTTTTATTCTATTTGTTAATTTAATTTAAAAAAATTGTTGTTGGAAAATTTAAAATATTTAAAAAATTGTATTATAAAATATAGAAACAAAAATGAAACAATAATTTTCAACAGTAAAATACTAAAATTTTCACACTATTAAAATAGCATTATTTATAAGCTACGAATAGTGATAAATTTTTATATTTTATAGTAACCTTGAGTCTTATTGTTAGTATTACAAATGAGGATAAATATATAAAAATATAAAAACAAGTTGTCTTATCGCGTGCATATACTAACCTTTAATCTTATTGTCCATATATTAGTTTTTTTTTAAAGTTATAAAAAATATTAGTTTTTTTTTTTAAAGTTATAAAAAATATTAGTTTGAAATTTCTTTTTTTTTTTATTGTCAAATTAGTTAAAATTGTTTTTTTTATAAATTAAAAATTTTCGGTGATTTTTTCCATTATTTTGCTTTGCATTTTATTATTTATTGAATAATTGAAATATTTATTTATTATTATAATTTATGTATTTTCAAAATTTATTTTTCACTAAAATGCCCGGTTTTTTTTTTAAATTAAATTTTTCAATAAAATATATAATAAAGATTTAAAAATTAATTTAAAAATTTACTTTTACATTTTTATTTTCAAAAAAAAAATTTTAATTATACTATTTTTGTGGGTAGACATTTTTAAAGTTAACTAATAAGTTTTATTTTTGAAAAATTTGTTTTTGTTTTCAAATTTCTCTATTTTGTCGCTGTTAATTTTTCTTTTCTTTTTTGAATTTCTTATTGTACTGTAAAAATTTTGTGATAAAAAAAATGAAATTATATTTATTTTTTCTTTTCTTTTTTTTAGGTTTATAATGTTCTTCCGTCGATCTCGGCCATCACGGGCGTTTCACCTCAGAGATATTTGTGGCGAATTAGCATAGCTTTACATGTTGGACCACGATTTGTAATTGCAAGCGTTTATTATTCATATTATCGAAAAATAGTTCAAACTCTTGACGATGTTTCTGTGAAGCTCATTTCCTGCAGACTTTTGAATTTATGTTATTGGCTCAATATTACCGAAGTTTCCGCTTTATGTGGCGTTACTTATATTTCAAATGCGGAAAATTATGGTAAAACATTATTTTATTTTTCTAATTTAAAATAATATATATTTTTTTTTTGCATTTTAGCAAATTATTTCCTTTAAATTTAAAATTCTCTTTCTTTTAATTTTATTTCCTTTTTTAATTTTTGATTATTCAAATTTCAAATAATTATTTTTGCACAAAAAAGAAAAGAGTAAAAACGAACGAAATTCTTTATATTTGTTTTTTTTCCTTTTCTTATCTGAAACGTTTTAAAACTTGTAAAACAATTTTAAAGGTTTCACAATTTGCAAAATAACTGATATGGATAACATTGCTTTGAGAATGTTTCAACTTAAGAAAATAAAATGATAATTACTTTTGTACAGGAAAGTTTATGAGAAAAATAACATTTCCTGTAAGACAGAACAATAATGAAAAAAGGGGAAAAAAATATAAATTAAATATATGGAATAAAAATTTAAAATATTTTTCTTTATGCACAAAAAATTTAGAAGATTCTTCTTCTTCTTTTTGTCGCTTATTACAATTAATTTGTCTTAAAAATTAAAATTTGATGATAATTTTTTTTTCAGCGGTCCATGAAAAGATCTTTATAATGTTTATGATCAGTTCATTGACATATATGTTGACGGCAGTGAAATTGAGTCGTTTAATTACACCAAATGCACAAAGTCTTCAGTACAAACAAGGCCTGTTTATAACGAGTCTTATAAGCACTGCAGGCCTTATTATCTTCTTTCTGAAGCATCGACTTTTATGCCACGATTTGGGTAAGAAAAGAACCAATCATTTTTTTTTTCATTTATCATCATTGTCTTGAAATTTTTATCCATATAATAATTATGTCATGTTTCTATTATCATTTTTTTTACCTCAATTATTTAAAGGCCAAATTTATAATTTAATTCTATTTAGTTACTTTTTGCAACAAAAATTAAATTGAATTTATAGAAATTAAATTACAATTTTAATTTAAGTTAATTATAACAAAAAAAAAAAAAAATACTTAATTTGCCTATGAATTTGAATTTTCCAAAACGAATAATTGAATTTTTAAAAATAATTTTCTAATTAAAAAATTGAAATAATAATTTTATGTTTCCATTAAAACAAAAAAAAAAAAAGGCAGAAAAATTCTAATGAATTTCGATTTTTTTCCCCGCTAGCATTTAGCTGGTTCTCACTTTGCGAATACGTGATAGCTTGCGCAAACATGGGATTTCATATATGCGTGGTCTTAGATTTTCCACACGAGCAACTTGTCGTTGGAAATGGTTTACCCGCAACAAAGCGAGATTAACATCTTTAGGACTAAAACAAACAAAAAAAAAAACAAACAAACAAACAAGAATAATAATAAATTAATTAAATAAAATAACGTTCGTTTTCCAAGTGCCTCTTGCCTGCTGGGAATTCTTTTTAAAAACGCGTCTTTTTAATCATTGCCAACTACCTCTTCTGAATGAAAAAAAAAAAAAAAAAAAACGATCAATTAAATTATTATTGATTCTTTTTTTTTTGAAATTCTATTTATTTTCATTTTTGATTCTGTTTATTTCAAATCTCAAAATATAATAAAATTTCCATGGTTTGACACTAGGCACTGGAAATGTATGAAGGCCTTTCATAATTTTATCTATTAAATTAATTAATATACAAATTTGTAGTGACACTATATATATACTTATATATATATATAGAGAGAGAGTAAAGTAACGTTGTACTTCAAAATACAACAAAAAAGAAAAAAATAAATTCATGGAAACATTTGGAATGAAAAGAAAATTTCCTATAAATTTTGGAAGACTGTTGTGTAAATGGTAAATATGACGCTTAAATATTGTCACCATAATTTTTCGTTTTTATCGCATTTTTTTTTCCAGTTGCCATGAAAATCCAATTAAAATTAAATAATCAAATTATTAATTATTTTATTTTTTTCTCTTTCTCTTTGAATTTTATTTATTTTTATTAATATTATTTATTATTTATATTATTATTTATATTTATATTTTTATTATTACATATTATTATTATTATTATTATTATTAAACTATTGTATAATTAATTTTGAACCTTAATACATTTTTGAAAAAAATGTATTTTTATTTTAAAACAAAAATTATGTTTTAATAAATATAAAATAAAAGTGTATTTATTTAAAAAAAAAAAAAATATAAATTTATAAATGAAATTGAAAATAAAAAGGCTGATATTTTTAATTGTTGTTGAGAAAACATTTATAAATGTATAGAAAAATGAAATTTTAAAGACATTGATTTGTCTCTTTTTTTTCTATTGGATTTTCGGTAATTGGAAAAATATATGTGAAAACAAAAAATTGAGGGTATTTGATGTGTCTATATATAGTATAAAAAACAAAAATTAAAATAAAATGTAGATTTTTAATTGTCGAAACTGTATGATTAAAATAGTAAGTGGGAACTCTAGTCGATTTTAATAATTCTAGTCGATGTGTCCTTAACGCTTTGTGAAAAAATAATTTGTTTTATTTTATTTTTATTATTATTATTATTATTATCTTCGTAGATATGTTTGTAGAATTTTTCATGAATATCATAATTAAATAATCCAGAATTTTTGAAAAAAAATTTATATAATAGAAAGAAAGAATGAAAAAAAAAAAAAACATACAGACTTGGCTTTTTAGAAAAATGTAATTTTCTTTTTTTCGTCAGCCAGTCTTGAAATATTTTTTCGAAATTTTTGAATGAATGTGTTTAAAAAAAAAAATTGTACATAAATCGTTAAGTTCTCCGTTTCTTTTTTTCTTCACAAAAGAACTATACAAAATTTAAATTTTTTAATTTCAATTCTTATTTTATATTTTGATTTTAATATTTTTATTTTCCTTTTTTCTATTTTTTCGACTAAATTTTGTTTTAGGGGAAAAATTTAATTTTATAATTTTTTTGGTGTTTTTTTTTAAAAGAATTTTAATTTAAACAATTTTTAAATGTTTTTTGAATTTTAAAAATCAAAATTTTCTTATAAAGAAAAAACAAAAAAAAATAGTCTTTAGAATTTGAGTGCGTAATTTTTTGATGATAATAGTAATGAATGTGTTTTTCGCTTTTGTAATTAGTTCGGAGGACTTTTTTTTTGGTGTGTTAAATTAATTAATTTTTTTCTCAAAAAAGGATTAAGATCTTTCGAGTGTGAATTTGCTAGAAATTCTTTTTCTAGATTGCCAGTAGTCCCCATGTGACTAGATAAGCACTTTAAAAAAAAAAGAAAAAAAAAACAAAAAAACTCGATAATACTTATCGTTTTTTGCACATTTTTACAGCTAATAAATATGTCCATCGCCCCCCCCCCTCGAATACAATAATCTTTGATTATTGTATATAATATATATATAATATTTGTATCGACGAATTCGTTACGATTTAACGCAATTATTATTATATTTATATATTATATAGTATTTGCGACTATAATTCAACAGAATTGTATACAAGTTGAAGTTTTTCTTCGTTTCTCAGGAAAAAAAATACCCAAATTTTTTTTTTCCATATATTTTTAAATTATTCTCTTTTTTTCCCAATGCGCAACGATTTTTTTTTTATAATTGTACAAAAATTCTTTTTTCCCTCTAAGAATAAAAAAAGTTTTTTTTTTAAATAACAAATATTTATTTTCAAAATTTTGTTTCGTAAATGATAAAAATTTATTTCTAAAGCATAAAAAATTTACAAATATTTGTATTTTTTTTTTTAAAATTATTTCCTCCAAGAATCACTTAAAAAAAGATTCTTTTTTAAATTACAAAAATAGTTTAGAAAGATTTAATTTTTTAGAAATTTTCAAAAAAATATTAAATATTTTTTCTCATTCTAAAAAAAAAAAAACTCCTGTAATTAGAGGAAAAAGGAATTTTTTTTCGGGAACAAAAAGAGAAAGTAATATAAAAGAAAAATGGAAATTCTTTTTTTTTTCGAAAAAAGAAATTTTTCCGTAAAAATAACAACAGAGTGTAACTTTGTTCGAAACTATCGTAATTATTATTGTAAAAAAGAAAAATATTCATCGCTTATTTTAAATGATTGACGGAAGTGTTTTAAGAAGTTGTTTTGAAAATGGTAAAAAAAAACGGATTTTAAAAATTTTCATATCTCAAATTTTGCCCTTTTTTAAAAAAAAATAAATATTTTTTATCTCACTATCATTTTTTCTTTTGTTTTTTTTTGCTATTCAAATACAAATATGCGATCGACTGTGAGGCTTTGATAATACAAGCACAAATTTTAAAAAGTACAAAAATAAACTGATAATTTTTCGTTCTTCCATTTTTTTTTGCGTCAAAAAAAAATATTTCCGTCTTTTATTCAATTTATTTTCTTTATAATATTAAATTAATTTAATAAAAAAATTAGTTAAATATTTACAAATAAAAAAGTAAAAAGCTACTTTATTTTTTTATTATTATTTATAAATTATTTATAAATAAAAAATAGTTTATAAATAATTATAATAAAAAAGTGAAATCAAAAATTTAATTACTTTCATTGTAATTATTTGGAAACTAATTTTTTTAATTTTTTATTAAATTAATTAATTATAATTGCGTGAAAGTGATTTTTTTAATTGCCATATATAGTAAATAATAATTTATTTATTTAATTTTTTAAATGAATATACAACTGACGTGTTTGAATTTTTTTTTTTTTTTATTTCGACTTCCAGGATTTGTCTCATTGTCGATCGTACAAAGTGTAAGAAACTTGTTGATGCCAAGGAGCGCGGTGTCAAATGCAAGAGCTTGATACCCTTGACACGTGTTACAAGTTCTATTTAATTAATGTCAGCCATTTGGCACAACAATTTCCCCTCCCACCAAGAGAATTAGGCTGAATGTCTCCTCGTGTGGCGCTTACTGCGTGAAAATCATTTTTGTCATGCATAAATTGAGAGCTTGTGAAAATTTATTTTTTTATTTTTCTCTATTTTTGGGTGAGAAATTTTTATTAAAACACTTTTTCTTTTTTTTTTCTTTTTAATCACTTTTTGTTTTGCAGCGCACTTGAATTTTTTCTAATTTTCAAAAAATTTGTTTTTGATAAAATAGAAAAAAAATTTTCTTTTGAAATAATTTTATTTCTCAAATTAATTGGCGAAAAAATATTTTGTTTTCCATTAAAATTAAAAATAATATTTTATTTATTAAAAATTTTTATATTTACAATAATTTTTTTTTCGTTTTCTCATTAAATTATCTTAAATTGAAATGCGAAAAAAATTCAAGGCACCTATTTTGTAAAAAAATATTTTCGATTTTAATTTTTGTACTTTATTTTTAAAAAGAAAAAAAATTTGTCACAATGAAAGAAAAATAGAAAATTAAAGTAGAAATTTATTTTCCAAAAGTTGTATTTTTTTCGCAATTTATGTATATTCGAATTTATTATTTCTAATTGCAAATATTTCTAAACTGTAATTTTTTATTTACAATGTGTAAATTTTTTTTATTTCAAAAAATTCGAATTTTTAAATTTAAAAATTTAGTACTGTCGAATTTGAAAAAAAAAAAAAATTTGTAAATTTTAAAAATTCGAATTTTCAAATTATTTTCAAATTCATTTTAGAGTCGAATTTTGAAATTTTAATTCATTTCTCAATTGATTGGAAAATATTTCTCTCAAACAAATATTACATAATAATAATAATAAATATTTCGTATTGCGATTATGAATTATTATGCAATCTACATAATAATAAAAGAAAAAGAAAAAAAAATGTTTATGGAAATTTTTAATTATTGCAATTTTTAATTAAATTTCTAAGGAAATTTTTTTTTGCAAATTTCGTACCAGTAAATTTTTTGTGTTTATTGACAGAAAAGTTGTAAAAAAAAAGAAAAAAAAACAGTTTCGAGTAAAAGAAACTTTATAAAGAAATAATGATGATGATGATTAAGAGAGCGTGTAACTGATTACTTAACTTATATATGTATATGATAAAAAAAAAAATATTTATTTGTCCAGTAAACGAGTGAAAGATAAAATAATATACATTCAAATTTGAGTGTGTGATTGAAAAAAAAACACAGGGCATTATATTTCAAAATCGTAAAAAAAAAAAAAAAATGCAACCTGCGAGATTTATAAAAAATAAAAGGGAACGGAGTTGTATGAGATGCCAAAAGTGAATAAAACATATCTGTCAGAAAATTTAATTATATTTGTTAATTTTTTGTTTAAAATTTTGTCCAATTTACGAATTTTTGGATTTATTTTTTTTTCTCTTAAAATTCATGATTTATTTGATTTATTTTCTATTCTAATTAGAAATAAATCAGTAATTGAATTTATTAATTTTGATAAAAATTTTATTTTGCGTTTTTAAATTAAAAAGAAGAAAAATATTTTATAATTTTTTTTCGCTTATGCTAATAATTTTTTTATGGTTTTTTTTTCAGCAAATTTTGGAAAAATGGAGATTGAAAAAAAATGATGATGAATAAATTGTGAAAAAAGGAGAATTATTTTTTTTTCTAATGCATTGATTGTGGAAGGACGCAAGAGTGAAAAAACTTTATTATTGTTACATTCGTTTACGAGTATTAACGTCGTTCGACGCTCTTCTTCAAAACTATATACGTGATTTTCTAACGCTCCTTTTTTTATGACCAATCAATTAGAGTGAGAGTGATCGATGTCGGTTTGGCTTCAAAGTTATCCTAGTATTACTTCAACTTGGAAGGCAATTGAACTCAGTTGACCTTAAATGGAGAGCAACAAACGCCGTAAACGTACGTCGAACTCAACTTGGTAATGTTCCGTGAGTATACATATATATATATATATATTCCTCTAGATGTATATAAATTTATAAGAAACATAGAAAATAAACGGAAAATTTCTCATTTATAATCACAGATAATAGTTCGATTAATTATGTTCAAGTTTTAAATTTTACTCCGAATGCGCGCTCGAAAAAATTCTGCAATCGAGTGCGAAAAAAAAAAATATGAACAGCGCAAAAAATACAAATTGAATAATATATTTTAGAATTTTTTTTTATCTAATTTTATTTCTATTAAATTAATTTTTAATTTCTTCGATTTTTGGTTTTCTATTTCAAATTATTTTTCTGTTAATTTGTTTTCCGTTTTAATTATTTTTTTGATAAAAAACTAAATAATTAAAACACAAATGTTGAATAGCATTTTTTTTTCTTTTTTTTCGAAATTTAAAGAAAAATTTTTCTTTTTCCAGAAAAAATATTTAAAGAAATTAAAAAGATTTATTGAAATTATGAAAATAATTTATTTTTTTCTTTTATTTTTTTTTTGTACAAAAAGAAAATGCTTTAATTTAATTTTATAAAATTTAAAAAAAAATTTGAAATTTCATTACAAATTTTCACTAAGTGAAAATTTTGATAAAGAGCAATTTTTTTTTTTTTTTTTTTTTCAAATATCTTTAATAATTCCTTTTTTCTGTTAACGATTTTGCATTTTTATTCCTGTTGATTGTGTTGTAAATTGTTGTTGATAAATTTGCGTTCGATTTGAAGAATAGGTTTTTAAATTTTTTTTTTTCTTTTTTTTGTCTTTCCATGTTGGGAGCATTTTTCACAGAGCCACGTTAATTCCTTATTAAAATCGTCAATGTCAATTGATGATTTATTATTATTGTCGAGTAATTGACAATTTTCTAAACAATTTTGACATTCGAATAGAATAAATGCTCCCAAATTTGATTCATTTTCCTAAAAAAAAAAGAGAAAAAGAAAAACAGTACATAAAAAACCATTTTTTTCAATATTAAAAATTTTTTAATTTAGAGAAAAATTGAAAATTGAAAAATTAAAAAAATTGGAAATTTCAACATTTTTTAAAATGGAAAAAATTTAATTTTAGAAATTTGATTAAAAAAATGGGAAATTAATTTTTTTTTTTAAATAGAAAAAAAGGAAGTTTTTGAAATTTAAAAAATGAAAAATTTATAATTGGAAAATATAATCGGACCATGTGAAAAACGCCTTCCTCGGATCCTTCGTCAGGAATCGATATCCTTGGAATGTCGTCATGTTCGGATTCGGTCTTAAAAATTTTTATCGTCTCCGATGAAACATTTTGCGGCTCGACTGCACATAAAAAATATTTACTTTCGATACTTTATTCTCTTTTTTTTCCAATTTTCAAAAAAAAAAAAAAAATATTTTTCACCTCACCAATCTCGAAAATAACATTTTCAATATTTAATTTGAAAATTCGTAATGAAAATAAAACAAAAAAATTAATTAAAATAAAACAAAATTAAAATTGAAAATTTTTTTTCAGTATTTTATTTATTTTTTAAACTTTGAATTAAATATATTATATTTTTGAAAATTATTTGAAAACTTTTGCGCAATTTTTTTGCAACAAATTTTTTTTTACAGTTTCTATAGAAAAATAATTTTTTTTTTTTTTGAATTATTTTAAAATTAGAGAAAAAAAAAAATTTACCAGAAATTCCACAGCTCTCGGCTTTTGTTAAAATTGCCTTTGAGATTCGAGACGTGACGGTTTTTTGAAATCCAAATTTTTCTTCAATCAATGAATCCAACATTAATCGGAGATTTTTCCCGCTACTTTCGTCCGTTGAATGTAGTAAAGAAAGTGCTTTAAACATTTCCCTCTCAATTTTCAAATCGTCCATTAACAATAATCTTTTTTTTGGAAAAAAAAATCTATAAAACAAAAAATAAATTTTTCGCGAATAAAAAAAAAATTACCAATTTATTTTCCAAATTCAATAAAAAAATTTCAAAATTTTTTCCTTCAATTATAAATTTACAATTTTAATTATTGAAAATTAAATTAATTTTTTAATATCGCAATTCAAATTAATTTTTTTTAGTTAATAAATAAATTAATTAAAAAATTAAATTAATTTTTTTTTGTTTTATTAAATTAAGTCGCCAGAAGAAGAAATTTTTCAAAGAAAAAATTAATTTTTAATTTTATAATTTAATTACTTTTTTTAAGTTAATAAATAAATTATTTAATTTTAAATTAATTAATTAATTAATTCCAGTTTTAATTAATTAATTATTTAAGAAGAAAAAATTATCGCAATTTTATGTTTAATTAAATTTTTTTATTAACATTTTTTTTTTTTTTTTTATTAAATTTAGCTAATTAGTTTTTTTTTTTTATTAAATTATTAAATTAAAATTGAAAAAGAAATTTTTTTAAAGAAAAAAATATAGTTACTTGAAATATTGAAAAGAATTTTTCCAGATGAATCGGGATTTTTTTTTTTTTCTTTATTTCGTTTATTGATAATGAAAAAATCAATGAAGGGTTTATGATTTCTGCAATTTACGGGGAAAATGGAATTCTGTCAACGTTATATAAGATTGAAATCTATATATATATATATATATATATATATATATATATATATATATATTTTACTTGAGGAATATTGAAGTTGAACATTAGAGGTGAACTCACAAGGCATTTGACAGGTATACCTTGACTGTAAATCACTAACGATGTTATTACATGGAAATCCTGCAGATAACGACCTCCCTTGTCCAGTTTAACTGTATTAGAACACGCGGACATCCTGTAGGTTACGACATCCGTAATCTGTTAAAATATATCTATAACCAAATTCGTGGAATATCTAGGTTATCATTTATTTCGACAATATCGAATCGAATATTTATTAAATTATATTTCTCATCTAAAAAAAAATTCTCGTAAAATATAATTGCGAATTCATTCTTTAAACAAGTTTTGAAAATAAATTAAATAAATAATTTGAAATTAATTTCAATTTAAAAAAAATTATTTTTCAATTTATTGAATTAAAAATTCGATTAAAAATAATTTCAAATAGTGAATATTGTATTATTAATACGAAATTGAATTTGCCTTAAATTTAATGAAATATACTGATTAAATTAAACGATAAAAAATTTAATTTTCCGAATTTAATGTAATTATAATTTTTATTCAAATTTTAATCAATATTAAATATTTTTATTTATTTATTACTTGCAAAATTAAACGCGCGCCAAATTGAGTATTTAATTGTTTGTTATAAAGAAATTAAAGATTAATATTATATTAATAATAATTTAATTTATTAGAATATTATTACATATTAAATGATAATAATGGAAATTATATGTTTACAGGCCTCGGATTATACGACTTTTTCCGGCTTATTTCAAAAATACGACTTTTATCGACTTCTTTTAATAAAATGCGACATTTTTTTTTTACATTTGAAAAAAAATGTAAATAAAATACATTTTTTTTTAGTATAAAATGTAGATCTTCTTCAGATCTTCTTCAATTCAATTATTTAACAAATTTTGAACTAAAATGATTCTTCACTAAATTAATTATTTTTAATATGTGAAATACATTACAAATTCAATTAAAATTTTTATGAAATTTAACAATTGTTTATAATTAAAAAAAAAATATATCACAATAAAATTGAATTATTTTTTAAAAATTTCAATTCAAAATGAACTGATATTCAATTATTTTCCAAATTTAAAATCAAATAAAATTTCATTATTCTCAAAAATTTGAATTCAAAATTAATTGAATTTTCAATATAATTTGAATTTAAAAGCATCTAAAATTTAATTATTTCTAAAATATTCAATTTAAAAGCTTCAATTATTTTTAATGATTTTTATAATATGCTTCGAAAATTCAATTATCTGAAAGCATTTTGCAATTAAAAAGATTTTTAAGTACACTTTCTGTCTGTAATTTCTAATAAATTCTTCAATTATTTGAAATTCAATTTTTCTTGACATAAATTCCGTTAAATTGAAATTGTATATTAATTTGAAATTCGATGTACTAGAAAATCTGCTTTATATAATTTTACTAAATAAAAATTTGATAATTTAAAATTTGACGCCGTAAAATTTAATTATTTACCAAGTTTTCAATTTAAAATGAGAATAAAATTCAATTATTTTCTAAAATTTCTATTCAAAAATTAATTATCCAAATTTTCAATCAAAAATGAACTTAAATTAAATTATTATCCAAAATTTCAATAAAAATTCAATTATTTCCCAAAATTTTCAATTCAAAATAAACTGATATTCAATTATTTTCCAAATTTAAAATCAAATAAAATTTCATTATTCACAAAAATTTGAATTCAAAATTAATTGAATTTTCAATAATTTGAATTTAAAAGCATCTAAAATTTAATTATTTCTAAAATTTTCCATCGAAAAATTTTTTTTTTTGAAATTTAATAATTTCAATTATAACTCTAAAGAAATTCAATTATTTTTAACTATTTTAATAATAATAATAATAATCTTTGAAATTTCAACTATCTGAAACCATTTTTCAATTAAAAATGATTTTCAAATTATTGTATTTTGTCCGCATTTTCTAATAAATTTTTAGTGAAATCATCTAAAATTTTAATTACAAATTAAAGTTTCAATTAATTTCAAAAATCTCAATTTTAAATCTTTGAAAATTCAATTAAATTTAATAAATGTTTTCCAAAAATTGTTTGATAAATTATTTTTAGTTCTGTAAAATTTAATAATTGTTTGAAAATTAACAATATCTTTTGAAATTTAATTATTTCTAAAAATTTCAATTTTAACCCTTCGAAAAGGATTATTATTAAAAAAAAATTTGTTTATTTAAAAATCTGTAAAATGTTTTTGTTAAAATAAAAAACAAATCCACTTTTTTTTTGAAATATAAATCGATTAAAACGACTTTTTTGTGTCTTTAAGTTGATTCGAGGCCTGTGTTTTTATAATTAATATTTAATAGATATTCGTTGGCCCCTGGTACCTTAAAAATTAATTTTTAAAAATAAATTTTTTTCAAATTACTATCTTGTACGAAATTTCCTCGCGCATCTTTTTTCTCATCATAAATTTTTTGTACAATATTTGAATCAATATACAACTTTAAAAAAAATTTCGTTGGTAAACGTTGTGTACTTCAGCTTCGTGAATTGAATTTTCGAATTTGGAATTTTAAAGAAACTTATTCCGAAATTTTTGAAACACAATTATACAACTTTGGCAAAAATGAGAAAAAGAATTGTCAAAATTTGACACGTCATAAGATTACTATTCAAAAAAAAAAAAAAACACGTGAAATCAGAAAAGGCCAACTTCAAGTTAGGACAGAAGGACAGACCAAGCATTTTATTATTATATAATAATTTCTCCTCCACAAAAATTCTCGTAAAGTATAATTGCGAATTTATTCTTTAAACAATTTTTGAAATTTATTGAAAATAAATTAAATAAATAATTTGAAATTTCAATTTTAAAAAAATTATTTTTCAATTGATTAAATTAAAAATTCGATTAGAATTTAATTTCAATTAGTGAATTGTATTATTAATACGAAATTGAATTTGCCTTAAATTTAATGAAATTTACTGATTAAATTAAACGATAAAAAAATTTAATTTGCCAAATTTAATGTAATTAAAATTTTTATTCAAATTTTAATCAATTAAATATTTTTATTTATTTATTATTTATAGTATTAACCCTAATATAGAGAAATAATTATAAATTAATTAACTGAAAATTTATTTTGAAAACAGTTATTAATAAATAAATAAGAAAAGAAAAAAAAATGGAAAATTTCTCTTGTTTTTAAATAAATTTTCGCAAATAAATAATGGAATTGCAATTATAGAAATTTTTTTTCAGATTCCTTTTTTTTGGAGGATTTGGATACATATCCAAGTTAATATGGAGGAAATTTTGCGAGAGTTGAACTTGAAAGTTAAACTCCGCGTGGAGTGTTTGTTTCCGATACATATGTATACTCAACTTGCGGTATGTCTCTCATTCTACCCCGCGAATCTCCCAGAGGGGCGAGTATCGAATGGAATCTGTCCAACCCCAAACCATATAACGTTCAACGAGTAAGATTTGAAATGCTATACCTGCCATCAGAAACTAGAGAGGGAGAGAGAGAGAGAGAGAGAGCAATGTTGGAAACGACGAGAGTGGTATGCCGAGATATGCAAGATCGCTTGAGAGATGTACATTACTCCAAATATACATACACACATATATATATATATATATATATATACATGAATGAATAATCATAAAAAAGAAGGGATGACACAAACACGTGAGTTTTCCTCAATTTTTTTTTTTTTTTTGCGAAAAAAAATAATTTCTAATTTCTACATTTTATATTTAGATTCAAAAATCAGGTTTAAAAATTGATTTAATTTTTTATTTAGATTTTCAGTTTTGTTTCAATTTTATTAGGAAAATTTATCGAGCAAAATTGGCGATAGTTTAATTTTTACTTCGCAGTCTTAGAAAAATTACGAATAAAATTAGTGACAATTAAATTTTTTTTAAAAAAATATTTAGTTGAAAAATAATATTTTCATTATTTTGCTCCAATTTGAGGAAAATTCAGAGATAATTTCAAATTTTTTCTCCACAGTCAAATAAAATTAGCGAAAGAAGCAAAAAAAAAAAAAAAAAAATATTTTTTTGTTCGAATTTTCTTAAAATTAAAATAAATTTTTATTTTTCAACTCAAATTAGTGAAAACTAGAGCAAAAAATAAAAAAAAAAAATTGCTCTGCTTTTTTCAAAATAAATGCATAAAATTTTCGTTAATTCGCGAGGAATAATATTATTCTTTCTATTTTTGGATTTCAAATGGAAATTTGTTAATAGCATCTGAGAGTGATATTCTGTGAAAATGTCATTAACAACTTGCTTCTGGAGACGATCGAGCACATTTTCAAATGAAAGGCTTTCGAATATCTTAACGAGCTCTTCATCGTGATCCTTTAAGAGGTCTCTCTTCTCAACACAGCTAGTGATTTTCAACCAATATATAATTCTGTTCGACCCTTATATATATATATAGAGAGAGAGAACCTCGCAAAGTGAATGCAATGCTCTCCATCCATACAGAGAATCGGCCTCTAATTCTCTCTCCCTCTATATATATATATATACCTATATATACTCTGCGAAAGCGCGATCATTGTTAACGCGTCACGAATTTCGAAGAGACGAGAATCTGCTGCATCCCATATATATATATATATGATTCGTAATATATCGTGTACATCGGGATATTTACTATATATATATAACTCTTATTTAAGCGATTCGAATTCCAGGTGCCAATTTCCTAATTTTTTGATTTTTATTTATTTTTTTTCTACATAATTTAAATGAAAATTTTTTCTTTTATCGTTAAAAATCTATTTTCCCCCCTTGAAATTTAGAAATTATTTTCTTTACAAAATACTCATTGTTAAAAACAATTCATTGAATTGAAATTTAAAATTTTTATCAAATAATTTTTAAATAAGCGAATTTGTATATTTTTACGTTAATTTCCAGGTCTCGAATTATGTGACTTTTTTATACTTTTTTTTTTTTTTTTTTTTTTTAAAAATACACCTTTTTTTGTGCCTTAAATTCGATCCGAGGCCTGAATTTTATGAAAAGTAAAATTTTTACTAAATTGATATTTTATATATGTATTTAAAAAAATTTTTTTTTTTAATTTTAATTAGGCGATATTTTATTTAATATAATTTTTAATTAATTAAATTTACAAGCACTTGTGAATATTTTTTGAAAAAATAATTTCCCTTTTCTTATAAAATGAAAATTAGGGAAAAATTTTCATAATTTTTGTTGTTTTTTAAAAAATTTAGTAATAAAAAATTCTGTTCAATGCGAGAATTCTACGCTAAACGATATATTCAATTCAATAATTTTTATTATAAAAAATTTTTAATAATATAATTATATAGATAAATAAAATTTCGTTCATATAGTACAAATTAGAAGAAATAATATAAAAAAAAAAAAAATTTATTAACTAAAAATTCCGCTGGATAAAAAAAATATTAAAAATTAATAACACGATTCTAGATTTTCAAAATAATTAATAATCATAATAATAATTAATATTAATAATTAATAATCATAATAATAATTAATATTGATAATTAATAATCATAATAATAATTAATGTTAATAATTAATAATCATAATAATATTAAAAATCATAATAAATAAAAAATTAATTTTATTATACATAAATAAAAAGTAAAGAATATTAATTTCATCGTTTTTATCGGAAATAAATCATAATTTCGCTTTTTCTAATAAAAAATAAAATTATATATAGAATTGTTCCGACTATTATTTTTTTTGCAAATATAAATAAAAAAAAAAAAAAAAATACAATTGAAAACTGTAATCGTAATGAAATATTCAAAGAATTTAAAAAAGAAAAATTTCCAATTGAAAGAAATGGAAAATTCTGTGATATAAGAAATGAAAATCTCTCAAAGAGGAAGTAAATGTGTCAATTTTTTTTTATTTTTTTTTTTTTGCCTGATAAATGAAGAAAAAACGCATAATATTGAGAAATATGACATTAAAAGAGAGACTGAGAATTAATTTTTACATCCCTGAGAAGAGCGCGCGAGAGGGAAAAAAAAGGAGACAAGGGCGAAAGACTTCATCTGAGCAAAAATACCTTCAAGAATATTTTCACAGAATTTTTTTTTTATTTTTCTCCTAGGGAAAAGAATTTTAGAAATCCATCAAGAGACATAATTACACATTTATATATATATAAAAAAAAATATTTTATAAAAAGAAGTGTTAAATATTATTAAAAATATTTTTTTTTTTTGCATTTTCTTTTCCAAAAATTAAAATAATTTATTTTATTTAAGAAAAAATATTAATTATTGAATAAATTCGTTTTTTTTTTATTAATATTTGCATCTATTATTATTTCTTTTATATAATTTTATATATATTTGCAAATATAGATTCGCGTGTAGGAGTTTTAACTTTTGGACTATCTTCAATAATCCTTTCTATGAAACGATATATAGAAAGAGATATAACGTGTATAAATGTTTTTATCGACCTTTTATAATACTATCAGTCTCAACAATCTGCGTGAGAAAATTTCAAATCACACCTGTATATTTTATAAATATTATATAACAAAAAAAAAAAAAATTTTATTAAATATTTTCTAATTTTCGAAACAAATTTCCGGAAATTTATTTATTTTTTACGCGCAACAAATAATAAAATTGCAACAAAAAAATATTTGTAGAAAAAAACAGGAATTTTTTATTTCTAATTTGGAAAAATTTTTGTTTTTCTTTCGCACTATTAATTTATTTGAAATTAAATTATTAATTAAAACAAATAATATGGAAAAACATATAAATAAATATTTTTAAAATTAAATAAAAAAAAAATAATAATAATTAAATTTATTCTAATAACAATAATATAAAAAATTATTTGACCAAATAAATAAATAAGAAAATTAGATTATAAAACAAAAAATTTGTAATTATTAAAAAAGAAATTTTTATTTGCTTTTGATTTAATAATGATTTCTATATTAATTTGTTTTCAATAAAGATTTCACAATATTTCCAGTGATCAGATGTGAATTTGTGGAAAAAGAAATATTTTTTTTTTTTCTGTATATGAAAGCATTTAGAATCAAATGAATATTACGCTGACATTGGATCTTCTATATAGTAATTCATTTATTTTCTAGAAGGTTTAATATTTAATTATCATCTTTTTCAAAACTCTTTCTTATAAAGTCTGGTCTCGTAATTTTTTCTGAAAAATCATTTTGCATAATGACAATTTTAATTCAATTTTAAATCTTATTTATTTATTTCTTATTAAAATAATTATTAGTATTCAAATTTTGTGTTTCGAAATTTATATAATATATAGTATAGGAGAAAAGATAAATATTTGCTTCTGAGACAAATAAAAAATTTATTTGGGCTAAATAAATTTTATTTGATTAAAATAACTTTTATTTTTAAAAAATTAATTTTCCTTAAAAAAAATTTATTTTATCAAATTCTTATTGAACTAAATTTTTATTTAAGTAAATTTTCATTTAGCTGAATTTAATAAACTAGAATATTTCTATTTAACAGAATTTTAGTGAAACAAAAATTTTATTTCACCGAATTATTCTCATTTAGTTGAATTTTTATTAAACTAAATTTTTATTTAGCCGAATTTAATAAATTATAGTATTTATACTGAATTGAATTCCCATGCCATAGAATTTTTATTTAACCAAATTTCCATTTAGCGAAATTTTTATTAAGCTGAATTTTTATTTAACCAAATTTTCATTTAGCGGAATTTGTATCCTATCGAATTTTTATTGAACCAAATTTTCCTGACAAATAATCTTTATTTAACCGAATTCTCATTTAGCAGAATTTTCATTTCGCAGAATAATAATTTTTATTTTAAAAAAAAAAATCTATATTTTTTTAACCGAATTTTCACGTAAAATATAATGCAGATACAGAAAATTGAATTTTCTTTGTAAGAAATTAATAATTAACTTAATTTGCGTAATTAAACTAAAATTCTTGTATAGTTAAATGATTTTTTATTTAACTAATTAAAAAATTTTAATTAATTTCAATTTAGCAAAACTATTATTTTAACAAAATTTTGATTAGATAGAATTTTTATTTATTTCAAATTTGAAATTTTTGCCGCTAATTTAAAAATTAACCAATCAAAAAATATTACTATTTTCTTGCGATTATGTTTAATTTTAAAATTCGCGCCGAACTATTTCTTGTTAATTTATTTTTTTACCGACATTAAATAAAAGTTTTTGTCTGCTTTTTATTTAGTTATTATTATAAAAAAAATTAATAATTTTTGAGAATAATTGTTGTTTTTTTTTTTTATTGAGTTCAATTTGAACTGACTTTTGACAGTGCCGCCATCTAGATAGTCTATTATGTACTAGAAATTTCTATTTCCGTTTCCTTCTTCCGGTTTCTTGTTCCTGTCGCCATTATTGCCCTGGCTGTTGGCAGGTAGAGTGAAAGAAACTTATTCAAATAAAGAAAAATTTATATTTTCGACAAATTTTTAATATAAAATCACAAAATATTGTATTTATTATAAAATTAATAAGTTTTTCGTGAATTTTTGGTGTTAATGATACGGGTAAGTGTCGTTATTTGTGAATTTACAGTAATTTTGGACTTGAGACTTTTTTTATGTCCGCGAAAGTTGCAAAAAAAAAGTATAGGTTTTGATAATTAAAACAATCGAATGAGAGAATATTTATAAATTTTCTATTGAAATTTCCTTTTATTAAAATAAATATAACAAAATTTTTCATTATTTGCTTTTGTTGCGGTTGAAGTTGTTAATTTTTTCCTATTTTAACAATTTTGTTAGTCCGCCATCTTTTTTTCCTGCAAACATTGTGAAGTTGCAGCCGATTGATCGATATTCGATTTATTCGACCACAAGTAGTGGGGTTGCTGAAAGGTTAGGTTAGAATTTTTACGAGAAAAAAAGAGTAAAAATTTGTATATATTTTTCTGGTAATTTTTATTGAATTGAAGTGAAATAATTTATTTTTCATGGATAAATAATTGTATTCTGCAAAATATGCAATATGTTTAACCATTCAAATCAAGTTACCGCATAAAATAATAATTGATGCGGAGAATTGGGAGAATTCTTCGCAGTGTTAACATTTTTCAAAAAAGGTATAAATTTTTGCATTTATCGAAATTGATATGGAAAAATACAAAGTTTGTGTACAATATTTTTGTTTTTTTTTACCACTTTCAATAATTAATTATTGCAATATTGTAAAATATAACAGTAAAAAAAAAAATTTCGAACATAACCTACAAATTAAAAATCGTTATGTTCATCAATTTAATCGATTTACTACTTATTTAATTGCAATATTTTGTGGTTTTAAGTATCAAATAAAAATCTGTTGAAGATTTTTGTTGATAATTATATTTTCTTTATTATTACGAATCTGAAAATATGAAATTCGCTTAACTTTTGTTTTGATTGTTTGCGTTATCAATTTTTCGCCTCGAAATCGGTTCTTGTAATTTTTTCCCAGTTTTTTTTTTTAATTTAGAAAAAAAAATTTAGAAAAACTTAAAAAAAAAAAAAAAAAAACCTGAAACTGACAATATTTTGAAAAAAAAATATTTTATATTCACAAATAATTAATGAATAATGTTTTGTTGAATTTTTTTCAGATATTAATTAATTTCAAAATAGGCATTGAAATTTTTTTTTGGTTCTGAATAGAAATTTTTATATTTTTATTGTAAATAATAAAAATATTTTTTTTTTTATATTTTTATATTAATTTTTTTTTACTTTTATTTATTATTATTTTTTTATTTTTATTATAAATAATTATTTTTTTAAGTTTTCTTATTTCATTATTTATTTATATAAATAAAATATTTAATTTAAAATTTTTTTTTTTCATTAATAATTATTTTTACTATAAATAAAAAATATAAAATACAATTAATATAGAACGAAAAAAAAAATGAAAAGTATATTTTTCCAAAATGTTTATTATGTAAATTATTTTCAATTATCAATTTTTTTTTTTTCGTTTTTAAATTCGACAATTTTTTTTTTTTTTTTTACAAAAAATATGATGAATAGTAAATAATTTTCGATTGAGAAAATTGTAATTTTTTTTTTACGAATATCATATACATATAAGTATTATGTGTTTCGAGTTGAAAAATAAAAAATTGGAGTTCATTAAGAATATTGACTTTGCGCACTATACAGTGGAGTATACGATTAGAAATTGCAATTAGACTAACGACTTAGTGTGTCGAGCACGGATACAATATTCCTCCACCATATTTGAAACCGCACATATAGGAATTAGGTTTTGACTTAATTAACTAATCCAAAGCCGGAAGTTTATGAATTTCAACTTCCACTTCCATTTTCAAATTTAAATAAATATCTGTCGTCTTGTATATATATGTTTCAAGATTGTAAAATTACATTTTAATTACTAATTGTCGGCGTTAAAATAATTAGAAAAAAAAATTTTTATTTTCTCTTCCTACTTTTTTTTTCTAATTTAACAAATTTTTATTCACTGAGCATTAAAGGGAAATTTATTATTAAGAATGATTGGATTTAATAAATTAAAATTAATATAGAATTTTAATTATATATTATATATTGAATTTTTATTTTTAAATATATATTTTTAATTATTAAATTTATATTTTCAAATATATTTTTAATTACTAAATTTATATTTTCAAATATATTTTTAATTAATAAATTTATATTCTTAAATCATAAATTTTAATTGTATCAATTCCAGAATATTTGGCTGAATACCAGGCAATTTTGCAATTAAATATATTACATTCAAAACTTTTTATTTATTTGTCCTAAATATAAAATATATTTGTAGCAAATAAAAATTTATTTGGCTCAAATTTAAATATAAAAATTTATTTGAGACAAAGAAAACTTTAGTAGGCTCTGAGACAAATATCCATTTTTATTTGAGTCAAATATATTTTATTTAATTCAAAGAAAACATTTCTCTGGGTGTACAATACAGATCTTCTTCAGATCTTTTTTATTTCAATTATTTACCAAATTTTTAACTAAAATTTTTCTCTAAATTAATTATTTTTAATTTTTAATAATTTTAATGAAATTCTTCAGAAATTCGCAATTATCTTAAATTATTTTTCAAATTAAAATTTTTATAAAATTTAATAATTGTTCATAATTTAAAGAAAAATTAGCAAATAAAATTACCAAAAATTTTTAATTCAAAATCACTTGAAATTTAATTATTTGCAAAAATTTCAATTATTTTTTTTTTGTAATGATTTTCATAATGTTCTTTAACCTTTTTTAAATTTTTTACACTTACGGACCTAAGGCCATAAACTTAAAATATTTATTTATAATATTCATTTGAAAATTCAATTATCTGAAAGCAAATTTTCAATTAAAAACTATTTTGGAATACAATTTTTTTTTATGTGATTTGTAATAAATTCTTCATCAACGTAGAAATCACTAAAAATTTCTCTTATTATATATATGATTATAGTCTGAAATTTAACACAATCTTTTGAAATTTAATTATTTTCAAAAATTTCAATTTAAAAGCTTCTAAAATTTTCCAATCTTAAATTTTTTGAAATTTAATAATTTCCATTATAACAAAATTCAATTATTTTTAAAGATTTTTATAATATTCTTGGAAAATTCAACTATAATATCTGAAACTATTTTTCACTTAAAATTTTTTTAAATTATTGTCTTTTTGTTGGGAATTTCTAATAAATTTTTTACTAACAAAAATTATCAAAAAATTTTAAATTAAAAATCACTTGAAGTTAAATTAATTTCAATAATCAAAATTCTAAATCTTTGAAAATTCAATATTACATTTTAAAAAATGTTATCTAAAATTATTTGATAAATTATTATTTTTTGTTTGGTAAAATTTTAATTATTGCCCGAAAATTGACAAAATCTTTTGAATTTCAATTACTTTCTAAAAAATTTCAACTTTAATTCTTTCAAAAATTATTTTTAAAAAAATTTTAATTTAGAAATCTGTAAGTATATATTGTCTGAAAAATTTTTTTTTTCCATCAAAACTCAAAAGTATGACAAAATTTTAAATTCGTATAAATTGCTTAAATTAGACTTGAAAAAAAATTATAAAAATGGAATTTTAAGAATTTTTTTTTTTTTTTTAATTTGTCCTATTTAAATAAAATTTTGAAAATTTGTCTTGCTATTAGTTCGATTCTGAATGATATTCGAAATAAATTTTGTTGATAATATTTTTATAGAATTATTCTTATTACAGAATTAATGAAATCAATTTAATATCTAATATAATGTTAGTTATTTAAAGTAAAATAATTATTAGAGGCGCATGATTTTTCCCAAAAATTAAAAAGTTCGAAATTTTAATTGATCGAATTACTTTAAGACGATATTTTATTTGGTCGTAATTCTAAATGAACGACAGTTATGAAAGTCGATATTTTATTTGATCGAAATTCTAAATGATGGATAATTTAAAGTGGTCGACATTTTATTTGGTCGATATTTTGTTTATTCGAAATTCTAAATGATCAATATATAAAATTGTCAACAATTTATTTAGTCGATATTTTATTTGGTCGAAATTTTGAATGGTTGATATTTAAAATGGTCGACATTTTATTTAGTCGATATTTTATTTGATTGAAAATCTAAATGCTCGATATTTAAAGTGGTCGACATTTTGTTTAGACGCGATATTTTATTTCGTCGAAATTCTAAATGATCGACATTTAAAGTATTCGAAATTTTATTAGTTCGATATTTTGTTTGGTCGATATTCTAATAATGATCCACATTTAAAGTGGTCGAAATTTTATTTGTTTGATATTCTAAATGATTTCGACCTTTTTAATTTTTGGGAAAAATCATGCTCCTCAATTATTAACTAATTAAATTTTGTTAAAATAAAAAAAATCTACTTTTTCGACTTTTTTTTTGGAACAAAAAATTCGACTAAAATGACCTTTTTTTTTTGCACCTTAAAATCGATTCGCGTTCTGGAAATAAAAAAATATTTTCCATTTTAAAAAATAATTTGTTTTCTAATCGTTGATAAAAACGATCTTCAGCAAAGTAAATTTATAATATTAATTTTCATTTTCATGTAAAAAAAAATTTGCAAAAAAAAAAAAAATGTTTGGAAAAAATAATTTTCGTGGCTAATTTATTTTTTATTTATTTATTTTTTTTTTTTAGTGAGAAGAAAAATGAGGCTCGTTGCAACAATGACGCAAGAAGAAAAAAAAAATGGAAAGGAGGACACTGTGGACGACAGGTTGAAAAAGAAGGAAGGGAAAATAAAGGTTTTTGTGAAGGAGGGGCGTGTGTTGGAGCTTTTGTAAATCAGGTAAAGTCCGGTTTAAAGTTTGGCTTTCGGCTTACATTATATGTATATATATATAAATACTATGGGAAAGAGGGGTAAAGGTGTCAGGGGTCGACGGCAGGGGTGAACCTGGGTCAATTAAATCTTTCGGCAGGTTCAAGACCCTTAGGGTTCTCTTAAAAGATTTTCTAAAAGTTTAAAAGGCCCTCTTCATATCCTTGTTGTATATATATATGTACTTTTACGGCCTTTGTAGAAAATTGAAATTTATGAGGTATCTTCCTTTTTTTTTTCTTTTTTTTTTTTAAGTTTTGCCACAGTGGGATAAACAGAGGCACTAATCTCTCTCTCTCTCTCTCTATACTTTGAATAATTCCCATAAACTTAATCCTATTACAGTTGACAATTCATCTCACTAATAAGCAAATTAACATGTTTATTAAATTAAATTAACTGTCGAAATTCGGAAAATTTAACTGAAAAAAGAACCTTAAGTGATTCAGGAAACAAATTTTAGTTTTTTTTTGTTTTTGTTTTTAAAAACTATTTTCTAAAAAGAATTTTGAAAATTAATTTCTATTTTTAAAAAAGTAAAATTTTTGTACTTCTTTTCACTTTATAATTTTTTTTTTTTTTAAATAAAAATGGAAACAATTTTGTAAAGAACATTTTTTTTATCATTACTTTTGTATATAAAAAAAAATTAGTCAGAAACAATTGATATGTTTTAATTGAAATACTTTTTTTTTTATATCACATTCTTTATGGAGATAGAAAAAAAAAAGAAATTCTTTTGCAAATAAAAAAAATGTTGATTGTTTTCTGAGTCATTTATATATGTATATTACATCGTGAAAAATATGACAAAAGTTTTATTAATTTCATAAAGTAACATTTCTGTCATTTTAAAAAAAAAAAAGTAATTTCAATTTTATTCATTTATGAGCGAGAAAAAAAAATAATTCCTTTTTTTTATTTAATTTAACAAAAAATTTTTTTTTTTTTCAAATCTTTGGGTGTTTTTTTACATGACAAAAATAATTATTTTTGTGATATAAAAAAAAATTGTTCCGATGTATATTTTTTTTTTATTGAATTTCACATATGGATTAGAATTGAATTATTATAATTATTGAGACTCTTTGTTGACGCGCGACTATATAGATTTACTCAATCGAACTTGTATAAGTCACACTCGCTGAAAGGCCGAGGAGGTTCGCGTTTTATTATTAGACCGATCATCACTTTTATTTTGAGATGGATTGCACTCAGGTTAATTTTAAATTGAACGATTGCAATTCGCGCGTATAGATCGACAATTTACATATGGAAAGAAATTTTTTAATTGCAATAATTTAAAAAAAAAAAATTCGTCTTTCGACAGTTAATATAATTTTTAATTTATGAAACCCAAAAAAAAAACTATTTAAAATTTTTTTTTCCATATTTAGAAAAAAATTAACTTTAAAAATAATCTTCAGAGAGACAGGAATTTGTTTTAATTCATTTTTTTAAATTCAAAAAGAGATTAAAAAAAAAAAAAAAATTAGTCAGGGATCTGGAATTTTATTTGTTCCTTTGTTTTCTTATTTCGATATACAAGAAAGAGAAAAAAAAAAATTATTTTCTAAAAAGAAAAATTGTAATTTGAATTAATAAAATTTGATTTAATTGAAAATCGTGACTTCAGCGACTTTTATATGAGATCGTGATAACGATTAAATTTATCAATTTTGATATTACACGTGTGTGTATATATGTATATATATGAGATTCGATTATTTAATCCGCGATGAATATATATATAAAAACGATCGTTAAAAGCACGTTTATATTTGAAAAAGCGGGAAAATAAATTCAGTTTGTTTCAATTTTCGGAAAGTTGATTAAATTTATTTATATATAATTGTGGAAAGTTTAATCAAATTTTAGCTTCTTTGAAAGTTAATTTATCTTTTGGAAATTTAATTATTTACTTTATTTCGATATAAATTTTAATTTATTTTTTATAAAGATTTTCATTTATTAAAAACAGATTAAATTATACTTCTCTCTTCTTGTATAAGAAAATTAATTTGAAAATTTTGGAAAATTAAATTTTGAAAAATTGATTTTAATTTTAGAAAAAGAAAAAAAAATGTTTCTCCTACTTTTATCAATTGTATTCAATTAAGTACCTATTTAATTAATTAAAAAATATTTATTAATTAATCATTATTATTACTTAGGTTTCGTTCGAAAAAAAACTGTTTTACCTACTGCTGGTAAAACAGTTTTGATTGTTTAAATCTGTTTTACCGAGTTCTAATAACGTATAGTTGACTGATTATTAAATATACAAAATAATTCCAATGAGAAAACCTATTATACCGCAACGACTGATAAAAATTTGACGGTTTACATATATTTAAAACTGTTTTACCGACTGTTGATAAAACAGATTTGACGGGTTTACATCAGTAAAACAGATTCAAAATTATTTAGTGTTTAATTAATTATTTAATTATTAATTGAATTTTGTTTTTTGCTTCAGGTAATAAACAGTGTGGATTTTTGTAATTTATTAAATTTTTTTACAGTTTTACTTCATACGGGAGTGTTCGAACTTAATGAAAGTGACGGTCGTTTAATAAAAAATAATTAATGTAAAATATTATTATTATTCGTTCGTGTCGTGTCGGATTTAAAATTTATTAGCTTCGGGAGTGTTCGACATATTTATAATCGTGAACGAAATTTTCTTAGGGTGTTTAGAAATTCGTTTTCGTTGTTTGTCTTTCGTTATTTTTATATATACAAGACAACTCGTTACGCGCGCGTCCGAATTATAATTTAAATCGCGATCGTCATTTTTCGCGAATATTAAGAAAGTTTATTTTAAATTGGGAAGAGGAGGGGGTGGGAGGGCTAAGTCGAATTCATTATGCCAGGGACTTTCGAAAACGTCTTATTGAATGTTGAATATAATTTTTCATAAATAAAACCAATTTATGTAAAAGTTGATTCATCTCATCTGTAAAGTTTTACTTGTGTCAATTATTTAACCATGATTGTTACATGCAATGATCATATAATTTTTCACCTACTAATCACTGGATTGATTTGGAAAATAAAATGAATCACGCATTTAACACTATGGTTTCATATTTCCTTGTGGATCTTTACACTGATGGCTATATATTTTTGTAAGTAATTGTAGCCATTGACCCGCTAGTGGGATAAGACGAGGGTTACGCATCCCTAACTGCGCACATTCTTTTTGAAATTTATTTTTTTAGTCTGCATAAGTACGCACTTACACTCATGGTAATTTTAATAAAAAAATTTTTTTATTTAAATATTGAGTATTTCTTAAAACTAATTAATTTTATTAAAATAGAACCATAATCAAATCAGTTTAAAAGAAAATTTTTTTAAAATTAAAATTATGATAATGCATAATTATTGCATATTGTGGTTACGTATTTTACTAATTTGGGTTTATATAAAGAATTGTTTTAATAAATTAAATTAAAATTGTTTTCTGCCTACAATGAAATTTTATCTTAATATTAAAAAATTGTAAACTGTATTTAAAAAGAACATTTATTTTAAATTGTATAAAATCATTTTTTAAAGCATCTTTTTTTGATGAGTGTTTAAAAAAAAGTATATGTGCTTATTCTAACCAATAAAATAAATTTCAAAAAGTTTGCGGCATGTTTTGTTTTGCGGTTTACAAACTCCTTGGCTGCCTCTTTAATGGTAAATCTGAAGATAAAGCTATATATATATATATCTGCTGGTCTTAAGATTTATCATTAAAGTTGCTTTAGGGCCTCAAGAAAGAAAATGAGCACTGGATCTGGACCACACTGGGCAATAATTTAGGACACACTTCAATATCCGTTAGTTCTTTTTATTTTTAATAATGCATGATATAATTAATTTCTATACTATAAAAATCCTAAAAAGACATACCATATTATAGATATAATGTGCAATTACGCGTAAATTGCAAAAATATCTCAATTCCTGGAAATAAAGACATTTGTCCTCCGATGTCGTCGCGTCTTTGCGAGATAAACGTTTCTTCGCGAAGGAGGACATTAATAAATTTGCTTCGGTTGCAATCCAACAACGCGGTAAAAATGTTTTTTTTTCCTCTTCTTTCAAAAATAGTTTCTGATTCATTTACTCCTTTTTTTTTTATTATTTAAAACAAAAATTTTTGTAAATTGAATTTTTACATTCTCGCACGAAGAAAAATAGAAAAACGAATATAGTAACTTATACTTTAAAAGAAAACCTAAATTGTCCGCAGTTTCTGCGCAATTTTTATTCTAGAAATAGTAAAATTTACTTCTAAAATAGAAAAAATTATTCCGAAAATAAGTAAATTTTACTATTTCTAGAGTAAAAATTGCCAAAAACTGCGGACAGTTCCGCTTTTATTTTTAAATTAGTAAAAGTTACTATATTCGTTTTTCCATTTTTTTTCATATAAAAATGAGAAGGTCGAATTTCAGCTTTCTCTAATTCCTGTGAATCTCCACGTTTTGAGACTTTCTGTTGCCAAAAAATGGGTTTTAAAAAAATGTCTGTCTGTAGACAAAATTTTGTCCTATAACTCGAAGAAATTTTTTTTTAAATCAGTTTCACTAAATTATTTCCGTTAGTCTTTTTTAATAAATTAAAAGAAACCAATAATTTTCAAAAAATAATTATTAAATTTTTACAAATACATGAAAACCTAATAAATTTTCTTTTATTTGCCGTCGGACTTGTTCACAACGGTTAAAATCAACAAGTGCCCCTGAATGTACGCATCCTGTCAGGCATTGAGACTGATATGGCTGCCTTATGGAGAGGGAAATTTGCAAATAAGTGGGGGGGGGCGGGGGGTGTTTTAGACTCATTCTTTCTCTCTCGCTCTTATATTTGAAATCGTGCAAACTCGTTGAATTTCGTCATTATTCGGTGTCTAGTTTCTCCCGCGGCCGCGTGCGCAGACCGGTTGCGCACAAGGCGTGTGCGTTGTCCAGATTCTTTGTTGGATTCCATACATACCAAAAACAGAGTGGTGACTATCGCTCGTATTTACTGAAGGGGGGACCCCGGAATAATAACGTGTGAATTTTCCGCGAAAAACATCCCCCACTTGTGTGTATTGTGTGTGCAGTGTGTGTGTGTGTGCCACATCGCGGTAGAATCACATCAATTCGCCCTGTGGTAAGTACCAAAGTTATCTAAAACGTATACAGACGACGACGCCTTCAGTCACAATCCCGGGCGTCTGAAACGAGAAAGCCTCGAGAGCAGCAGGCAGGCGGCGACAAAATACGTGAAAAAAAAGTTTCTCTCTCTCTCTCACTCTCTTTATTTCTGTTTCTCACTTGTGTCATGTATTTTTATCATGAAAATGAAAATAATAATTTAAAATGTTATTATTTTTGTTTTATTTATTGTCGAGTAAAATTGTGAATGTCATTTTTTTTTTTTTGAATCGAGCAAAGAGAGAGAACAGTTTTCAAGTTAAAGCCCCGATAGGTACACCTACCGTGTTGTATACACACCGATCGTGCGTGCGTGAGACAGAACCGACACGCCACCGTTCGTCCGTCCCTCTCTCAGTCTTTCGTGGTCTTTGCACACTCGGTGGCAACGCGATTTTACCTCCAAAGGTGATCCGCTGTATTTTTTTTTTTTTTGTTTAAATAAGCAAAATAATATAACCTACCCTCGCGGTTTATTTCTTTCTTGCCACTTGAACATAACCTCAAAAAAATTATTCTCCTGTGATTCGAATAATTTTTTTTCCCCAACCGGTGTGTGTGTGTTTTTTTTTTTTTTTTGGAATGTGAATAATGAAAAAAAAATGTGTTTTTTAAAACAGTGACATGAGAGTGTGTGACGCCTTTGAGAATCGCGGAAAAAGGTGTATGTGATATATTTATTGCACTTAGAAAAGGGAAATTTTTTATTTTTAATTGTAGTAGACGGAAATTATTTTTGGAAATTTTTTTCTTTTTTGGTGCAAAGTGAAAAAAAGTGTTTTTTTTTTTGGTGGGTTGAAACGCGAATTTATTTTTTTTATCCACATTGGAAGATCATCATTGCGTTAGACTGCTCGGAAGAAGGCTGACGGAATTTTTTTTTCGTTCGCCAAATTCGCGAGCACTGGACCACCACTAATTCTGCCCGATTTGGATGGATACCGTGCATTATTTTTGGAGTGAGTTGAAATTGTCTTTTTTTTTTCTTGTTTTGTTTTGTTAGCTCGCAGGTGAATTGGCTTCTCGGAAGTCCGCGGTTCTCAAATATGTATGTGTGATTAAAAAGTAGTGTTGAATTTCGCGCGGCTCGATTTTCAATAATTACTGCTGTTGCATGGTTTTTTTTATTTGGTTTTTCGTTACTTTCAATGAAATAGCGGGGTTTTTTTTTCAACTGTTTTAATAATTTTTTTAAAAATTTTATTCTTTAATTAAAGACTTGATTAATAATTAATTATAATTAAATTACTATAGGTATCATTTAATTATTAATTAATTATTGAATCATGTTTTTGCTTGTTTAATAATTTAAAAAAATAATAATTAGAAAAATTTAAATTCCTTTTTTTCAATGAAATGAAATTGATGAAAATTGGCACAATTTTTTTTTTGCGTTAGTTTCGTATTCATTTGTTTTTTATTATTTAAATAAACAAAAGCAAGTTAGTGAAAAAAAAAGTTTTGCAGGAAACATTATACAATTTGTTTTTTTCCTTGAATATTCGATTGTCATATATATATATATATATATATATGCGACGATTTCGTAAATCTTGAGTGAAACTTCTAAATAAAATATATAAATATTGTGAATTTTATTTTCATATTTTTTTTTTTAAACAAAAGTTTATATTATTATTTTTTTAAAGAACAAGTAAATATCGTGATTCAAGTGAAGAAAAAAAAACGGTAAATGTAAATTTTGTTTGTTTTCATTTAATTCCTTGTATATACAAATAGTTCCGTGTACATGATGATTTAAACAAAATTTTAATATGTAAAATAAACTTTATTTAAAATTATAAATTAATTAAAAATGCAAAAAATATATATATATATATTGTTTTTTTATTTATTTATATAATTATAGAAGGAAGTTTTGAATAATTTTTCGCCGACGGAACAGTTAAAATTTATTTTTGTAGTGACCTTTTCTGTACTTTTTTTTTTATTTATTAATTTTACGTCTAATTTTGAAGATTCAGGAAGTATTTTTGCGGTTACCGCTCCTGATGATTGAGAAGGTGGGGAAGGGGGGGGGGGGGAGGGGAGAGAAAAAAGTCAAAGACATTTCCGAGAAGTTAAAAGCCGCGAGCTCGCAAAGTTGGCTTCGCGATGTTGAACAATGCACTTTCCCGTGGAAAACGACTTCGTGGAAAAACTTTTTGTATTGTTTACTCTTTTATTCACTTGGAATCACTTTATAATAATAATGTATATATATATATATATATAAAAATTCTCGTTTCTCGATATTGTTCATACATTATTGACGCCAAGTGATATTTTTGCCGTTATCTTCTATTAATATACTATACATATATTATAACGTTAGTAACGCGCGCGGTTTTTATTTGCCAATTTTCATTGATTAATATTTTTTACGATTTTCAAACAAGTTACGAATATTTTCTTCTTTTAATGCATATAAAAAATTTTTTATTAGACTATAAATTGGATTAATTGGAAATTAAAAATTCGTAATATTATTAGTAGAATATAAATTATTTTTGTTATTTATCTTTTTATTATTTATTATTATGATTATTAGTTTTATTATTATTATTATTATTATTATTAATTAAAATGTTTTGGAAGCAGTAAAATTTTATTAAATTTAAAAAAAATAAAAAAAATTTTAGAAAAAAAGATATAAAATTTTTGTACAAAAAAAAATTATTATTATTAAAAATATTATTAGTTCCTTTTAGTGTTAATTATTCACTGATTATTATTAAAGGCTAATTTGTCTGTTGTGTAGTGATTTTCGATAATTAATTATCAGCTAATCGATTATGATGGTTAATTATTTTTTTACTCGATTTTCAACTTAATTGCGTTTGAGTAATTTTCGACAGTCAATTATTTTTGAGTTAGTTTTAATAGACAATTTTTAAAGTACTTTTTAATGATTAATTTTTATTGTCTTCTTAATTCTCAATTTTAACTGGATTTTTACAACATATATTGTAATATATAATATAATTGCCAAATAATATATATTTAATATATAATTTACTGTATTTAATAATAATAATAGTAATAATAATAATGATAATTAAATGCAAAAAAATAATAATGGTAATAATAATAATAATAAACAAATTGTCAAAAATAGTCACGTTAAATTTTGTTACAAAAAATCGTTAATTTAAAAAAAAATAAATAACAATTACAGTTAACAATTATTTTCGATTCAGTTTTATACAATATTCGACACCAAAAAGTAAATAATCAATCTTTGATGATAAAGAAATTTTTTTTTTTTTTTTATCAAATCAATTTCCAATGAATTGATTCGTATAATTGTTTTAAGTGATGTTATAAATCGAAAATGAAATTATCGCAGTGGGCTATCAAAATAATTTGACAAGCAGTCGCGGGCATTACGTAAAATTTAATATCGAGAATATATATATATGCATTTTATCGTTTATAATTTGCGATTTTCAATAATTCAATATTATTAATATTCTGAAAGTGAAAATTTATTTTCTCTCTTTTTTTTCCATAAACAATTAAAAGTTTACATTATTATTACAATTCATTATTTTTCTATTCTTTTGTGAAAAATTAATTTGAAAATTTGTTTTTGTAATGAAAAAGAAAATTTGTTTTATTATTTATTGTGTGTTAGTTTAAATAGCTGCATCATTTCTGTCAAAAAAAAAAAAAAAAGTTTGTCTCGATTATCTTATCATTTTTATTGAAACTTATCGTTTATTATACTGATTACACGTGCCACCGTTGATTTTACAGGTGCACGGAGAAAGAGAGAGAGAGAGAGAAAAAAAAATTCTTAAAAAAAATTGCGTCGTTATCTTTTTTTTTTTTTTTTTAGTGAATTATTTTAGTTTGTGTGTACTTTTTTTGGTTTTTCCGCGTACTTTTTCTTTTTTTTTTATCGAAAGTACTTTTGTAAGAGTCATTTTGTTAATGACAGTTTGCTCTTTTATCCAGTCCGCTGACACGCTGTGATCGTATCTCACTCTCCGTGACAGTTCCTAGACTCATTAAAGTTGCTCTTCTTTGCGATATAAATAAACGTGTGTCCTGCGGTTTGTACCACGACGAGAGAGAGAGAGAGAAGAGAGAGAAAATGGAATTTTGCGTCGGTCCCACATACACAGAAGCCGCGCTTCTCTTCGGCTCTTTACCGTCTTTCTTTGCTCCCCCCCTCCCCCCTTTCCTCTTGTAGTGAAGAGACTCCTTTTCTCTCTTCACCCCCCCTCTCTATTCCTTTTTCGTCTCTTTGACCCCTTGTTCGTCCATTTGCCCCCCTCTCCCCTTAACCCCATTAGTTTTCTCGCAAAGCATATATATATATATATATATATATTTGCGCTTTACACTCACGATTTGCTCTCGTTTGCGAACTCGATTTTCGCAATTTGCTTTTTGGAAGAGACAGTGCCAAATTGTCGGCGGCACTAAAATTACCGTGAAAGGTGTGTTCTTCCAAGTTATTCTCTTTTATATAGAGAGGTTATTTACACCGCGTTTTTCCTATAACCAAAGTTTTTCTTGTTAAGTTTCTTCTATGGTATATATATATAGTTTCCATTATCGCTTGCAAAATAAGGGATATATATTCTTAAGAAGTTGCAGAATTTTTCTTTAGGCATAAAAGACAATGCAAAAATTTGTGCGTATTCTAAAATTTTTTATTTGAAATATACACTTAAATGTTTTTTTAGAATAAAATTCAGTTGTTAAGTTCCAGTTATATTTCTTCAGTGAAATCTTACTAATTCAAATTTAGAGAGAATTATAATATTTTAACTAAATCCAACTGCGTCGATTCGTTTTTTAAACCGTATTAACTAATTCTTAATAAAAAAAAAAATTACTAATTACAGCGAAAAAAAATATTCTGAAATTTAGAATATTGGGACCAATTTTAGAATATTTTATATACTATATGTATAAAATATTCTAAAATAGGTCCCAAGTATATATATTCTAAATTTTAGAAGACTATTTTTTCTTCGTATGTTTTGTATATTTTCACGACAAATAGCAAAATTTATCTGTAAAATTATTCGTGTTTCATATGGTATAAATTTCATTGGCTTTAAATATATAATCAAAACTATATTTATATTAAATACACATCGATTTAGTAAAAGAGAGATAATATATTTTCTAAAATGGCAAAAATTCAAGTTAGTCGAGTGTGACTATATACGTGATTTTTTATTTATATTTATTTGGTTTAGTCTCTTATAAGAGTTGAAGAGAACTCTATACCTTCATAAGGAAAGGCCTCAGTTTGATCATATGGAAAGACTCGTTGGCGACGAAAGTGGAGTAGAAAAACCGGTTTTTGTTATCTATACCGTATTCATAATTTAATACCGCTTGATGTAGTGTGTTGACAATTAATTGCAACAAAATAGCAATTTTCAGAATCAGTAACTCGTTTGTGTATGGGTATATGTATATATATATATATATATCATTTCGATTTTAACAGAACATTAAACGGTACATATATATATTTTTTGGCTCGCGTCTTTATATTCCGAATGACTCAAACTGTTGTGTACGTCACAAACGTGAGCGCATGAATGAAATCTCTCGTAATTTCTTCGGTAAAATAAACATCATCGTGCATTTTTGAAATCGTTTTGAAAACTATATTTCGTTTTAATTCCGCGTGTTATGTATATATGTAATTTCGAAAAATTTTATGCTTCTCGGTGACATTTCATTTTATGTCATTTTTGAAATAATTGAAATTAGTTTTTATTTTTAAATTAAACTGAAAAGAAAATCATATACATAATAACGTGATAAATAGGTATATAATTATCGGTAGTAATTATATAGTTGACATAAAAAGAGAAAAAGAAAAAAAAATTAAAACATCGAGACATTGTTTGCGAAATGTATGCATTGATCGATAAGAGAGTACAATATTCAAGTCGGTAGCAGTTGCGGTTGTCTGTGTAAATCG